CATGCCTGAAAAGACCAAATATTTTTTTAAATTTTATATATATTTTATATTATTCTTCCTTTTTGTACGATGTATGCTGTCTCCTCTCAGGTATAATCCCTATGGAATTCCTACCACCAATTCACCCATGTACCATCACCATAGTTCCTTGTGCTCTTCCCTCCCCTAGAACTAGTATTTCTTTCTTTTTTTTAATTTAAGTATTTTATTTTATATAATTCTTACATCTTTTTTCATCTTTGCACAATCTATGCATTTTCATTTTGGTTATATTCCCCATACAATTGCACCCCCCCCTTATTTTGACTCTAGTCCTTCCTTTCCCTGCCCCTCCTTCACTCCCCACCCCCCCGCAAAGTGTGTCTCTGGTTTATAGTTGCTTGTTGATTTTGAATTTTACTTTGTATTGATTAGTCTTTTTCCTGGTCTCTTATTTAGGTTTTCTAAATTCCTGCTATGAGTGAGACCATCCAGTTTTTTTCTTTTTCTTTCTGACTTATTTTGCTGAGCATGATCCCTTCTAGTTCCATCCATGTTGCTGCAAACTGCATGAGTTTCTCTTTTTTGATTGCTGAGTAATATTCCATTGTGTATATGTACCACATCTTCTTGATCCAGTCATCTATTTTTGGGCATTTGGGCTGTTTCCATAGCTTAGCTATTGTAAATAGTGCTGCTATAAACATAGGGGTTCAAGTGCCCTTTGGGATTACTGTTTCTGTGTCATTTTAGCAAATACCTAGGAGTGGAATTGCTGGATGATATGGAAGCTCTATGTTTGGTAGGTCAAGAAATCTCCACACAGCTCTCCATAGTGGTTGGACCAGTTTGCACTCCCACCAGCAGTGCAGGAGAGTTCCTTTTTCTCCACACCCTCGCCAACATTTGTTGTTGCTAGTTTTTTAAATATGTGCCATTCTCACTGGTGTGAGATGGTATCTCATTGTAGTTTTGATTTGCATTTCCCTGATTACAAGTGATGTTGAACATTTTTTCATATGCCTGTTGGCCATTTGCATTTCTTCTTCAGAGAAGTTTCTTTTGAGCTCTTCTGCCCATTTTTTGACTGGATTATTTTCTTTGTTGTTGTTGAGTCTCATCAGCTCTTTGTAGATTTTTGTGATCAGTCCTTTATCGTTAGTGTTGTGTGCAAAAATTTTCTCCCAGTCGGTGGGGTTTCTCTTTGTTTTGGTTACTGTCTCTTTTGCTGTACAGAAGCTCTTTAATTTGATGTAGTCCCAGCTGTTTATCTTTGCCTTCACTATCACTGCTTTGGGTGATGTGTCTATAAAGATGTCTTTGAGGTGCATGTCATGTAGTGTTTCGCCTATATTTTCTTCTATGTATTTTATGGTTTCAGGTCTTATGTCTAGTAGAACTAGTATTTCTCTGGGGTGAAAGGATATGGAAGATGAGGAGGAATAGGGGAAAAAGAAGGAGAGAGGGCTTGGACGAAAGTTACATCATCACTTAACCATCTTTTTCTGTTTCCTAGAAATATGGATTTCTCACATCTGTAGTCACTTTGACAATGCAAGGGTCTCAGATTCTGGAATGCTTTCTCACTTTCCTCTGAGTCAAACCAAAACCACCGGCCTTTCAAAGAACACACTTCCTACTCTTTGGCCCAGAAATCTTTGGGAATCTAGCCAAAGAAAATAACAATAACAACCACCTGAATAGAGAGCAGAATGAGGGGGAAGATGTGAGTTCTAGAAATGGAGGCATAAAGTTGCTGATCTGGCATTACTGACAATAACTAAAAACTGTAAATAATGTAAATTTCCAAGTGCAGGGCTGTGTATACACCATTCCATTTCCTAAAGAGGAAATACTCTGTACCCCCCCGCTTAGATTTTAATGATCGGGGCAGTGTCTTGTATCACGTTAAGTGAGAAAAAGCAGGTTTTAAATAGGTGGGAAGGTTACAAACTGACCACCATACCGTACACAGACCTATAAACTGTACACAGAAAAACCTGTAAACTATACACAGAAAAAAACCAAACTTTCAACTAGAAAGAGACACACCAGAATGACTTCAGGGGTTTCTTTGGGCGGCGTGCCTGCGGGTATGCTCATTTCTTTTTTTAATGTGTCCAGGTGTTCTATAGTAAACACATATGACTTTCATAGTCAGACAAAGAAAAAAAAATGCCCAAATTTGCTCAGTCTTTCTGCTGTACTTTCTTGGGGAATTCCTACTATACCCACATCTGCCTCCAAATCCTCATCCCCAGCTGCAAACCCCAGCCTGCGAGCACCTCTGGCCACATGAGGGTTTCCTAAAGGTTCATTCAAGCTTTGGGGAAGCCCTTCCTGATCACCTGGAGGAAAGAGGGCTAGTTTGTCTCCACCCAGCCCAAACACAATGCTCCCACGTCTGTTTGCTCGCCTGGTCCAAGAAAATCTTTGGCTTCTTTCCTGGTGCCTGACCTCAAGAGACTACTTCCTGATGCAGCCCAGCAGCTGGGGCAGCCTGTGTGCATCTGCACCTGGTGGCGAGTCTGAACTCCGGAGTGTTGGATAGAGAGGAAGGAGGTGACTTCTGCCAGCATGTCCTGATTTGCCATGGGAAAACTTCTCTTGGCCATTTAAAAACCACCCAAACAGTCTTTAAACAACATAAGAAGTAAGTGATCAAAGGTCTTTGTATTAACCTGGGCCAGCAGCCTTCTTAATGGAGTCAGCCTGACGCTTGGTCACTCTGGCTAGAAGGAAACGAGTATGAACCCATATTTGGGATGCAGCTTAACCCACTTAGGTTTTCATAAGTTGAATTGTCCAATTATACATCCAGCTTATTTTTGAAATGGTAGAAAATTAGAGAAACTGTGGAAAGAAGGAGTTGGTGGTCGGCAAACTTTTGAGGGCTGAGACTTCTCAGAGCACCCTGGGAATAAATAGATCTGGGGTATTTTTCCTTCAGGGACCCATGGTCTCATACCACACCCATGTGAAGGCTCAGAGGACAAGATGGATGGACATTCCTTGCAGAAAGCCACATGCCTCTTAGCCAGGGAAGCTTTTTGACTCAGTTACTCCGGCCTGTGTTTGAAATACAATGGAATGAAGGATGAAGATAAATTGGATATCCTGGCATTGGCATTTGATGTTTTTAAAACTGAGGGGGAAAAGGTTTGGTGTGCCAGACTTCCTCATCAGCCTGGTATTTCACCTGTCATCTTAAACAAGGTAAACAAACCAGCGACATATTTTTCTTCCCTGCAAGACTGCACCCTCTTTCATGATTAGGTCTGGGTACTATTTGGCAATTGGAATTGAGTAGAATGGAGGTGGGGAAACGTTTCATTCCACCCTCTTCTCAAATATTTAAAGTATAATAACGAGTAGGTGAGTGACGGTCATGTTTGTCAACTCTTTTCCATTCTGACTGCCCGAATCAATGTGACCTCAATCACGTTTTTCTTAGGCCACAACAGCTGACATTTCCTCCCCATCCACCTTATCAAGACCAGAGGAAAGAGAGACCGAGGAGGAGCAGATGGTCTTCATCCTGCCAACTCCAGGGCTTGGGGTTTGTTTAATGGAATGTATCAGCTGAGGGTAAAATGGAAATTCAGGTTTTGAGGGTGGCAGGGTAGGGCAACCTCAGTGGGAAATTTTATGTGCTGTCATCAGATACTGTGTAAACGTTTTTCCTCAGTCTTCCCAGGAGATGTTCAGTAAAATATCCATTTCTTGTTGGCCCATGATGGAGTTCAATCTTCATTGTTTGTTCATTCATCCAACAAATATTTAGTGGGAGCCTGCCTTGTGCCAGATCGTATTCTAGGTGCTGAGGATAAAGTGGTGAATAAAACATATCCTACATAGGATGCCCTGGCTGAATCTCTAAGGAATTTTTGCTGTGTGGAAAAAAAAAAATCCCAAAAGGTTAATACCATGTGATTTCATTTATGTTAAATCTTTGAAATGACAAAATTTTAGAACTGGTGGTTGCTGGGACTTGGGGATGTGGAAGGGAAGAAAAAAGGGGTGGTGATAATAAAAGTTCCAGCAGGGTTCCTTCCACCAAGGGACTATTTATTGTCTTGGCTGTGGTGGTTATGGGAACTTACATGTGTGATCAACTTACATGTGTGATTGTACACACGCATAAAACTGGAGAATTCTGGAAAAGATCTGTGGACCGAATCCATGTTAATATTCTGTTTGTGATGATGCACCATCATTTTGTAAAATGTACCATTGGGGAAAAATGGATAATGTCTACATGGCATCTCTCTGTATCATTTCTTAGAACTGCATGAGACTCTACAATTAGTCTATTAAAAACTTCAATTGGAAAAAAAAGCCAACCAATTCCCTGATCTGAGAGGCTCACATTTTAGTAGAAGCTAAGACTGGGCTAAGAGGGCAAAATCAAACTCTTCCAACAAAGGTCCCCACCTCTGGAGTAGCCCATGCACGGTCACCAAAGATTCCATTCTGTCCTCAAGACATGTCACTGAGTTTCCATTGCGGACTGAAGGAAATCCAGACTCAGGGAGGAGGCAGATACAGAATTATCCCAGCACCCCTGATCCCATCATACAAGTACTGGAAGTTATCGACCTGCCCCAGGCACACCCTGGAGCATACGGCTGAGACACAGATGTCCATTGGGGCTCTGTTTGGCTTACTCCCAGCTTCCTGCTTCCCCACCACCAAGATGCTTGCATCTCTGCCCCAAATGCCTGGTCTGGCCAAGACACCCACGGTTTGGAGAGCCTCCATGTGCTCTGGTGTGGCTCATAGCCCAGGTTCTCAGCATCAGGCAAAAACTCCTCAGGCCAGCCCTGGCCCTGGTATACAATCCTGAATCCTAGCCCTGGACCGTGGCCAGCCAGGTCAGTGTCCAGCCTCTCTGCCCCTCCTATAAGGGGATGCCCCATAAGATCTGTCCTCCCTTGGCTGTCCAATGAGACACCTAGCTCCACCACTTGATTTTATTGCCTTAGAAGAACTTCAGAGGAAAGAAGCCATGTAAAACAGAATAAGGTCTGAATAGACTTTCAAGTTTTTATTATTTTATATTATGCCATACCTTTCACAGATTGACCACAAAGCAACATGCCTCCCTGGCCACACGATTTACCAAAACGGCATGGTTGAGAAAGCCAGAACTGCTGGACACACAAGTTAGGTGACTGGAAAAAAGAGAGTGAGGCCAGGAAGAGAAGGGCAGGGAGAAAAAGCGATGAGAAATACTCAGCTATTTCTCTAATAAGTCCATGATTTTTGTTCTAAGAAGAGTTTACGTGATACAGTGCAGTTTTTTGAATCATGGTTACAGTCTTTCTGATAAAGCAAGCTTTCCTAGAGTGCTAGAGCTGATGAATAAACAACCGATGAACTTTCAAAGAAGGTTTTGATGATCAGTACAAGAAGATGATCAGTATAACTTCTCCGTAGAAGTTCAATCTCCACAGTTTTTTCTCAAAGCCACCATGGACAGAGTAAGTGCAAAGTGAAACGGAAGCTCTTGTTCCAAGGCCTTGGGCTGGTGGGGGCCTGCTAGTAGTGCTGTTCTTCCAGACCCAGCCTCTACCTTGTCAGGACATTGAGGCCGCATAGTCAAGTGAAGCTTCCATGGGAGGACACTCCAACTCTGCTTCCCAATCTGGGGCCGGGATGAATAACCCATGGAGGTCCATGTACATTTCTACATCAAAGGATGCGCGAGCCAATTCTGTAAAACTTTTGGCATCCAGAATAAGCAGAAAAGGATGCTTTTGGGGAGTGGTAGAGAGAACCACTGATAAGATAATTCCTTTGGAGAAATAAGAAAAGACACTTAGTAAAAGTGGAGGGATACATTTCTCAGTCTTCTCCCTGTCCTATTTGAACTAAAGTAGTTCATCAAAACAGAAGGGCAGTGAATTGGACACTCTGTGTGAGCAGAACAGAAAGGCCAGAGAGCTGACCCAGTTCCAGCCCAGGCGGAGTCTCTCTGAACCTCAGCCTCTTCATCAGGAGCATGGAGATAACCCCCCAACCCTCACAGGATAGCAGAGAGATTCTCTTGCATGGCGAATTATGAAAGAACTTTGTAAATTATTCATGCATTGAGGAATGGCTATTTTTCTACCATTTAGAAACTCCAGTTCAAGAGAATCAGCTTCCAGTCTGCACTGAACCTCATCATTGACCCTCAGCTAAGCTTGCATCAGTAATAGTCGAATAATAGTCTGGCACAAGCCACATAATACTGACACCCTCAGCTTTCCTCTGTAAAACAGAAGCCTCCTAAGCACTGACTCTCAGGGGACAGAAGCACATTCATGAATGCGAACTTCCAGCAAACATTCATGATTCCTCCCCCAAACCTCCCCGGTCTGAGTGGTTGCACACAACTGAGTTAGATCAGTTGGGATTCAAATCCCACCTCTGGAGGCTCTGGGCATGTGAACTTGAACAAGCTCCTTCCATCTCTGGGCCTCTCCTTTGGTGACGTGGACACAGTGCTGCTTCCTGCTCACAAAAGAATGTGGGCTTCCTGTCCACAAGGGAAGCTATGGCCCAGCCCGGCGGGAGGCTGAGCTCAGTGGGAGGTGATACCCACAGTGACACATGACAGTGACTGGTCCCCTGCCTGGTGAGCCATGCTGTGCAGAATCAATAGGAAGTTGTGGCCCAGGTAGAAAACCACTCCCGTCTCACCTGAGGCAAGCAGCTGGCAGGCTCCTGGGGTAGCCCGCCCTTCCCTGCAGGTGTGGGTAGCCCCACCCCTGTTTCTAGTTATGCTCCTTGGCATCCCCAGGGGTGTAGGTAGGGCATTTCTGGGGCAAAGGCAGAATGAAGAAGGGAAAGGACCATTTGGTCCACAGATTTCAGGTGCTCCACAAAAATGGTTCACATTAGGGTGCATGAAGGGTTCTGACTCAGTCATTGCAATGGATTTTAGAACCAAGATTCTATGCTCTGGGAGGGTATGGGGCTGTTCAGTGGGAAGGAAGTAGGCTATTGTATAGTAAAAAGTGTATCATCTTGCCCAAAGGGAGGCCCAACCTTTGCCCTGGAGGTAACCTCTGAGCCCATGGAATGATCTGCCTGACAGGTGTCTATTTCCCCTGGGTCACATCATATTTCCCCAGAAAGTGATTTAGGTGGGGACTTTGGGCCACAAGGTATCAGCTTGACCTTCAGAGGGGCTGAAGACTAAAGGTCAACCCCATAGACAGCCAACCATGTCTACATGACCAGACACTGAAAAGCCTCTGACACCAAGGCTTGGGGGAGCTGGCCTGGTTGGTGATACTCCATGGATACTGCTGGGAGAAGTCAGGGGTGTCCATAACTCCCTGGGGACACCTGGAAGTCCAGGCCTGGGACTCTCCTGGGTGCCACCCCCTGTGCCTCTTCTCTTTTAACCTGCCTCCTTAGGCTGTGATAAGCCGTGAGCCAGAGTACAGCAGCTCTTGGTGTGCCAACTGCACATCCTTCAGTCCAATCCGAGGCTGGTCTTGGGGACTCCCTAACCCCACAGCTTTGGGCTTAGACACACCTGGGCTCCAAAGCATGACTCCAGCAGCTATGTAGTCAGGGTTGGGAGGGGGGTCAGGTAACCTCAAACTCTGTCTCCATTTGAGGGTTGGTCACAAGCAGAGTACAGTGGGTGGGCTCTTCTTTGCAGAGTCTTACCATCGTCCTCAGCCTCCGCGTCTGGCTTGGCTACGAATACAGGTTCCCCTGGCCAGCAGTGTTCCTCTCCCCATTCCACGTACGACTTTGTAAGAAGGTCATATTTGAGTATCTGTACATTCAAAGAGCAGAGACACAGGAATGAGTCACCCGGAGAGTGGGCTTCTTCCCTGTGGAGAGGAAACCACCGAGGGCTGGGAGGTTGGGGTGGGTGGGGGGCTCCAGTTCCTCAAATGTGGGCTCCAGGTGTCGATTGTGCTAGACAGTGTAATAAGAGAAACAAAAGCATCTCTCTTCCTCCCCAACTTTAAGCAGAGGTCCTCCTGCTACCACTAAGCTGACATACACACTGAATTCCTTTAAAATAAAATTCCTGAATCTATCTGGTATTGGGTATTACATTGCAGTATTTCTATATGTCAATTAAATGCATGTGTTCAAAGCAAACATTTAAAGAATAAACACAGTTTCTTCGTTGTTTTAAAAGTGCGTCTCTCTCTCTTTCTTCCTTTCTTTCTCTCTCTCTCTCTCTCTCTCTCTCTCTCTCTCTCTCTCTCTGGCAGGCTGGCTTCCCTGTAGGGTACAGGATTAGTGGGGAGTGACTTGGGGTGTGTACCTGGTTGTGTGGGAACCTGCATTTTATTGTCTTCTACATTTCTGCACTGTTTGCATTAAAAAAAATTTTCCATTTTATTATTAAGAAGTGAAGACATTAAGGTAAAGTAATGTCTATACAGCACTTAGCAGTCTCTGGGTTACATTAAGTGTTCAAAAAAATAGTAATTTAAAAAGCAAAATTAATCCTCCAAGTTTCTGCTATGACCTGTCTGCTTGAGAGGATGAGTTCCTTGGGGCAGGGGTTGGGATCCTCCTATCCAATTCCTGATCCTCACAGTGGAGCACATAATCGGTGCTTAAGAAACATCTAGTGAATAAAGAAATCAATGGATAAACTCCAGCCACGACCTCCATCCTGAGCTTCACCCCCTTTTCTCTTGGATGGTTCATTATTGCTGCAAATGTATTTTGACATATTCTGTCCCCAAAGGGCTTCCCTCAGACCTCTCTATTCTGATCCAGGGCACACAGTCTGCAAAACTGAAAATTCAGCTTTGCAGACAGACACGATGGCTGTAGGGAAAGCCAGCCCAAGATCACACAGGGGTCGTACCTTGGTTGGGATGGGATTCCACTGAACTTCAGTAGCAAAGACATATCTGTATGGCTTCCCGTTGTAAGCATAATTGATCTGAGGCATCTCTAAGCCTAGGGTGAAAGACAAAGCTGATAAAGACCCCATTAGCAAGAGGTGGGGACATCTGCCTTCTGGGCCAGGTAGGGTACCCCTTTTCTAAAATAGCTCCCAGGCTAGAATCCCTGAATTTGATCCAGACCCTGTACTGGGTCAAACGTGGTCCTAGCAGAGAAGGGGGTAAACTCGAATAATTACCCCCACTCTATTAGAAGGTTCAGGAGCAAAGTTAGATAGACTTGAGTTAAGTGTATAAACATCTTTAATTAACCAAGATAGAAATCAAAGAGAACTGCATGATTAAAATCAGAGTCCACTGCAATTTCTTAAAGCTCTAAAAAAAAAAAAAAAAGGCCTCATGGGCAGGTATTGTGTGTGGGTGTAAAAGAAATTTCTGAATGCATGGAAAGGAGTGTCAATGGGGAATAATTTAATTAAATATTCCTGGTGAGTTCATATAATGACATTATTTAACAATAATGTTTCAAAAAAATTTTAGTAACATGGGAAAGTGTTCATAACATAAGATTATGTATAAAAGGGGTGGTTATAGAATCATCTCTACTATGTAACAAACGAAGAGACAAAGTTTAGACTGAGATTATCACCTCCTCACAATTTATATTTCGTTGGCTATGTTTTTCATTCTGTAAAATTCTCATTATATCTATTTTTTTTTTGCTATCTGCAAAGTGTTAAAATTTTGCCCATATAAACACTTATATATCTATAAATGCTTGTCGTGTCAAATTAAATTTCTAAGTCTAAATAAGAAGTAAAAGCTCCCTCTTATGAAATAACCCAGGTAATTGGAGCCAATGGTCAGTGAAAACGGAATATTCAAGGAAAGAGTAAGCTAGGATGGAGTCAAATGTAGGCCTCTTGAAAAGGCCTTCAGAACAGGAATGTTTATTAGGTCCTGGGGGGCTGAGAATGGACCATGAAGTTGGGAAAATGTGTGCTCCCCCTGACCAGTAATCCTGAAACTTCCAAGAGACAGATGAACCTGATCACCAGGAGGAGTGACCAACCATCTACTTAAATCAGAAAAAGATGCCGCCATTGGCCCCAGAGTAGAACTGAGTCTTCCACCCAACTGTAGGGCCCCCTCCCCCCACCCAGTCAATGGCCAGCCAGAGGCACTTGGTTATGTAAAAGATGATTCACCCCTGCAAATTCTGCATGTTTATTAAGATCCACGCTCTTGAAGGATCTCTAGGATGTGGGAAAATACTCAGCCTACATTCATGAAGTGGAAGAAGCCATCCCAGAACATTCTAGATGGTCTGGTACACATTTGAAAGCATAAATGCAGAGGTTAAGGGCTTTCAAGTCAGATCCTGGCTTTGCTGCCTGCCAGTGGGCAAGTTAAAGGATTATTCTCTGCTCTGAAACAAGAACATGTGTCTCTTTGAGAGGTTCTAATAATGGCTACCTCTTGCCAGGCCCTGACAATGGGTCAGGCCCCAAGTCATTCCCTGTATGTGGGTGAACTCACAGAATGTTAACAAAATAGGATGAGACCGTCAGGATGAAATGAAAGGAGAGGATGTGTGAAGCCCCCAGGAGAGGGCTTGACAGATGCCCAAAGTGCACTGCAGGACAGGAGACTGGGAGGTAGGTTCAAAAGGGTGGTCACGGGTGGATGGCTTATGAGGATTTTGTCTACTGTCATCTTTTTCAGTATTGCCTAAGGTGGCAACAAGAAGCAAGAATTCTCTTCCCAGAAACAAAAAGACCATAATGTTGGAAGCCTGCATCTGCCCACTCCATGTGGCAGGTGCGTGGAGATGGAAGGGAAGCTGATGCCTTCAGACCAGGGATGAGGACTGGTCTTGTTGTTTCAGATATGCTGAGAGGCCCGGGTGCCACCCAGAACCCGTTCCAGGTTCGCATGGGGTGTGGTTGACAGAAGTGGTGTTTGGTGGGCAAATACCCATTGGTCCTAGGAGATGTCCCAAGACCATGCCCTTGCAGACGCTGGCACCTGGCAGGCGTGGGGCAGCCGACGCGGGAGAAGGGTCTCAGTTTGGACCACATCCTGCTGCTCTCTAGCTGAGTGCCCCTGGACCAATCTTTTGCTCCCCACGTAAATGTTGAGCATACACCTCTCTCAGCTAGACTTTTGTCCTATGCTGGTGACAGGCAGAACACAGAAACAAGGCCCCTGCCTCAGGGGGCCTGTTGTTTTCAATTAGGGCAGTGGTAACCCCCCTCCTCACTTTGAACTGAGAGCCCCTCATGGGGCTCTGGGTACATTTTGGGTGGTTCCAATTCAGGGTGGAGGTGCTTCTGGCACCTAGTGGGGTCAAGGCCAAGGAAATGTTCAACACCCCATCATGCCTAGCTCCTGACTCCAAAAATGACCAGGCTCCATGTCTTGTGGCCCCAGGTTCAGAAGCGCAAGTTGCTATGGCCTCTGTTCCAGGCCATAGTAGGATCCAGTAACACCTACACTGCAGGGTGTTGTGAAGGAACTAGGGCAAGAAACCAAAGGGGCTGTGCCTGTTCCATACACCGCAGCTTTCAAAAGAGGGCTCTCCATGAAAGTCCACCCCAGAGTCTTCCTGTGAGGGTGTCTCAAGAGACAGAAGACAACTGTCCCTGAATGCTTTCCACGGGGGGCATCCCAAGAGCCTACTCCATCTCTCATCCTTCATCCCCCTGCAGGTTCTCCGCGTGGGAGGAGGAATCATGTAAAGAGCAGGGGTCATTCTGAAATTCTGCCCATCCCTAAAAGCACAGAGAGAGGACACCTTCATTTTACCTTCACGGAGCACCTCCGGCTGGCAGTAGACCTGGTCACCTTCTTCCTTCAGGGCTTTCGCTGTTGTAGAAGCCAGTTTTATTAAATTGGAGCCCTTTTCTGCATCCTGGAAGAATTAGTTCCCCAAAACATGAAAATGTGTTATCCAGCCCCCATCTTTGCTATGCTGTTCATGCTGGGAAAATGCTTTAGCTTGTTCTGGCCTCACGTTAACCACAGGAAGCAGCTACTCTATTTTTGGTGTTTTTATTCTCAGTTCAAAGTGAGGATCAGCTATTTGAACTGGCTCCCCAAGGTAGCAAAGCTGGGAGGTGGTCAGACAGGAGCCCCAAAACGCTGACTCCTTGTTGGAGCTGCCTCATCCCTCACAGGTGAAAGTAATGTAGTAAGAAGTCCTCACTTTTTAAATACCGGATGATTCATGTAGAAAACGCTATTTAGAAATAGTTCATAATGACACGGGGAGTGCTCATGTGAGCATCCTGAGTGGAAAAAACAGCAGAGCAAATTGCATATGCCATCTGAGCTCAACCACATTCAAAAAAATGTATATACTAAAGAGAGTCCGGGAGGAATAGACCAGATATTAATAGTAACACGGGGAGCAGATTCTGGGGATTTTCATTTCTTTTTCTATGCTTATTTACATATTTTCAGTATTTTCTGAAAAGGAATCACTGTTAAAAAAAAGCCCACATGCCATCACAATTACTTGGGAGAAGACTATCTTTCATGGGCAGTCCTTGGTGCCAAGTTACAAGCAGACCTCACTCTTTCGGTGCCTTCACCATTACCAGCATCCGTGACCCAGGATGGGGCTTGAGCACAACCGATTAAATATTTAATGAGCATCTGCTATTCCTTGTTTCCCCACATTCCAGCTCTGGGACCTTGGACAAGTTACTTAGCATCTTGTTTCTGCCTCTGTGGAGGGAGGTACAGTATATGCATCGCTGAGTAACTGCACAGATTAAATAAAATCATCTGACGAGAGGCTCACAAGAGGATGGGGTTAACAGTTGGTGCCAGATGATGTTTGCTGCTGCTGGGTTTTTATAATGAACCTATTCAATGAAACAAAACCTATTAAGAAACAGGTTTTTGTTGGGAACGTGGTGAGGGGGGTGCAAATTTACTGCAGGAATACTTTGCCATGTGTTAAGTTCAAACCCTCAAATTACAGAAGAGAAAACAGGACCAGAGAAGGAAAGTGGCTTTTCCAAGGTGATTCTGGGAGAAGCAGAGCATGGGCCCAGACCTTCACAATGCCATGTTTCTGCTCAGAAACAGGTGCACTGCGGGCAGAGGGAAAAGCAGGTGCAAAGGCCTTGATGCTGGTCGGTCCCATCTTGCCAGTCCCTAAGCAAACATCCTCTAATAACTCAATCTGCAGTGTCTCCAAGGCACTTGTCCCATGCTGTCATATCTCCTTCAGGGTGCTGCTTCCTTCTTTTATGCTTGTCTCCCCTCTGAATGCCAAGACCAGATTTTGTTCAGTGCATGGCACATAGTCAGTCCTCGGGTTGAATGCGTGACTCAATAAGTTCTTCCTTCAACTGCCAAGGGGCAAAACACGTGCTTTGCAGGGTGGTGATTAAGCATTCACCGAGATGAAGTGCAAGAAGCAGTTGCCCAGTGCCCTGCACATCGTCGACGTTGATAAACACAAGTCTGAACGCCTCCACCTTCCTTCCCCAGACACCACCTCGGTGGGAGGCCCTGCCTAGTACCTGGCTAGGCACGTGACAGCAACCAGCCTCTTGTACATGTCCCGGGCTTGATTCTCAGGGAGCCGATCTGCAGAGCAGGCCTGTAACTCTAGCCTGAAACTGGTCAGACTGGTCGAGGGATAAACTGTGAATTTTTCCACACACAGCAGTAACCAACATGACTCGGTTGCTTGCGGCAGCCAACATGCTTGGTTTCAGGAAGAAACTGCATTCCAGCCAGAATTTTACAAATCCTGCAGCTTGCTTGAAATCCCTAAACCCGAGGGACTCCCATAAGCAGCAGCAGCATTTCAGTAAAGCCCCCAAACACTGGCTTTGGGTGTGAGATCTGACTCCTGGCTTTTCTCTATGAACCTGATCAGACCCCTGGGCCTCATGGAGGCTGCTTCATTGTTTATTAAATAAAGGGATGATTTATAGTTTTGGGATGGGTGGTGAGTACAAGGTGAGGATAGGCGAGGTTACTTTGACCTGTGTCTGAGGATTATAGTGAGGATTAAATTAAATCTTGGTTATGAAAACACCGGGTCCAGGGCCAGGCACGTTGTCGTTAGCTTGGAGCAGGACAGACATTCCTTCCAGACCCAACTCAAATCCCATGGATAATTCTGCAATGTCAGCAAAGGCCTTTCTCCCTCCTCCATGGGGATGATAAATAATTCAGAGGGGTGTCCTACCAATTAGGTGAGAAATGTGCAAAGCATTCAACAGTCCCTGAAATTCACAGGACCCAGGACAGGATGTCTACTAACCCTATATCCAAATATTTCAAGCAAACTGTTTGCTCTCCCTACCTTGAAACGTAATGCTTCAGAATGCTGAGGAACTGCAGTGGCCAACGTGGTCAACCGCTAGTTATTTAATGTTAAATTGAAGTAAAATCAAACTCAATTCCCCCTCTACATAGACCACAGTTCAACAGCACACGCGGCTGGTGGCAACTGTATGGCACCGAGAGAGAATGTTTCATTTTGGCAAATTCTATCCACAGTGCTGGTCTGGAAGGACTAGTGTTTGCTTAGAATTGGTGGGGGGGTTCCTGGCATTCTGAGTTGGAAGAAGATGGCGGAAGAGAGACAGTCTCCAGACCTGGGCTCCTATTCCCTGTCCCTGTCCCTTCTCCCACAGCATGGATGCCCGGCCAACATCACCAAATCAACGGCTAGCCCTCTAGCCCTGGTCCCCTCGTGGGCTGAGGTGGACACACCAGTGGCACCACCTGTCTTTAGGAGGGCAGAGGCAGGCCCTGGAAGCAGCTTTTTGGGCTGGGGATTTAAGGCCCGCAAGTGTCTAGCTCATGACTGAGGGGGAGGACTCCTTCTAAATGGGCATGACCCCTTGACCCTGTGATTCCCTCCTCTAGCCCTCCTCCCCCGCCCATGTATAAGGGATATTGCTGGGGAAAGGCCAGATCGGGGCTCTTCAAAGTGCCAAGACCCAGAGCTCAGGGCACTCTGGTTGGGGACTAAGAGCAGAAAAGGCCTGTTACATGGCGCCTAGCACAGAGTGTGCACTCAGCAAACGGCAGCTTCTCCAATTACTGGCTCTTCAGTTTTGCATCTAGAGACACGCAGCAAACTTACTTACTGAGTGAGGAGTTGAAAGCACCCCTCTGGGGCCCGGGTGATGGCTGCCATGGAAGTCAGGTGCTCGAGGGCCCCCCCTAGAGGCAGGGCCCGGCAGGACAGCCCTGGGACTGCTATACGCACCCACACCCCTGTGGGGGGGCCTGCCTTAGACAGTCCCCACATACCTTCCATAAACAGGTACAGGCTGCCAACAGGCCCTCCCTTCCTTTGACCCCAATTGGCCCAAACGCAAGAGAATCTAGGGCAGTTGGGAGGATTCAGACTTTAAATTTACTCTACTCTGGCCCACTCTGTGTGGAAAGGACTTTCCACTTGGGAAACTTTCCAAACGCTACAGGAACACTTCGTGTCCTATTAGAGGCCCTGTTTCATGGTTTTCTTTCATTCATTTAAAGTGAAAACCAAAGCCTGGCATAGGTGCTGGGGACAAACTGCCTACAAGGCAGAGTCCTGGCCTCCCTGAGCTTCAACAGGAAGAGGGCAATGAATGGGGTCCTTATACTTGAGTTAATGTTGAGCCATGAGCTGTGGGTGCCACGAGGCTCTACAAAGGGCAGTAGAGGGTCTGGGGCCTGAAACTTAAGCAGTTTGCCAGACTCTGAGGCTCCTCCCTGGCTGGCCTAGGAATCCCCTGGGGGCTCTGAGACCACACCCTTCTCAGGCCCCCATTCCTGGAGGTTCTGCCTCCTTTGGCCTGGGCTGAGCACAGGCGTGTTCTTGGAGATCCCAGGAGATTCCTGCCTTTTTGCAGAGGCTGAAATGGGAGCCTCTGCATCTGGCCATAGAGGCCACGTCCACCTGCTCAACCTTCCAATTTCAATATGCAGGTGGCGTGACTTGAAAGTGAAGCGAGAAGACATTTTTAAGGGACAATAAAATGCAATTAAAAAGCGTGGCCAGAGCTACCTTTCCCAGGGCTGGCTCTTTACTGTTTCAAAGCAGCAGATGGCTCATTTTTAAAATGTATGCGCTCAACTTCTTAGCTTGGTTCCTAGGAAGGAAATCACTTCTCGAGCCTGATAAAAGGTTATAAAATCCCCTGGTGTGTGGGTAGTGGGAGGGAGTGTTTCTTCTCGGTGCATCATCCCCAGCTGAGGTTGGCGTGAGGTGGGGTGCGGCCTCATGATTTCCACCTGTTTGCTTTGAGACACCTCCCCAGCTCCCTGGAATCTGGAGCTGCCATCCAAGTCACCACTCTGTGGTACTTCCCAGTGTGAGGGTGTAGGGGTCAGGGACCCAAGTGATGATTGTTGGGGGACACAGCCATTCATTTAAAAGCCCTGAATCACACAGGTAGAAAGTTAAGCCCTTTCTTCCAATCTTTCTGGCTGGGGTCAAGAAGAGCATCTCTGTAGGTTCTACCATGCCTTTGACACCCAACACTTTACAAGTTTCTTTTTGACAGAGCTCAGGTCTTGGCAAGCAACAGTGTCTGCTAGGGCGTAAGACCTCTGCTTTATTTCCACTGTTTTATGCCCATGCTTGTCTGCAGCTGACACTGCTGGCTTTCTATCGGGTAGTAATATGTATCCTTTCAAAGCAGTTATGTAAAGAGCCAGTTGATTTAAGCAAAATGATGACCTTGTAAGTGTTATAGAGAGGAGAGCAGGAAATATGGTAAAAATCAGGACAGAGGTACACAATGCCTGCAGATGGGGAAATGCTGGAAGAGGGGGAGCCCTCCCCAAGTCTGGAGTCAGACAAACCTGGGTTTAAACAGTGCCCTGCTCTCTGGCTGGAGCTGGGCTGAATCCTTGCATGAAGTAGCCCAGCAGGGATGGTGGAAGAAGTCCCCTAAGCCCCCCACCCCCCAGGCTCCTATAGGAGCTTCCTCTAGCCTATGGAGCCTGAAGACGGTCAGTGGGTCTTGTCTGGGGCTCTTTTTAGGAGTCAGCCTGCCTGGGAGAACAACAGAGTTACACATCTTACCAGCTACAGGTATGGATCAAGAGAAAGGCTGGTGCAGGTGCCAGTGCTACCTCTGCTACACTGGGCAGTGTGACCTTGGGCACTGTCCTTAACCTCTGTGAGCCTAGCAAGTTTCTTCATCTGTGAAATGACGCTAATATGAGGACCTTTCCCATAGGTTGTTTTGGTCATTAAGTGAGGTAAGGAAAATAAAATGCTTAGCAAAGTGCCTGGAAGATACAGGGCCTTTAGCAAATATGAGCCATCAAAATGTAATTGCACTGAATTCAGTTTCATTTAAATTAATTAAGGCATGAAGTCAGTGAGTCCTGGAGCCAGAAGCTTCTGTAGCCTCTGAAACCAAGCCCAGAACCTGGGCAGCATCTCCTTAATTGAGGATAACATCTGGCCTAGTGGTTGTTTTTTTGTTTTTAAGATTTATTTATTTATTTATTTATTTATTTATTTATTTATCCAAGCACTGGGTGCAGTCAAAAGCGCCAGAGGGTGAGAGAATTCACCAGAGCCAGAGTGGGGAGCAGAACAGGCAGACTGATGAAATACACTGCTGAGGGGAGCAGCGGGCGCGGCAGGAGCCATGCCATGTGGGACCCTCGCCGGTGGCCGGAGATCAAACTTGCGCTGCAGAGGCTGCAGGCAGCTTCGCAGCACAGCAGTCAACCGCTGCGCCACCAGGGGAGGCCCTAGTGGTCGTTTTTAATGCAAGAATGGGGCTACTCAACAGTAAGGCACTGGGTAAGCAAATGGTGACGCACCCCTGCCATGTCAGATACATGTTTAAAAGGAAGATTTAATGTCAGGGAAAGCTGTTGAGATATACAAATAGATGAAAAAACACCAAATAGTGTGTTACCTTGTCCACATGCAGGGGCACAGCGAACCTCTTGAGAATAGGGATGGAGGTGGGCTTGGTGTTGTCCTTGAAGTTCTGGGTCAGGTTGTCTAAGTAGAAGAAATCGTAAAGGCTGCTGTCCTCATAGGCCACGACGTCAAACACAACGCAGCCGTCCTCTTCGTAGGCATTCACATGATGGAAGACTACCATGGGGCCCGTGTAAAACTGGGTCACAACAGGCTTCCTGGTCCTCTGGTCAATGATGTGAATGTAAGTCTGAAAGAAGATAAACACCCAGCAGTCAGCTGTCCCTCTGATGACCCGGCACGGTGGCATGGGGCATAGGGTGAGACCCAACAGGGCCACACACCACCTAGCTGGTGACCCTGGAGCTGCCCAGAGGGCCAGCCTGGCAGAAGCATTCAGAAATGGAAACTGGTGATTGTATTGTGATCAGCTCTTTCTGAGAGAGAGGAGGGAAGCGTCACCGTGGGGCCTCTGTATTACCAGGAGGACAGTATTTGGGGGAGGCCCCTGAGGGTGCACTGTCCCTTCTCCTTCACTTGACTGTGATGTAGCGACATGGCAACTCCCTAGCAATGGCCAAGTGGAGGAGAACCTTGCAGGTGCCAGAGCTCTAGGTCTTGCCGGGCTTCATCCATAGCCAGGTTCCCTAGAACCCTGAAGGCCCCCCTGTCCTTCTGAATCCCCTCTCCCAAACTCCGCCTTATATTGTAATGCCTTTACTGGTTCATCCTGATTGGCTGCCACAGCAACCACCTGCCCTGGAGGACTGCTGTGTGCATGACGGGTTCTAGTGAAGGAGCCCACATGGGGCTCGGGGCTCCATACACACCCTGGGTGTCTCAGGGGATATTGCTCTGGGTAGTGACTAGCCCTGCCTGCAATTGCAGTTGCCAAATCCAAAAGAGAGTATATATGTGAGTGTGTGTATGCATGTGCACATGTATGTGTGTGTCTCTGTGTATGTACGTATGAGAGCCTTGTATTTGTGTGTATACCTGTGTTTCTGTGCATGTATCTGTGCATGTGTGTTAGAGTAGGCATGTGTGTATTTGCCTGTCAATGAGTCTGAGTATGCATGTATGTGTATACATGTGTGAGAGTATATATATGCATGTATGTGTGTATTTGTGTCTATGTGTCTGTGTGTGAGTGTGCCTGTGTGTCAGTATATATGTATGCATGTGTGTGTAATTGTGTCTATGTGTATGTGTATGCATGCAGGTGTGAGTGCATGTGTATGTGTGTGTGTCTAAGTGTGAGTATATATGTATGTGTGTGTAATTGTGTCTTTGTATAAGTATGCATGCAGAAATGAGTACATGTGTGAGTATGTGTGTGTCTTTGTGTGAGTATGTATGCATGCATGTGTGTGTGTGATTGTGTCTGTGTGTATATGCATGGATGCAGATGTGAGTACATGTGTGAGTATATATGTGTGTGTGTTTCTTTCTTTGGGCAACTCTGGCTCAACCATCCTCATTTTGTAAGAATGTCTGTTAGACATTCCAGGCTGTTCTTTTGCTGTCTCCTACTGGCATACTTGGCTCTACCTCTCCAGCCCCAGAAGCAAGAGGAAGGCTTTGATAGAATCATGGGAGTGAGGGGGTCAGGCATGGAGAGGTGAATACAGGGTCATTATTTTGTGCCTTTTCTTTCCCGTTTCCCAATGCCCAGATCAGCCGCAAGGACTTCTCTGAAAGTTCCCCTCCAAAGCTATCCCCAGGGCCATCTGCCCTGCCCTCGGGGGCGCTCAGCCACTTGGGAAAATGACTGTGGAGCAAGTCCAACTTCAGCTGGCTGCCCTGCTAGCCCCCTGCACCACTCACCCACCTGCACACATACAGAGAGGGCCCCCCTTCCTTTCTCAGGATCTGGGGAGACAAAATAAAAACAATCCCCTGCTATCATGGAGTTTCTATCCCAGTGGCGGGGGGAAGCCAATACCAATAATCCAGCATAAACCCTGCCAGGGACATGAGTACACTGAGGAAATGGAGCAGATGGTGCTCTTATAAGCATCTCAGTCAAGGAAGGCCTCAGGCATCAGGTACCTGGAGACCTGGACATACTGGGGGAAGAAGCCACCTGGGGAGAAACAGTCCTGATGGAGTGACAGAAAATGCAAGGGTCCCGGGACAGGAACGTGTTTGGCTGGTTTGAGATACAGGAGATGCAGGAGGGTGAGAGGGCGGGTGGCCAGTGCTGGGGACAAGGGCGTGTAGGGATACACAGGCTGGTGAGTGAAGCCTTCGGATTATATTCGGAGGAAGATGGAAGCAATTAGAAGATTTTGAGGAGAGGAGGGACCTCGTATAGGTCTTTGTTTCTTCAAACACCTCACTCTCCTCCTTGAGGAGAGGGGATAGGTCTTAGAGTGAGTAGCTGAGACGGACACATAAAGATATGAGTGAGGCATAGAAAGAGGAGGAAGGTGGGCCTCCCCGGTGGCGCAGCGGTTGAGCGCTGGGTTGCGAAGCTGCCGGCGACCTCTGCGGCGCAGCGGTTCGATCCCCGGCTGCTCCCCGGCCACCGGAGGAGGGTCCCACATGGCGCGCAGACCTCTCCTGCCGCCCGCTGCTCCCCTCAGCAGTGTACTTCGGTCCTTCTGCCTGCTCTGCTCCCCACTCTGGCTCTGGTGAATTCTCTTGCCCTCCCGCGCTTCTGACTGTACCCAGTGCTTGTATAAACAAAACAAACAAACAAACAAATAAATAAATAAATAAATAAATAAAAACATGCCTCTATAAATAAAAAAAAAAAAGTGTTTAAAAAAAAAAAAAGAAAGAGGAGGAAGGCAATGAATGGATGTTTTCCTCTGAAGAGGGGAGTGGGTGGGGGGCAGAAGAGGGTGTGATACACTGCTCTCTGTGCTTGGGTATTATTTATATACTTAAGCATTTAATCCACTGAGAAATCCCTTGATACTTTTCACAAGCAACAACAGGAAAAAAGCACACATTTACATATATCCACATACATCTACAGACACCTGTGCATATATGCATATATGCACATAGACATACAATGACTCAGGCCTATGTATACACACACACACACACACACGCATGCTCAGACAGATACTTAGACACTTGGTGTATCTGAATTGATGATGCTTCTGTTGTACCATTGAACAGAACTTTCTGTCACTGTGATGTCTAAATCATCCATGGTCCCTGCTCTCTGACCCCTGACATTACACACTGGCTTCAGGGATGTGGAAAGGGTCTTGTCAGTGGCTGGTGGAGCCTGCCAGGAGCCCAGATATTGGTCAGCCCTGAGGAGCGGGCCCTTCGGGACTCCCTTGGCTCCTGAGAGTGGCCTGGCCTAAAGTCATACTCCCTTCTGGAGACAATCCTCTTTACTGTCACTGAATTGAGAGTATAAATTCTTATCACACTTGCCCTGATTTGGGACTACTGGGAAGGTTCATCCCAGCTTCAGAACTCTCTGGAAAAGCCAGGTGAAGTCTCTGGAGAGACTGCATGGTAGCTCCCTCCCTTGCTCCTGCGTGCTGACTTCCACCTCAGAGTCTGCCTTTGGGGACACCTTGCTCTAGGGGCGTGCCTTGTGTGTGCCCAGGAAGGCCTTACCTTGTCATCCTTGTGGAAGTTCAGGCAGGATGCCCAGCTCACTCCCCGGACATATGCCGTCGCCATCTTGAGAATATCCATTTTGAAAGGCTGCTCAAGAAAAATGATGTAGTTTTCCGTCATTCCAAAGCTGTGGTAATAGCTCGGGGAGAGGAGGGAGCGAGAGTTGATGGAGCAGAGCACCTCTGCGTGCTTCCAGCAGTTCTTCTTTTTGCCTTCTAGAGAAAAGTAAGGAGGAGGGCCTGGTCAGGCTGCCCAGACTTCACACCCCCTCCTGCCCCCAGGCCTCTCAAGCCCACCCAGTAGCCAAGAACCCCCTTGGAGTAAGGGTGACAAGTGAGTGGGTGAGGGGGTGCTGCCTGGCTACAGAGGCCTGGGGCCCTTCCCACTCGGGCCCCACTCCCCCTGGTCCTATAATCAGAAGATTCTGAACCAGAGTCCAGTGTCTGGGCCAGGGGTCTTCAGGGCAGCTTGGGGGTCGACTCCAGCCTCCACTCCCTTTTGTGCACTGCTTCAGCCTCTGCACACCAGCCAGAGCAGTTTGTTTTCCAGCCACAACAGCGCTGAGGTATATTTGCCCCAGAGGCTACATGTCTGCAAAGCCTCAGATATTTATTCTCACGTCCCTTAAGGAGGGGTCAGCCCTGCTCTGAAACAATGCTTCTCAAACTTTAATGTGCATAAGGGCCCTGGGGGTCCTGGTAAAATGAGATGTTTGACTCTGTATGCAGGGCTGGGGCTACATGCTGCATTCCCATCCAGCTCTAGGCATGTGGGTTTCTGTTTTAACGCACCCCAGAGTTTGGCATGCCATTTCTGGCGTGTCCATGAGGTTCTCCTGGCACTGCCATTGAGAGCATTGGGAATGAAACTGAGGACCTGCCATGGGGGTGGATGGTTGGGGGGGTACTTTTAATATGTTGTCACAGTTGAGGGAGGTTGTGTGAATCCCATTTAAAATATGGGAAACATGTTTGGTAGAACGATCCCTCTTGTTATGGCCAAATTTGCAGAGTTCAGGCCAGGAGACAGAGCCCCTTAGCTTGACTACCTCCTCTGTTACTTGGGATTATCATACAGAGAACAGGGAGAAAGAGTGGAGCATTGTCAGCACCTCACCCTGTGTGTTTGGGCCCAAACACCCAAGGAACTCAGCACACATTGGGTTTTCTTAAGCCTCTGCTGGGTGAGTCACCGCCGGCCAGAAGGCCTCCCCGCCCAGACCTGGGGCAGGTTGGTAATGAGTTATCGGTGGAGCGTCCCCGCCTTTCTTGTGGCCACCTGGGCACACCGTAAACAGCAGTGGTGGGTGGGATGCTGTGGAGCTGTGGGGAAGTTCTTTTCTTCACAAAACAAGTAGAGCACAAAGCAAAAAGAAATGAAAGCAGCCTGACTAGGCGGCAGGACACCTCCATGAATCCCAGGGAGGCCCCCAGCATGGAGCAGGAGCTCAGAGGAGGTGCTGGTGGCTCCTGTGAGCTGCAGGACGATGGAAAGGTGACCTCATTCCCCTGGGCCTCACAGTTCAGCTCTGCAATAGATGCCTAGAACTCAAGTGCTTAGACCACCCCAGGTCTGCTGTGCTGGCAGTCTCAGCTGGACCCTGTACCCCTTTATTGGCTTAGTTAATGGAAGTCCATTTAACTATAATACTTGTTGGACCTTCTGACCTTGGGGACTCACATCTGCTGACAGAGCCTGGTAATTTGCTCAGGAGGTTCTACAGGTCTGGGGGGAAGGGGGAATCAGCAGGATCACAAGATAGAAACCAGTTTTCCAAAACTAGAAGGTCAGGCCGAGCACCCTTGTACTTGTGCATGATCTCCAGGCCTTGGAGGCCTGGTCTCTGGGGTGTGGTTCCCAGAAGGGTCCTGGAAAATAAGGGCTAGGAGCTCCACCCTCCTCCCCCTCAGGAACATGCAATCACAATCGGCCTGGATCCCAGCCCTACATGGAGAAGGTCCAGAAAGCCCAGAGAACAGGGTGCGGATCTGGAGTGGATCCCAGCAACCTGGCTTAAGGGGCTGGGATGAAAGTGGAGGAAACAACCCTAACATATGAAGATTTGTTACATGACTACAATAATGGATGGAGGGAAGGATGGATGGATGAATGGAGGGAGGGAGGGAGAAAGGGAACAAGAGAGGGAAGGATGAGTGGGCAATTGGATGGATAAGTGGATGGGTAAATGGGGGGTGGATGGGTGGGTGGGTGGATGGATGGATGGATGGATGGATGGATGGATAAATTAATGAACTGGAGCCTAAGAAAAGACTGAAGTAAGATAAATGGTGGATGGATGATGAATGGATGGATGGATAAATTAATGCACTGATGAACTGGAACTTAAAGAAAAGGCTAGAATAGTAACAGGATTCATTTCTTCCAGTAACGTGTCTTTTCAAAGGGGAAAAGTGAGGTCATGGTCACCTGACCCACCTATGAGGGAAGTTGTCAGAGTCTTATGTCGTCAACAAAAATCAGAGCTCCTCCGAAGGTGGTCTCAGCGCTTTGTTATCGCTCCCAAATGACCTACCTGGCACTGTGGCAGGGACCTTAAATATCACATATTTTGTCTTCCCCTTGTTCATGATGGATGTGCCTATGTTGATAACATTTCCAGCCTCATCATAATGAGGATGCGCTGTGGCCACGTTCACACCCACGTATTTACGATAATCAATCTGCAAAATACGACAACCGCTTGACTTTAAAAAAGGGAGAAGGTGAAATACTGTGAAAAGATTGATTTTAGGTTCAGCGAGATGATATATATTTTTGCATAGCTCCTGATCTGAAAATAAGGCAGACTTCACCTTGAACGAGGATGTTTACTCTTGTAACCTGATTATTCCCTCACAGAGACCTTCAATATGTAAGCAGTTGGTGGGAGTGGGGGGCAGGGGGTGAGTGGCCTGCATGTGCTTTCTGTGACAGGTGCTCCCACCCTGCTGCCTGGCCCTGCCAGGTGTCTGCTCCCATGGAGACAGTACATGGCACCACATGGAGATCTGAGCAATGACCTGGGCAGAAGCAACCTTAGAGCGAATCTTGCCCACTGTTCTGTGTCTTTCTGTTTAAGTCACTTAAATTCTCCTCCTTTGCATTTGACAGAGGCATAAATCTCCAGACCTCTCTGACAGTTACTCTGGGAATGGAGAAGTAACCAGAACTTTCGGTTAAAGCAAACTTGACTAACAAGCTCCATAATGACCCAGCTCCCAACAGGCCTACATTATAGAACAATGGGGCACAACCATCTGTCCTTCCTCCCTAAACAGTACAACCTCCAGCTGAAAATCGGGCAATGCTCTCTGCTGTCCTAGTGCTCCCTTGCTGTAGTTTTGTAAAAGCATACATCAGTAGGATCTGTGCCGCCTAGCTTAAGAAAAGCTGGGCATAATTTCACAGCTAAGAAAAGCACTCCTTTTAATGGATCATTATAATGTACTGTGAAGACACTGAGGCTTGAACACCCAGCTGGAGACTGTAAGTGGGTCTATTGATTTTCACAAAAATGTTGACTTGATTCTACACAGGAAAGGTATCTGCTTGGGCACACATTTTTGTATCCTTGCTCTCTGCCTAATGCTACCCTCTTCAGGTTAATATGAGGTAGGACTTCTGGGAATCCTGATCATTCCAGCAAAGTCATTCATTCAAATTTCCATTGAGTGTCCACTCAATGGGCACTTTTATGGGGTGAACTATTCCTTCCAAAAGGGGAGAGTTGAAGTCCTAACTCCTGGTACCTGTATGCTGATATTTGTAGGTATCTGTAGATCCATACAAGTTAAAATGAGGTCACACTGGACTATGGTAGGATTATGGTGGGCCTTAATCTAGTAATTTGTATCTGTAGAAGAAACTGAAACGATGCATTTACAAGTCAAGGAAAACCAAGAATGTCTGGCAACCACCAAAGCTGGAAGAGGCAAGGTCTGATCCTCTCCTAGAGCTGTCAGAAAGAACATAGCCTACCAAAAACCTGACTTCAGATTTCTAGTCTCCATAATTGTGAGAGCATAAATTTCTTATTTTGTTACGGTTGCCCAAGGAACAAATACACAGAAATGAAAGAGACAGCCTCTGCCCTAAGGGAACTTAGAATCTAGTGCCAAGTGCTATATTGAGGAAGTTCAAGGTCAAAGGCATTAGAGGAGGGGGCTTGCCCCTTGAGTTCCTTCAGGCTACTTGGGCTCACCCAGGGGTCCCCCTTCTTGAGTCAGTAACAGGTGCTGGTTGTAGACTTGTGATACCTTCTCGCAGACCTGCAGATTCAGTAGATCAATTTTCCAGATGTAATTGGTCTCCGTGAGCGCATAGCAGTATTTTCCACACTTCATGATGTTAATCAGGCAGTTATCTGTGAAATCAGGGATAGTGTGGGACAGGTAGGAGAAAGCTCTGAGGAGGAAAGCAAACCAACAGGAGTCAGCGGTCACCCAGCTGGAAAATTCTACTCTAGATGACTTGTTTTCCTACCACTTAAAATGCTTTCCTCCAACCAAGGGCAAAAAAGTTCTATATCTCAATGGGTCACTGGAGGACTCCTATGACACAGATATGAAGTTACCCAAAGATAGTAATATGTTGAATTAACTAAGAAGTGAGTCAGCTAGGAAACATGGCTGCCAACCCAGTCCTCCTGGGCTCCCCCAAATCCAAAGATCTCCCACATTAGAGCCAGTAAGGCCTTGCGGATTATTCCCAAGTATTTTAAGAAGCTCTACAAAGAACATACATATATTCACAATGGCGCCCAGAGACTGGCAAAACACCACACTCTGGGCAGAAATGTGAGTATACATTGTGTATCTCAAATTTGTTCAGGAAATTAGTTTTTTTTTTTAAAGGAAAGCAAGCAAATTGTGAGTTAAGAACTAATAATTAATTTGATTAGAAGGCAAACAAAGCAGGAGAAAAGGAAGGTGAGCTCACGACAGTCTCCATGTTAGCGCTCCCCCTACTGTTAAGTAGTCTAACAGCAAGGATGCTCCACAGCTTGTGGTTTTGGATTCATCCCCAACCCCCTCCCTCACTGGCTCAGCAAATGTGAATGCAGTGTCTGCTGGTGTGCCAGCCCTAGCTGGCTCCTGGAACTTGTCAGATGATGTCAGTTCTGGAAAAACAGAAGCAGTCTTCCATCTCTGGCTACCTTTAACACCTTCCATAGCTCCTCCATTAGCGAGAGCACCAAGAAAGAGATTCTGATGGCAAGACTGAGTCCCTACCAACATTTTTTAATGATCAAATACAAAATATATTCATAGGTATCAAAACCCGGTAGATTTCAAATGTCTACAAATAAAAGTCTTTCCCTCTCCTTTTCCATTTGTCGTTTTCCCACTTCTCTTCAGTATTCTTACAGTTTCTTCTTGCAAGTACAAGTGAAAATAAATCTAAATTTCTCCTGCTTTTCTGCACAAAATATAATCTATGATAAGCTTTTTGTATACCTTGCTTTCTTGCTTGTTTTTTCACTTAACAGTCTATCTTGGAAATCTTTCCATTCAGTACATAAAGGGCATTCTCATTCCCCTTCACGTCTGCTTGGTATTTTCTTGCATAATTTTACTGTTATTTATTCAACCTCTTCTCTGTTGATAAAACATTTTGGTTATTTTCAGCTCCTCATTAGAACAAATGACGCAGTCACAAATAACCTTGCATGTTTGTCATATTAGATGCAAGCAAGTCTATCTATAGACGGGAGGGAAGGTGCATTTGTAATTGTGATAAATAATTCCAAACTGCTCCCCCTCCAGACATGGGAAAGTAGTTAACACTTCATTAGATGCTATCTGCCTGTCTTGCCTTCAGTGACCAGAATTGCCCACCTTACATGGTTCAAAGGCTACTCATAAACTTCTTCATGCACTGTAGAGAGATTTGTCAAAGGAGCACATGCTGGTGGTTTGGACCACCAGGGATATAAAAAAGCATGGCCAAATTAAAAATGAACAGTTACTTGGAAAATACACTTGTGCTAGGATCTGGATAGGCCATTGTTCCAAACTCTGACACCACGATCCTGTTTGCCTTGATGTTGGCCTTGTAGGTATTGCTCTCCAGGTACCTGTTGAAGTAGTAGACATTACCTGAAAGAGAAGAAACAGAAAAATCCCAGGATGACATCTTTACAGTTTTAAATCAAAGTCAGTGGTCCCAGGGATTTTGCTGGGGAGGCAAGGTGAGCTCATGGGGACAGTCTCTATTAACATTTGTGCCAGATGTAAGGAGCATCTCGAATGTGCTTTCATACATTTTCTCACTTAGACCTCAAACAATAGGGCAGGGCTATTACTTCATGTCATTATGAGGGAACTCAGGCTCAGACACATTCAGTCTCCTGGCCCACCATCACCCCGCCAAGTGATGCTGACCGGTCCATTGACCATCCCTTCCACCATGTTGATATCTGTGCAGTGTTAGGTTCAGATATGAAGGCTGGGGCTAAAAGGCTCCCAACCTGGCTGGGTTTCCCACGGGCCCCATTTAATCCAGGGAGCCCACACTGACCATTTTAACCCCTCAAGTAACAACTGATAGTGATTACAACCAACAGTGACTGATGCCCAATTCTGTATAGAGAGAAGGTCAGTATGTGTGCTGATGTCTAATTCATCTAAACCTGGCCTAGATCCATAAAGATCAACATGAAAATATACCAGATGGTTCTAGACTCATTTCTGCTTCCTGCTGCTGCCGTAACAAATTACCACAAACTTAGTAGAGCTTGAAACAACACAAATGTGTTCTTACTATTTTAGAAAAGAAAGTTGGAAAGGAGTCTTACAAGGCTAAAATCAAACTATCATCTGGGTGAGGTCCAGATGTATCAGGAGAGGCTGCATGGAGGAGGTTTCACTTAAAATCACTCTTGAAGGATTAGTAGACTTGAACTGCAATGGACTTGGGGGTTGGAGGTAGGAGAGACAGTAGGATGCTCCCATTAATTCTTTCCAGAGAGTCTGTTAGCAAAGGCTTGGAGGAGGGACATCCAGGATGCTTCCTGTTAGAGCTGAGTAATTTTGGGCAGGAGCACCAGGTAGGGACTTGAGAGCAGCAGGAAAGAGGTGAGGTCTGCAGGGCTGTGAAGACCAAGGCTTTTGAGCTTCATTTGGTAGATAATTTGAAACCTTGGGGAATTTATTGTTTTGTTGTTAATTAGAAAATGGCATTATGTTGATTTCTCTCCCTAGAGGACACTTTCCTTGTTGAGTGTAATGAATGCTTCCAATATGATCATGTATGCTTGGTACTACTGTGGTGCATTTTTATGGTCAAATGGCACTTTAGGAACTAGGGGGTGGGGTCTTTATACTGGGGGTTGGGCTTTAGGTTCAGCATGACTATATAATATTCTATTGATATATACTGTCCCTAAATATTAAGCTAAAGTGCTGTCATATAAACATTTCATTTCCATAAAAAAGAATCTCTCAGAAAAATGCCCATTACATACTTGCTATCATGACCACTAGCTTCTAAAAAAGAGAGAATGCATTTCTGAGAAATTCTTGACAAGTGCCCTTTTATATTTTAAGAAAAGAAAAACAGAACTAAGAGCTAACACCTATTGAGCTTGTGGGTATTAAGCACTGTGTAGGCACTTTATGTGATTTATCTGGTTTAATCCTCCAAACAATGAAAGTATATTGAGTACTACAACTAGAAGTATGTTCTTAGGGGCAAAAACTGTAATGTGATGCCATTTTCTAATTAACAGCAAGATAAAATATCATCTGATGGTTTCAAATTTCTTTTTTTCTTTTTCTTTTTCTTTTTAAAGATTTATTTATTTATTTATACAAGCACTGGGTACAGTCAGAAGCGTGGGAGGGTGAGAGAATTCACCAGAGCCAGAGCAGGGAGTAGAGCAGGCAGAAGGACCGAAGTACACTGCTGAGGGGAGCAGCGGGCGGCAGGAGAGGTCTGCACGCCATGTGGGACCCTCCTCCAGTGGCCGGGAGCAGTCAGGGATTGAACCGGCGCTGCAGAGGCTGCGGGCAGCTTCTCAATCCAGCGCTCAACCGCTGCACCACTGGGGAGGCCCAGTTTCAAATTTCTTACTACACGAAGCACAAAGGGCTAGGGCACTCACAGCCCTGCAGATACATTTCCCAGCTTATAAAATTGAGGCACAGAGAGGTTAAGTACCTTGCCTTAAGCCACACAGTTAACGAGTGGTAAGTTGGATACAAAGGTCAGCAGTTGGAAGACCCTAACACAGCAACTACAATCAGTATGACCATTCTTTCTGCTCCCTGTTATTCAAAAGATACCTTAGGGCCTCCCTGATGGCACAGGGGGTTAAGATTCAACCTATGAAGCTATCCACAGAGCCTGTGCAGCACGAGTTCAATCTCTCGCCAAGGAGCAACCCACATGGTGCAGCAGACCTCTCCTGTCTCACCTGCTCCCCTCAGCAGTGTATTTCAGTACATCTGCCTATTCTGCTCCCCACTCTGTCTCTGGTGAATCCTCTCACCCCCATACCTCTGGCCTGTATCCCAGTTCCTGTATGCATAAATAAATCTTTAAAAACAAAACAAAATACACCTATAGAAACATGCACTCTTAACAATATGTTCCCAGACTGAACATACCCATATAAACTATATCTTGGTCAAGAAACAGAATCTGAGCAGCCCCCGGGGAAGCCTCCCTCCCATCCAACCTAGTCACTAGCCTCTCCCCCAGTCTAGTGGATATTGACTTTTAACAGCCTTGATTTGCTTGCCCCAAGGATTGTGTCCTCATGTCTGTCCCTGAAGGATGTGAGGGTCCATTGTAGTGGTGCTGTCTCCCATGCTGCACTTACAGGAAAATCAGAACAAAATATTGTTACCATTAAGTAACACTAATAATAATAAAATTGCAAGAGACTACGAAATACCTGCCAGTGTTTTTTCCAGTTTTCAGCAGGTAAATTATGTGTCCCCAAGGGCATGAGATCATCTAGCCCCTTCTCAAAGGTGGCTGCTATGAATAAGTGTCCCTAAGATGCTTCAGGTGAGGGAGCTTTGTTGCTAGGGCAGCGGGAGAGGAGCTGGGGTTCGGGGTTAACCAAGGCTCAAGGGTTTAACCAGCATTTGTTTGGCATCTCGATAGGTCAGGAAGAGGGGATAGAATGTTGAGACTAACTGGCAAGAATGCTGAACCCTGCAAAGATTCAAATCTTTACTTAGATATGAATGTTTGGCTCCAACACCTACCAGTGATGCACTTGACCCTGCCAGATGCCAGTCTCAGTCTCCTCTACTGTCACAGTCTCCTCTACTGTCTACTGTCCTTAAAGTTGCTGTGACTTCTGAGGCCAGTAAACACAGCACATAGTAGGTGCTCCATAGGCTATTGAGAGGCAGTTGGTAGAGTGGGCAAGGCTCTGGCTCTGGTGCGAGTCCCATTGAATCTGTTTCCTCAACTGGAAGTTGGGGATCACACCATCCTCCCCAACTCAGGTTGCAGTTTTAAGTGAGAGGGGAGGATAGAAGGAGTTCAGACTGTTGGCACTCAGCTTGCACTTGGAAAGTGCTGGCTGCTGAAATTCTGGATTCTCCAACAATATCCTGGACACGGATACACACTAGTGTGGACCGGTGACACCACACGCACTGGTCTCCAGCCACGTGCTGCATAAAACCCACTCTGGGGCCACCCTGGTCTCCCCACGAGTCAGGCTGCCCCTTGCTGGTCACTCTCTGGGGGTTGCCATCCACAGGCAATGGCTGCCTAAAATGCTGAATTCTGTTCGCTTGAAATGTAAACATCCAGCCTAGGCTGCCTGTCGACAGGCTCCCTATTTCCTATAAACAACCAGCCCACAGTGCCAAGTGCTCAGAAGTCACAGGACAATGTGTCTCTGGAATTGCTCAAGGCTGACACTCAACATCAAGGTTGAGATTAAAGAAGGAGCCATGGACAGTCCACACCACCCTGCTGGCAGGGGATCCCAATTAGCCACAGTCCTTCTGAAAGGACACAAGTGAATAGCTGTGCGCTTGCTGGAATCTTCTAGAATTGTATTTGTTAGTTTGGACAGGGAGGAATATACATATATATGTATAATCCAAATATTATATAATTATATATCCTTCCCTACCAAACTAGCAAACATTAACTATTATGTAATATAGAGGGAATTCCCTATTATGTAAAATATAGGGAATTTACATATACGTAAAGAGCTGTTGAAAATTTACATAAATCAGTATATCAACATTGATATATATTTTAGATATATAGCAGGTCTTCAAATAATGTTGTTCTGTTCAATGTCATTTTGTTATGACATTGAGAAGAAAAAAATTCCCAACCACGCTGAATTTGGCGTTAAAGTTCATTTTGCTTGCTGTATGTGAGGACTTAATGTGTATATGTGTATATAAACACCTATATTTTCTATAGCTATACAGAGATTTTTTTTCTTTCTTTTTTAAAAATATATATATTTATTTATGCATGCAAAAACTGGGGTGTGGGCCAGAGGTGCGGGGGGGGGGCGGTGTGTGTATCACTGGTGTGGGGAGCAGAACAGGTGGATTGACTGAAACACATTGCTGAGGAGAGCAGTGGGCGAGACAGGAGAGGTCTGCTGCACCATGTGGGTCACCTCCCTGGCTGGGGATCGAACTCCTTCTGCAGTGGCTGAGAATAGCTTCATAGCGTTGCGACTTAACCCCTTGCACCACCAAGGAGGCTCTCTTTCTTTTCTTTTTAAAGTATACTTTCCAAAAGGCTACCTTGGAGTAACAATTGGAAAAAAAAAGTCAGATTTTGATAAGTTTCAATTCTCAAGAGCTCTTTGTACCTCTAAATCTCGTTGACTCTGGCTCTTAGCATTCATGTATTAAAAGGTTTGTGGGACAATTTTGCCTCAAATCATACGGCTGGGTGATTTGGCTTAGCTCACCTCTATGCCTACTTTATACAAAATTTTTATTTTGAAGTAATTTTTGACTCATATAAACGAGCACTTCCTATATGCCCTTCACCAGCTTCCTCCTCTCAGCTCTGCTCTTTGTTAAAATCTTTGTTCTTTTGAAGCATCAACATCCACTGGCCTATGTTGAAGGTCACACACCCTCTTTTTCTTTATGCTTTCTTCTCCAAGGTCTTTTCTCATTATTTGACACACTTTAGATGTCTCATGCAGCCTATAAACTAGAACCACCTGGGTATTTTAATAAAAGGCAGAAGCCTGAACCCCATGGCCCTCTAATAAACTTGGTCTTGGGTGGGTATGGTAAGCAGGTCGGAGGACCACTGTGCAGGTTTGCTGAAACCTCTGTGTGCTCAAAGTCGATGGGGAAAGGTATTAGAAACACGGAAATTCTGTTCCTACCCTTCAGGACTATCAGTCACTCAAGCCCCAGGGTAGAAGGGCTGGTCTTGGGGTTCTCAGCTTTAAGGAGTATGGAAGGTGGTGGTGGGTGGCTACTGAAACAGGCGATTCACAAACCTCTTTTAAGAAATATTCATTTTTTCAGAGACATCCTGCAGGGGAGGAAAAGGGAGGGTGATTAGAGAGAGGGAGGGAGGAGCACAGGGGACTATGGTGATGGTGCACAGGTGCATTGGTGAAGGAAATTCTTTGGGGACTACACCTAAGGGGGGTGGGGGAAGCAAACATTATTTAAAAATGAACAATGATGTAAAAAATATATACAAAAATAAATAAAAAAAATAAATATTGATTTTCTCTGCAAGCCAGAGAACTCTGCTTGCCCCCTGCATGCCCTTGACTCATGTACTGTAGTATTAGCATGTTTGGCTTATAGTTCCATTGTTAGACAATGGGAGCCATTGAGAGTTCTGGAGGAGAGGAGAGAAAGGACAGGCTGTGCCACACCAACAGAGGTAATGTGGCAGCCTCCAGTGGACTGTATGGGAGAGGTGTAGCTTGCAGCAGAGGAGATCAGAGACAAAATTACATAAGGTTTAGGACTTGAGGTTCAGGATTCAGAGAGCTTTGGATTTATATCTGACTGCTGCAACTTCTTGGCTGGGTACATTTGGACAAGTGACTTGGTTTCTCTGGGCTTTAGACAATCATCTGTAAAAAATGACATAATATAGTATCCTTCTCAGGAGCTGTTTGGGGCTGAGAGCATGAAGCACACAGGTTGGTGATCAGCCAGTACCCCCTGCAGTGAGGATTAGAGATGGCCTGGGAAAGGACTGAGTCCTTCTACCAAGAACTTCTACCAACACTTGACCTTGTTTGTGCCATTTGGGCTCCATAAAGAGTTTCTAAGTGTCCGTCTGGGCCAGCCCTCACACCAGGTGATGAAGATGCAATGCTTTGGACAGGCGCTCTTCTGGAGGTTCCTGTCTATGCTGGAGAGCAGAGCACAAAGCAGGCTGTACCTGGACTTGTGCCGGTTCAAGGGCAAGATGGGTGAAGGGCAAAAATTGGGTGTATTCTCACTGCCCACTTTCCACCAGTTCCAGGTTGCAAATAGAACTACTTCTTTCATGCTACTGCACTATATTTATTTTTAATTTCCTGTTTATTATGATGCTATAACATCTTAGAAAGCCATTTTGCCTGGGGAGAGACTGTCCTTCCCTGAACCAGCCAGTTAGAGGCTGAGAAGGCCAAGTCTGTCTTTGATATACAAATTAACCAATCCAGAGCCAACTTCCTGCATCTGGGCTGTACATCCCAGGAGGCCTTCATTATCCCAGGGCCTGGTGCAAGAACTTAGACCACCCTTCAGCCCAAGGCATGCCCACCAGAATCATTTCAACCAGCTAGTCCTAAGTTGGTCACCCTGCCTTGCCCTTGGAAACCCCAAAAAAGGCTGTGGCCAAGGAATCTACCCTGCTGCTGCCTTCCACCTCTTGACCTCTGCTGTCACCCACACAGCCCAGGGTGCTCTCCTGTTTCAGCATCTGTTGGCACAGCCACTGTTGTCTTCCTGAGCCTTTCTGCTTGTGTTCACACCAATTCATGAAAGAACACAAGCAGCTACTTACCTGTAATTATGCTTTTTTAGTACGAAAATCTACTAGAATTATTTAGAAAGTCTAAAGCATGTGGGATAACTTTCTGATGAAAGTTAGACACATAGTACTTGCCTGTTTGGCTCATCAAGAATTTTGGCGGAGGGCACTCAGTCGGTCATGCCTTGCTGGTTCCAGTGTCCCTTGAGCATCCATGGACGAATATAGGAATCCCCACCCCATAAGCTACGAGAGGTTAGCTCAGCAACCTGCCAGTTGGTCTGTGTGTGTATGTGTGAGCTGAGGTGAGGAGAGGGGAGACAGGTGCAGACTTTGCCCCAGATAACCAGGGGGCTCAGATCCTAGCCCACCTCAGTGCCCTCCCTCAAAAGTTGCTCACCCTTCCTCAAGTTCTGCCTCTGCAAAGACAAGGCAGCTCCTCCCACTCCCCTTAATGTGAGAACAGAAATGGAGCATGAAGGACCTGGCAGCTGATGAAGCTGGTCCTCCCAGAAAGGAGGCCTCTGGTCCTTCTACCTCATCCGGAATAGTGTTATTTCCCCAGGAATCGCTGGTAACTTCTGTTTAGAGACACCCACTCAGTGGCTGAGTCTCTGCTCAGGAGATGTTAGAGCACGTTGCTACCAGGGAGTCTGTGAGCGGAAAATAACTGCTGTCTGGCTTGAAAGAAATAAATCCCGTGAAAATAATAGCTAGTGCTTACTGAGCACTTTTCATGTGCCATACATTATACAAAGCTCTGTACACATTAATCCCTCTCAATTCCACAGCAACTCTATGAGCTACACTATGAGAATCTCCATTTTACAGCAGCCCAGAGAGGAACAGTAAAGGTAACTGAGTGAAGTTACCAGTAACTCGGTGAAGGTCACACAGCTGAGGTGCATGTTAGCTAGGATGGTGGAGCAGGACTTCCAACTTGGCCATAGCAGTGGTAGTTTTAGCCTTTGTCTGAGCCTTGCTAGACAAATAGTACTTGGAATCATCCCAACAGCTCTCCAGGGGACTATCAAGCTCTTTTTACTGATGAGGAGACAGAGGCTGAGGGAGGTGAAGTCACCACAGTTTAGTCATACTGGAATATATGGGGGGTAGAGAAAAATGTCATCAAGCTAAAGCTTTCAGACATGAATTTGCCCACGATGTGACCCTAAACCTGATGATGCCCCTTACAACCCTACCTGGGGAAAGGAGAGATGCTGAACTTTTGCTTGAGCTTTGTGGCACCCGTGGGCTGGCAGCAAGCATTGGTCTTCCAGCATTCTACTCTTCCTCGTTTGGTTTGACGTGCGTCTGACTCTGAAGCCTGTGACATTCCACAAGCTCTTGCTCATCTTATTGAGAATGAGTAATATTTTGCAAGTTAAACTCTGAAAAAGATCCTTGGCTACCTTTCCAGAGAGTTTTGTGTTTGTGATAAATAATGGCCTCCTCAAATGTCCATGTCCCAATTCCTGGAACCTGTGAATATGGTTCTTTATGGGGCAAAAGAGGTGTGATTAAATGAAGGGTTTTGAGAAGGTGTATGATCCTGGGTTCTCTGGATGGGCCCCCTGGCATCACAAAGGTCCTTGTAAGAGGGAGGCAGGAGGTCAGAGTCATTGAAGAACTGATGATGGAAAAGAGGGGGGGCAGGGAGAGAGGGTGAGAGGAGAGTGGGCACCACAGGTCAAGGAATGCAGGTGACCTCTAGAAGTGAGAAAGGGCAAGGAAATGGATTTTCTCCTGGAGACTCCAGAAGGAACATAGCCTTGTCCATGCCTTGGTGTTGTCCTACCAGACTCATTTCAGACTACCAACTTTCAGAACTGTAAGAGAATAAATTTGTGTGGTTTTAAGGCACCAAGTTTGTGTCATTTGTCACAGCAGCAATAGCAAAGTACTCGAGGGTTCTTACCGGATTTGACTGAAAAGCAGTGGAGCAGGGCCAGGCCATCAAACCAGTGGCTGTATCTGGTCTCACCCACTGTATGCATCCCAGGCCCATTGCGCAACAGCCTTCCTTGTAGCCACAATGGAATGTTGCCTGTTAAGGAAGGAATGAGGTTGTATAGCTCAGTACTGCTCAGGGCATCCATCCATTTACTCAGCTGTCACTTCTGGGAAGTATATAATGCACCTGACATTTGCTCACACTGAGGACACCAAGATGAATAGACATCACCCCTGCCCTCAAGTATACTCACTGTCCATTGAGAGGCAAAAACAGAGGAACCAACAGACACTCAAAATACAGGGTGAGCATTGGAGAAGATGCGGAGAAAGAGGAGCCCTATGACACGGCTGGGGAGAATGTAAACTGGTGCAGCCATTTTGGAAAGTGACCTGGATTTTCCTTAAAAAACTAAAAATTGAGGGCCTCCCTGGTGGCGTAGCAGGTTGAGCGCAGTGCTATGAAACTGTCCACAGCCTCTGCAGCGCGTGGTTGATTCCCAGCCAGCCAGAGAGATTCCCACATGGCGTGGCAGACCTCTCTTGTCTCGCCCATTGCTCCCCTCAGCAGTGTATTTCAGTCAGTCTGCCTGTTTCGCTCCCCACTCTGTCTCTGGTGAATCCTCTTACCCTTCCGCACCTCTGGCCTGTACTCTAGCTCTTGTATAAAAATAAATAAACCTTAAAAAAAAAAACAACAACAAAAACTAAAAATTGAAATCCTGTGTGGCCCAGCAATTCCCCTCTTGGGGATCTTCCCAAAGAACATTAAACCATGAAGTCAAAAAAATTCTATGCTCCACAGTGTTCACTGTGGCATTGTTCAAAATGGCAAAGACATGGAAACAACCTATGTGCCCCCCTGATAGAGGACTGGATCAAGAAGACATGGTCTATCCACACAATGGAATACTGTTGATATTTGGCCATAAAGGAAGATGAAATGTTGCCACTTACGGCCACAGGGAAGGAGTTCCAGGAAATGATGTGGAGTAAAGCACATCAGAAGGACAAAGATAAATATTGGGTATTTTCATCTATATGACAAAAACGAGGAGTCATAGCAGATGAACTGATGAAGCAACATAAATATAATTAGTAGATGCTAAAAAATGAAGCGAGGGGGGCCTCCCTGGTAGTGCAGGGGTTAAGACACAGCACTGTGAAGCTATCGGCAGCCAGGGAGGTGACACACATGGCGCAGCAGACCTCTCCTGTCTCGCCCGCTGCTCCCCTTAGCAGTGTATTTCAGTACACCTACCTGTTCTGTTCCCTACTCTGTCTCTGGTGAATCCTCTCACCCTCCACATCTCTGGCCTATACCCAGTTCTTGTATGCATAAATAAATAAATCTTTAAAAAAAATGAAGTGAGGTTTCTGAGGTTAAAGAAGGTAGTGGGAGAAAGAGGGATGGAAAGAAAGAAAAATTAAACAAAAGATACTAAGACACTGTGAGAAAGACAACTTGAAGCCTCAGGAACAAAGCCTCCCTCTGGAATGGGGTGAAGACAGGAGGGTGAGGATTCCTTCCTGCGGTGCGGGCAGGAGACAAGGTGCTGGGGTCTGAGGGGGTTGAGTATTTGCTTCACAAAGACATGAGGAAAGAACATTCTAAAGCTCTGCTAGGCAATATGGCGCCATCAGCCCTGAGAGGACACTAAGTGTGAAATACAGCCCAGATTTCAAAGATTTAACATGGGAAAAAGGGTAAAAGAGCTCATGAGCAATTTTACAATATTGATTACACGTTGAACTCATACTACTTTGGATATGTCAGGTTAAATATACTGTTACTTTTAATTTCACTGGCTTCTTTTAACTTTTTGAATGTGGCTGTTAGAAAATTAAGCATGACACCATGGCATGTGTTATATTTCTGTTGAACAGCACTGCTCTAGAGATAGGCTTGTTGGGATAACAAATAAAACTACTTATACCTGAATGGGTATCACTGGAGGAAGGTGATCCAAGGGATCAAAGACCAGGAAATGTTACAAGCTGCTTAGTAAAGACTAGACGGTAATTGTCATCTAAGCAAGTCCTAAGCAAGTTACTAGGCACCAAGTGACACAGAGGTCAATGACACCACCCTAAGGGTTTTGATTTGCTGCTCAGAAGGGGGCCCTATTGACAGAACAGGGAATGACAGCATCAAGTTTGTCCCTTGCAATATTTTTATTGCAATAAAATTCATATAACAGAAAATCTACCATTTAGAAGTACGCAGTTCAGAATATTGAGTGGCCGCTACCTCTAAATAATTATAGAATATTTCCATCACCCCCAAAAGAAGTACCCATTGGCAGTCACTCCACATTCCCCACTCCAGCCCCTAGTAACCACAAATCTACTTTTCTGTCTCTAAAGATTTACTCTTCTCGGTGGAATGTGCTCGGATTGGTTTCTAGCATTTGTCTCTGATGGCAGGTAGTATGCAGTGTGGACCGGAAAGGAGCCAAGGGGAGGCAGGTAGACCAGAGACCCAGGGTAGCAGCAGTGGAGAAAGAGGAAAATGATGGAGGCCAAAGACATGGATAGAATTTGGGAGTTTGACTAAATATGGGTAAAGGACAAGAAGCACTCAATGCCAGTGTGTCTCGCCTGGAGCAACTAAGTGGGTGGTGGGACTACTCAGAGCCCCCAGACGCAACAGAAAGAGCAGGCTGAAGCAGAGTAGGGCAAGGAATCTGAGAAGGTGGAGAACGTGCTAGATAGAATCATGTATATTGTGTATATGCAGCAGCTGTTGCAGGTGGATTAAATCACTGAGTCATAGCATAATTCTATGTGGCAGGTGCACAGTTGACAAAAGAGAAAACTGAGGCAAGAAATACCTAAGAAACTGACCAAGGAAGGCCCAGAGCCAAGCATGCAGAGCCGGGCACAAAGCCAGAGGCCTGGACAAACAATTTCACGTAGACACCACCTTTAGTTTAGCTGTTAGCCAGTGGCCCCTGGCCAGTTCAGTGGACTTGACCCAGGGTTGGAGGATGAGATTGAGATCAGAGGCTGTCTTATCCTGGCCACCTGGCTTTGGGCACATCACTGCCCCTGTCTGACCATCAGTGTCACATCCATCCAGTATGGAGACATGCTTTACAGAAGTGAGTGGAATCAGCTAAAGGGCTGGTGAAAACAGATTTCTGGGCTCCAACTGCCCCCCACCAAGTGCTTGATTCAGTGGTGTGAGTGGGCCCAGGAACCTGTGATGCTAGCAGGTGCCAGGCAGGGCTGGGGGCTATTCTTTAAGAATAGCAGAGTTAGAGGATCTTTGAGGTTGACTCAGTTTCCTAAGTTCTGGGATTCTTGTTTTATTGACTTTCCAAGCATTTCCAGGCAGTCATTAAGTGTGAGGTGTAAAGGGAGGGATAATGGCAAAATGCTGAGGGCATAAAAAGAATGCTGGATATAGTGTGACCTCTTTTATAAAATTAAAAAAAATACACCTTTGGTTTTTTGGAAACAAATAATTATAAATATCGTATGTATTAGTACTATCTATATCTACCTTTTAAAAACTTAAAGAACAGGGGCCTCCCTGGTGGCACAAGGGGTTAAGATGCAACCTATGAAGCTGTCCGCAGCCTCTGCAGCACAAGTTCGATACCCTGGCTTGCCAGGGAGCAACCCACATGGTGCAGCAGACCTCTCCTGACTCACCCGCTGCTCCCCTCAGCAGTATATTTCAGTCAGTCTGCCTGTTCTGCTCCCTATTCTGTCTGGTGAATCTTCTCACCCTTCATACCTCTGGCCTGTACCCCAGCTCTTGTTAAGCATAAATACATAAAATCTTTAAAAATAATAAATCCCTAAAGAATATACTCATAAAATATTAATAAAGTTTAAGAAATGGAATACATTGATTTTAATTTCTCTGTTCTCATTGTTCTTTCAAGTTACACGCACATGCATGCACACACACAACTGTGCATTACCTCCCTAATCAGAAAAAATATACATAAAAGCTACTTTTCTTTCAAAGCCTTGCAAGGCAATTCCTCAGTCAAAAAGCTCCAGTATGGGGGACCTCCTTGGTGGCCTAGGGGTAAAGTCTCAGTGCTATCACTGCTGCAGCCTAGGTTCAATGACTGGCCAAGGAACTGACCCACATGCTGCAGCAGACCTCTCCTGTCTCGCCTGCTGCTCCCCTTGGCAGTGTGTTTCAGTAAATCCATCTGTTCTGCTCCCCAATTTGTCTCTAGTGAATCCTCTTACCTCCCACACCTCTGGCTTATACCCCAGTTCTATGCAAAAAAAAAAAATTAATTAAAAAATAATAAGTAAATAAAAGCTCCAGTATGCCTTTCCTCTTAGGGGGCTCCCACTGTTGTCTTCTGCTAGTGAATATCATTCCATCCATCTACCTGAAGATGAGAACACCTGTGTGCCCAAGCTGACCTGCTCAGAACACCCCATAGTCACCCTGGGGTCCAAGAGTTCAGAAATAGCCACTGTCCTTTACAATCTAAATAAGATGGTCCAGGAAAGTGGACACATGGAAGAGGAGGTGAGAACTGGAGAAATAACGGATGAAGAAAATGAGACCCACAGCCCTGTGAGGCATCTCATTGGGTGAGATCTGCAGGTCCACGTGATGCTGAAACCACCCCTGTGAGCACCCGAGAGATCACACTGGCTTCTGCATGTGCACCCATGCAGGAGTAGGAGCTCACACACGTCTCGAACCATTTTGAAGTTAATTTAGGATGCACACATTTGTACACATAGACCACGGATATGGAAAGGGCACTCTTTGGTGGAATCATCTGAGTGCACAAGCCAACTGCAGCATTTCTGAGATGTTTCTCTTGGAAACTGTGAGAAGAATTCTTTGGAAATGGAGTTTTTGTGCACAAAAAGCATAGCGAGGTTTTCAGAGAATGTGTCTGGATTGAGTCATCCCCCTGCTCCCCCCACACACACACACACACACACACACACACACACACACACAGCTTTCCAGATTTCCCAAAAATAAATTACACTATTACTTTCATAAACAGAAAAAAGAACACTGCTGGGAAGAGCCAGTGATTTAAACACACTCACCTCTCACTTTGGCAGTCACGGCTTCCTTGTATTCTTTCATATTTTTGCCAAATAGCATATCCATCCTAAAAGGCAATGAGTGAACGTGATATTGACAGTGACTGGTCCTCCTCTATGCTCCTCTGTCCTGTTCTTCTTCGCTTCCTCTTCTGCTGCAGCTTCTTTCTTTGATATCACCTTCCCTTGGGATCCTGTTTCTCTAGTTGCTTCCCCCACTTGGTTGGCTCTGAATTTCTCTCTGAGGGCCTGGTATATCTTGGCATATGTGGGGAAAGCTGTGCTTGGTCAAAGGCCACTTTCCCTAGGCGTGAGTCCTAGTTAATCTTCAATCCTCCTATTGTACTCCCAATTCTGCCACGCTTGTTTCACTTTTGACTTTACCCTCCTCTTGCCCCCTCCTCCAAAAAAAAAGCAGGTTTCTGGGCTTAAATTGGCCAGATGATTTAGTGGTGCTATCAACTTAGATATGTTTTCTGAAATGATCTAAGCCAGGAGGTGGAAGGTTTAGGATCAGGATAAGAAATGAGGCTGTAAGGCCCGACATCTGGCATCGGGGGTGCCCAAAGCACGTCCATCAGCAGAACTGCTGCTGCACATGAACTGGGATTCCTCTGCACAAGTGGTTATGGCTTGTTGCTTTGTTTTGCATAAAAGTCCCTGAGGTTCCTTCTCCTTGAAAAATCATACATAAAGAATGACAAAATTTATTATATATATATTTTTTGAGAAGACAAAATGCTTTGTGTAACCCATTTAAACAATAAATCCAGGGAACAAAATGCTCTATTGAGAAGCTATGAGAAAAAAGTGAAACATTAAAATTCAGCTCTATTTCCTGGTCTATCAAGAGGGAGCAATGATGCCTAAATTTGACTCCATTTGATGCCATGGCCTAAAATCCTATTCAAGTAGCGAGGAACATGGAATAAGGAACACGGGATGAGTTAGTGAATTCATCTGAACTCATGTTGCTTAAGGAAAGCAGCAGCCATTCCCTCTCTGGGTAGAGTAAGAAGAGGCTCCCTGATGCAGCAGTTGAGCATGGTCGTGAGGTTTGGGTGGAGACTGTTCCAGCCTCCTTGGCATTTATGGCTTCTACCCCTGACCACACATTCTGGTTGACAGCTTTAAAAAAGTGCCAGGGTAGGTCCCGTTCCACATACATAAATTTGAAAGAATCTTTAGTATCTTAAAAATATGTTTACCATATTGAGCTGGCTCACACACTGTTGTGGAGGGCTGGTAGATCTAGAATCTACAGGGTAGTGTGGCAGGCTGGATATCCAGCCTTTAGTCCAACGACACCCTCTTGTTCAAGGGACGTCAGTCTTTGTTCTATTAAGGTCTTCAATTGATTGAGAGAGGCCCACCCACATGATGGATGGGACACAATTCAGTCCATGACAATATCACAATGGCACAATGAGTTTATGGAAGAAGCTTAGGCTGAAAGTAATGGAATATCCACTGAAACTCCAAGGATGTACATGCACCTCGGCTATTGAATATTCTGGGTGTCCTGGGGGCTTGAAAGCCCATCTAGGCCAGAGTGTCCCAACCTCACAGCCATCCCCAGGGGGCTGGTTGAATTCACATTCTCTTCACCATCAGCCTGAGTATAGATGGTTAGCCCCATTTGACAGATTAGGAAAGTGAGGCAGAGAAGAGCACCCAGCACTGGGCTTTATGCTGAAAGCAAAGGTGTTCCAAGCAAGAGACCACATCCAAAGAGGTCATTAATGTGGCCATTTATCTATGCTGTCCCTCACAGTAGCCACTAATCAGACATGGTTATTTAAATTTAAATATAAACATAAACAAATTACAATGACATTAAATTCCTCCTTTACACTAGCCATATTTCAGGGTTCCAGAGACACCTGTGGTCAGTAGCTCCTCTTTTGCTCAGTGCAGACACCAAATACTTCCATTCTTAAGGAAAGTTCTATTGATAGTGCTCAGCTAGCAGGGGAGCTGAGATGGCATTTCTATGTGATTAAGATGGACAGAGGCTGGTATGACCACATGACAAGCTGGTTAAGGGGTTATAAGTGTCACAGCAGTCCCTGATGGGCGATGGTATAATTGTGAATTAATCCATCATGCATTCATTCATTCAGTCATTCTTAGTTCCACAAATACAGAGTCCCACACAACCAGCTGGAGCAGTTCTGCCTCTGAGGTAACACAGTCTGGGGACAGAGGAAGGAGGGAAATCCTCCAGGGCAGGGAGGCATGGTGAAGAGGTAGGAGGTCCACAGGCTTCCTGAAAGGAGCAATGCTGAGCTACCTGAAGGCAGTGCCTACATACAGAAGCCAGGAGGAGCCCTTCGAAACGAAACAGCTTCTACAAAGACTTGGAGACATCATACCACATGGATTAAGGGAAAAGTGTGCATGCAGGAGAGGGAGTGGGAGCCAGAAGAAAAAGTGAAAGCCAGAAGAGGGAGGGAGTGAGGGAAGAGGCAAATTGTACAGACTGCAGACTGGAGGCTGGAGTTCCTGAGAGGGCAGAGAGAGAGAGGAGGGTTGGGTTTCCCTGCTGATCAGCAGTTCCCTTCTCAGAGTTCAGCTGGGTGTCTCCTAGGGATTCCTCCCAGTTCACCTAAGTTTGCATCCATTGGAAAGCTGCCTCCAGCACCAATCCACAGTGCAAGAGGATTGCTTCCACAGGGGGCAAGGCATGGTACACAGTCTGCCTTTGGAAGGCCCCAAGATACTCATGAGCTGAGCAGGAGGCTTCATCTCCTCCCACTGGGTGTGCTCCCCTCTGGATCTTGCACACACCGTGTCCTCTAATCCCACAACAGACCTGGCAGTCACTAGTGTTACCCACAACTAAAGCTCCGGGAGGTAGTGCCCCTGGGCCAGAGATCACATGACAAGTGGCAGGGAGGAAGATTTAAATTTTTTTTTTTAATTTCTTTTTTTTTAATAGAGGCATGTTTTATTTATTTATTTGTGTGTTTTGTTTATACATGCACTGGGTACAGTCAGAAGCACGGGAGGGTGAGAGAATTCACCAGAGCCAGAGCGGGGAGCAGAGCAGGTAGAAGGACCGAAGTACACTGCTGAGGGAAGCAGCGGGCGGCAGGAGAGGTCTGCGTGCCATGTGGGACCCTCCTCTGGTGGCCGGGGAGCAGCCGGGGATCGAACCGGCGCCGCAGAGGCCGCAGGCAGCCTCACAACCCAGCGCTCAACTGCTACGCCACCGGGGAGGCCCTAAAAAAAATTTTTTTTTAATTGTTCATTTGTACAATATTTGATTTCTCCCCTCATGTGGAGTCCCCATAATTCTCCCATTACTACAGAACCTGTGACTATGACCATAGTCCCTTGTGCTCTTCCCTCCCCTGCTTTTACCCTTCTCCCTCCTCTTCTCTTGCTATATGGCTCGGATCTATGATTTGCCTGCAAGTTTTGTCATTTTCCTGATTCTTTTGTTCAGTTTCCCTATATTCCCCCGATAGGTGAAATCGTCCAATATTTACCTTTTTCCTTCTGACTTATTTTGCTTAGCATAATCCTTTCCAATTCCATCCGTGTTGCCACAGATTGCATGTGTTTAACTTTTTTGATTGCTGAGTAGTATTCCAATGTGTGTGTGTGTGTGTGTGTGTGTACACATACACACATATATATACATATACTACATCTTCTTGGTGCATTTATCTGTTTTGGAGCATTCAGATTGTTTCCATATCTTAGCTATTGTAAATAGTGCTAGAATAAACATAGGAGGACAGGTTTCACTTCAAATTAGCATTTCTTTGCCCTTTGGGTATATTCTCAGGAATGGAATCACTAGATCATATGGTAGATACATTTTTTAGTGTTTTAAGGAACTCCACACAGCTTTCCGTAGTGGCTGAACCAATATGCATTCCAACCAGCAGTGTAGGAGAATTCCTTTTTCTCCACATCTTTGCCAGCATTTGTTGTTGCCAGTTGTTGTTGTTTTTTTTTTTAATATGGATCATTCTCACCAGTGTGAGGTGGTATCTCATTGTGGTTTTGATTTGGATTTACCTGATTATAAGTGATGTTGAGCATTTTTTCATACACCCATTGGCCATTTGCATTTCTTCTTTTGAAAAGTGTCTTTTAAACTATTCTGCCTATTTTTTCAATTGGGTTGTTTGCTTTGTTTTTGTTGAGTTGTGCAAGACTTTGAAGATCTTTGCTATTAGTCCCTTATCAGTTGTATGGTGTGCAAATATTTTCTCCCAATCTGTAGGGTGTCTCCTCATTTTGGTTACTGTCTCTCTTGTCCTGCAGCAGCTTTTTAGTTTGATGTAGCCCCAGCTATTTATCTTTTTCTTCATTTTCTTTGCTTCCAGGGATGAGTCTTCAAAGATATTTCTGAGGTGTATGTCATGGAGCGTTTTGAGAGGTAGGAGTTTTGAACATTTAACCTCCATAATTTGGGGAAGGATGTGGGAAAAGGAGGCCAGATTTCCCAGAGAGTGTATCACATCCATAGAACAAGTCATCACGGGAAGAAGAAAAGCTGGATTTTATAAGGAGAGCTTTTGTGCCATAAAACAACAGGCTTATTTTGCAGTTCTGTATCTCCTGTTATAAAGTTATTGCTTAAAAGGAGTTAATATTTCCCTTTTGCAGATAATGGTATCATATCTAAATTGCTTTGCAATTTTCCAATTAAGCTAGCTTATAAACGGTGCCTCTAATTAGCCAGGGTGATACAATAGTTAACCCAGTAGTCTCAGATAGCAAGGTTCAAGGTAACAGGCAAAGGCCCAGGGGAAGTGTCAGTCCCCTCCCTGAGAGAGAAGCATGGGTGGCAAGTTCAGAAAACTCAGCTCTCCACAGGCCTGTTCAGGAAATGGGGTGTTGGGAACGTGGAGGGAACTGCCCTAGGACTCCCAAAGCAAACACTTCATCACCAAACAAAGGACCACAAATTGCACCATTAACAATAATGAGGATTCATTAATTCCACAAAGTATTCTGGCACAATAGAGTCTGGTGTCAGGTTGGGTATTAGAGATAGAACAATGGGAAATCATAGCCCCTGATGCCAATGACCTGAGAGCCCAACAAGGGGGAAAGGAATACAGATGGCAATCCCAGTAATATCAGGTCACACATGGAGAGAGACTGAACTAACCTGAGACACAAGGGCTTTACTGGTAGAAAAGAAATGCCTTTTAAATCTAGAGCTAGAAGGCTTCAACTTCCCACCATGTACTTCAGGGCCCAATCAGTGAGGCTTAGCAAAACTTCAGAATGGCCTAAATGATAAAGACTAGGGATCACAAGCATTGGCAAGGGTGTAGAGAAAAAGGAACCCATGTGCATGGTTGGTGGAAATGTAAGTTGGTGACCCTTTTATGGAGAACAGTATGGAGATGCCTCTAAAGAGTAAGACTAGAAATGTTACAAGGCAGTCCCAATACAAAACGAGTTGCCTGACTGTGGGTCCTCACCCGCGTGCTTAAAAGGACTTATTAATACTCTACTGCAGGCATACACAAAAGGTTAATAAAAGGTTTATTCACAAGGGAAGGGGAAATGAGGAAATGTACAGCTCAGGGAGAAAAGTGGGAGATAAAGTCTTAAATGCGTCCTACCCGATCCGCCGACCTGGAAACCCAATGGCACTCTGAGAGCTGGCCGTGAGCCACAAGCCGTGAAGCCAGGAGGCGTGCGAGAGCCCCCAAGGCCCATGTGTCTGGTTTTTATACCAAACCTGGCTGCTTAACTCCACCCTCAGGTCCCAGCCACCTTCCCTTTGGTGGTGACGGGATTTGTCTTTCCTAATGTCTTGATGGCTCTGGTCTGGAGTGGGGGTGGGGTCCACAAAGCCTGTATGAAATTAGCTCAGGACATCCTTTCCCCCCAACAGAAACACCATATGATCTAGCAATTCCCCTTCTGGTATTTATCTGAAGAATATGAAAACAGTAATTTGAAGAGATAGATACACTCCTAGTTTCAGAGCCCAGACATAGAAACAAGTTAAATGCCCATCAACAGATGACTGGACAAAGAAGATGCAGTTTATATACTCAGTGGAATACTACTCGGCTGTTAAATCTTGATGAAATCTTGCCCTTTTTGACCACATGGAAGGATAGAGTTTCAGGTGATTATGGTAAGTGAAATAACTCAGAAAGTAGAAGACAATTACCAGATGGTTTCTCTCTTAAGTGGAAAATAAAGAAGCAAAGCAAGTGAATTAGCAAAATAACTCAGAATCTGACAACGAAATAGAGGCTACTAAAGAGGCAGGGGAATGGAGTTGGAGACACTCTTGTCCCTACCAGCTCTCCCCCCATTTCAACCCCCACCCCATACCCATTTTTCCTGTTTTTTTTTCAAGATTCAGATTACCAGACAATCTCTAGAAGCAAACAACTAAGCACATGTGAGTGAACCTGCAGGCCTCACCTATACACATGTCTGAAAAATCAAGAGAACACTGCCTACTCTTTAGTGACCAAGGTCATTTTTCACTCAGAGATGGTTCTCAAGTATGGAATTGAAACCTCAAGCATGGAAAGTAGCAGGACACAGCTCAGCTGAGCTGTGTGAGTGTGTTTCTCAGGATTTGATCTGACAATCTGTGACGTGAAGTGGAATCAGCAACATGAACACCAGAAAGATAACTTAGTTAAATAGGGTGTGGAGTCCACAGTACGAATTATGAAGATGTTCATGCCAGACATCCCAGTCCTGGGCATTGACCTTTGTAGGCAAACCCCAAGACGAGGAGGTTTACTTGGGAGGTAAATCCAGGAGATGGTGCATTTGTAAGGCTGTTGCCAAGATAGGCAACTGAAGCTCCTTCTGGCTGAAGAACGCTGGAGATGGTGTGAACATACCTTGGCATTATCTAGAGGGAACTGGGGGATTGATCCATCAACTCTTGTCAAACAAGGATGAGACTTTTTCCCAAGAGACAATAACTTCCTGGTACTTCCATCTGCTCCTCGTGCAGAGGGAGACTTTGCAGGTGTTTGCACTTTAGAAGGCTTACAGGGTGAGCATAAGGGTCAAGGTGGGTCATGGTGTTTGTTATATTAACTGAAACTAAAGTACTCATTAAATAAAGCAAGGATTCGAACCTGGGAAGCAGTCCTGTATATAGATATCACTCTGGGAGAGCTGTTCTAATAAACACAAGTTTGAATTTAGTTTACATAGGTAGGAGCAGTGAGTCACAGACATTAAGAATGCAATTATTAACAGGAGGGGCTTCTAGTTCTAAATTGTTCCAATCGAAAGATACGCTGGTGCTAGAGGAAGGCCATGGGGGACTGACTGATTATTTTAGTGAGGTAACATTGGTTAACAACACTGTATGTGATCCAGAGGCACAGGATCATATATCTTCAGATGCATGTCACCACAGCACACCCACCACCACCACACCATAGTCCTTTACCCTAGACAATTGTGCCCCCTTCATTCTGCAGATTTCTAGTGACTGATATTGGACTGGGTTTGGTTTACTCTTTGTTTTATTTCTTTATCAATGAAACTAAGTAATGCCTGCAGAACTTAATTGTGCCCCCTTCATTCTAGAGATTTCCAGTGACTGACAATGGACTGGGTTTGTTTTACCCTTTGTTTTGTTTATCAGTGAAAGCAGGCAAAACCTGCAGGGTTTAATCCCTTGCTAAAGAATGCACTGCAGGGATGCAAAGCCTGGATACCCATTGTTAAATGTTCTTTACCTGGCTCCTTGGTCTTTGGTCGGTGTGGAGACTGACTTTTTCTTCAAGCAGCAAAATTCCTGCATAAGTGACTTGATGGATCCCGTTCACACAAAATAAATCTATGAAAATGGTTTTGCATGCCTGCTAGACAGCAGGTTCTCAGAAAATTTGACAATATGTTCAGTTACAATTCTTAGGAGATAATGCAGCCTAGCTAAAGGGGTTAGTGCGAGAAGATATTCACCGCGGTGTTGACTAGAAGAGCCACGCTGAACACAACAGATAACTGGAAACCACACAAACTAGCAATAAGGGAATGGTATTTAGTAAATATCCATTCAGTAAAAGGAGACTCAGTCACCACCATCCCAATGTCAAAGCCCTTAGCTACCTGGAAAAGGTTGGCCTTCTATCTGGGAATGCAGGCTCAACACGAACACTCTAAGAATGATTCTAAACATCTATTTTCTGGGAAGAAGTATACAAAGAAAGCACACAAAAATGAAAATATATTAGAGTGATGCAGCCATGAGGATTCTTTTGCTAGTGCCATTTAGATGGAATGGAATGCAGAGATTCATTATGAGCCATGAAAACTCCAGTCCATATGCGATACTGTACTCTGGTCTCTGCCATTGTTCTCTGGATCCTCTCCTGAACAGACAGCTTGCCCTTAAATTCTTGCTTCAGTTAGCAAGAATAGGTTGCGAAACCCAACCTAAGTGGGTCTATTCCTAGGACTGAGAATATGTGGACCACAGGCATGAACATATTTGTGGCTCTTTTTATGGATTCCATGCCTGATTTAAACCTAACTCATTCTCTATTTTCATTTGCTGAGCCCCAGAATCAGGATATGGAGGCTCAAACTGCTAAATGAGATGACTGGAAATGCACTCACATGGACCCAGCCATGTCTTGCTCCTTTTCTTCATCCACACAGAGGTCAACTCATGCTGGGAGCTGACATCATCCAGATGGATTTCATGGCTAGGAGTCTGCAATTTAAAGAAAGGGAAAATGGAATTTAGCCTGCATATTTGCACTTGTTATCAAATGTCTTCAAGCACGTTCCATGAGGGACATAAATTGCGCCTTTATCCCCACAGATACATTATCTCTGCCCGCAGCGCTCCACGTAGTCTTCCAATGGGAGTCATTAGAAGCTTGGCCCTAGTGATAAGAGACCAGTTCTGCTCAGTCCGAGCTGTAGCCTGTGAGTCAGCGAGGACATGGAATCCTGCCCCGGGTGGGGTCCAGATGTTAGAGCCACCCCAGAGGGCTTGGAAAGGAATCTGGGAAATACAGGGCAGTCCCAGGGTCAGTCCCAAGGCCCTGGAAGATGGGCCAGGCTGATAAATTCTCCTGGAGAGGTACTGGATGCATGGCACAGAGGCTGAGTGATAATACTCCTTCCCCTTGAGAAATTCGCAGAATAAACTGACCCAAGTGACCACTGCTGGGTGATGGGATAACAAAACCTGGTAAAGCTCTACAACCGGATGTCATTCAGCTATAAAAAGGAATGAAATACTGGCACCTGGTACAGCACTGATGAACCTTGACAACGTCATGCTGAGTGAAAGAAGCCAGATAAGAAGGGTCACATATTGTAGCATTCAGTTTACACGGAATGTCCAGAGCATGTGGGCCCCAGGGCCTACGAGGAGAGAGGGGTGGAAGCAAGTTAACAGCTTAAGACCAGGTATTAGACAACTGTGTTCTCTAGAGTCTTTGGCTGTTTACCTGACACCATTTTTGAAGGTTCCAGAGCCCCACCACGTGGCCTGGCTCCCTTCTCCAACCTCTAACTGCTAACTTAATTTTGAAAGTTATCATGAACAAACAACATGATTCTAGAAGGGAAACCAAGAGCTAAGGTGGGGGATCTATTTGTTCTGGGAAGACCTTCATTCAACATTTATCCTATAAACATATTGAGAACCACAAAAATGAAAAAGGAGTGAAACATGGATTCTTGTGACACTATCGATGAAACTTGAAGACAATGATGCTAAAGGGGCCAGTCACAAAAGGCAGTTTATATAAAATTCCCAGAATAGGCAAATGTGCAGACACACAAAAAGGACACTTGTGGTTGTCAGGGGTTATGAGGTAGCAGGCAGGGTGGGGCTGCTAATGCATCTGGGGTTTCTTTGGGGGGAGATGAAAATGTTCTAAAATTGGTTGTGGTGAGGGATGTACAATCTTGTGGAATATTTAATAAAAAAAAAAAACTATTGCTTGTGTTAAAAAACAAAATTAGAGAACAAAATGGCTTTATAGAATGATTCATGAGTCAGGCAGCATTCACTTAGATACTGCAATGAAATTAAGTATTAAGTCTTAATTTGGGGGTCTTTTCTCCTTATTTTTAACTTTATATTTTATTTTTTAATAATAAATTTTATTTTTATATTCCCCATTCAATTGCAACCCCCTTATTTTGACCCCAATCCCTCCCCTCCTGCCCCCTACCCCCATAGAGTGTCTCTGGTTCATAGTTTTTTGTTGATTTTGATTTTTACTTTCTTATAGTTATTCATTTTCCTGGTCCCTTATTTAAGTTTTCTAGATTCCTGCTATGAGTGAGACCATCCGGTATTTTTCTTTTTCTTTCTGGTTTATTTCGCTGAGCATGATCCCTTCCAGCGCCATCCATGTTGCTGCAAATTGCATGTGTTTATCTTTTTTGAATGCTGAGTAATATTCCATGGTGTATATGTACCATATCTTCTTGATCATTCATCTATTTTTGGGCATTTGGGTTGTTTGCAAAGCTTAGCTATTGTAAACAGTGCTGCTATAAACATAGGGGTGCAGGTGCTCTTTGGAATTGATGTTTCTGTGTCCTTTGGGTAAATACCTAGGAGTGGAATTGCTGGATCACATGGAAGCTCTATGTTTAGTAGGTCAAGAAATCTCACAGCTCTCCATAGTGGTTGGACCAGTTTGCACTCCCACCAGCAGTGCAGGAGAGTTCCTTTTTCTCCACAACCTCGCCAACATTTGTTGTTGCTAGTTTTTTTAATATGTGCCATTCTCACTGGTGTAAGATGATATCTCATGGTAGTTTTGATTTGCATTTCCCTGATTACAAGTGATGTTGAACATTTTTTCATATGCTTGTGGGCCATTTGCATTTCCTCTTCAGAGAAGTTTCTTTTTAGCTCTTCTGCCCATTTTTTGACTGGATTATTTTCTTTGTTGTTGTTGAGTCTCATCAGCTCTTTGCGGATTTTTGTGATCAGTCCTTTATCATTAGTGTTGTGTGCAAAAATGTTCTCCCAGTTGGTGGGGTTTCTCTTTGTTTTTGTTATTGTCTCTTATTTTAAATGGGTGGATTGTATGGTATATGACTTGCAGCTTCATAAAACTTTTTATCAAAAACAACATTAAAGAAACCCACAGGGGAGAAGCATATTATACAAAGTTACCAAAGAAAGTGATGTTGGAGGTGAGATTTAAAAGGGATCAAGGAATGATGGAAGGGAAGGAACAGCACAAGCAATGAGTTAGGATACTTAGCAGACTGTGATTTTGACCTTGTGAGGAGATGAGTCCTTGAGATTTGGGGAGAAAAAAAGAAACCATTATTTTTCGAACAGGTGAAATATTTTCATGGCATAAAAAAGAAAAGCTCCAAAAATGTGGCAAACGAAATAAAAGTCCCTTCCACCTCTGACTCCCACTCACCAGCGATCCCTTCCTTAGGAAATCACTATTACCAGGCTCTTACATGTTGTTACATGTCATACGTGTACAAATAACTCTACATACATGTGTATATGTACATGGACCACTGACATGTCTTCTACTTTGCTTTTAATATTAGCAAACATTTTAGAGAAACTTCCCAATTTGTATGTAAAGAATTCGCCCACTTCTTGTGGGCTTGTAGGATGTACCACATTTTGTTAACCAGTTTTCTAGCAATGGGCATTTAGTTTGCTTCAATTGTTTCTTCTTGCAAAGTTCTGTAGTGAATAATCTTTTATACATAGGATACTTCACATAGGTACAACTTCATTGGCACCAAGTTTCCTGTAAGTGGAATAACTCCAAGGCAGAGTTTGTGCTTTTTAATGCTGATTGATATTATCAAGCTGCCCACAATGGTCATGGGTCAGAGAGTCTACTTTCCCCACATTTTGGGGGTGTTTTTGGAAATATTGTCAGGGCCCAGCTCATACATAGCATTGTCTACAAAGCTAGGAATTTTGGACTTGATCTCAAGAACATAGGCATCTGCTGAAGGCTTTTGGCTGTGGGTGAGAATAGGCAAGTCTGAAGTTTTGAAGATAATTTTCATGAGGACATAAATACATTCTCTTTACAGACATGAAATGGTGATGTGATGAGTCACACAGGGGAAAACCCCTCCATCAGGATTGAAGCCATGCTGGGGAGACAGTGATTATCTTTTGGGTACAGTCATCACTCTAGACAATGGGCTTGGAGATGAGCACACCCCGGGGTTTTTTACCCATAACTCTCACTTTCCTGACATTTTTCTTTTATCACATACTTCCCACATGCTGATGGTGTCTCATGAAACATTTGGCCCTCAAGGGTAAATACATAAAACCAATGGCAAGGAGTTATTATCTGAAGCCAAGCATTGACCAAGTGACAAGCAGACCGGTGATAGAACAGCTTTATCTTTCTCTGCAAGACCACTGTGCAATTTAATTAAACAAAGAGCTGGGGAAAACAAAAGGGCAAATACATTCACCCTGAGTCTTTTGTTTCAAGAACAAACAGGTGCTATTGTTTGATGCAAAGAGAGAAGGGAAGATGGATGGCAGGTGGTTGCAAAGGCACCAGCATATGAAGGACCGAAGAACGTGTTCGAACCATCCAGATATTCTGCGGGTGGTTAAGGATGAGTGTGGTAGGCTTGGTACTCTTGGGGTTGGCTCTGTGGTTCAAGGTCACCACAGCTAAGGCAGAAGAGGGCAGCTTTTGCTCTAAGAACCAAGTGACTTTCAGAGATGCTTGCTATGAATTTGTGCCTCTCGAGCGTACCTTCTATGGTGCCCAGAGCTGGTGTGAGGTTCAGGGGGGCCATCTGGTCTTTATTCAGGATGAAAGCACTCAGAAGTTTCTGCAAAAGCACATCTCCCAGGACAGAGAATGGTGGATTGGACTCACAGGAAGCTCAAGTCAGAATGGAACCATGGAAGGTAGGTGCTGTGAGGGTTGTCGTGTTTTACAGGAAACATATTGCTGTGACTCTTTTTTTTTAAAGATTTATTTTTTTTATTAATATTTATTTTTATTTATACAAGAACTGGGGTACAGGTCAGAGGCATGGGAGTGTGACAGAATTCACCAGAGACAGAGCGGGGAGCAGAACAGGCAGATGACCAAAATACACTGCTGAGGGGAGCAATGGGGGAGACAGGAGATGTCTGCCATGCCATGTGGGTTGCTCCCTGGCCAGCCAGGAATCGAACCCACACTGAAGAGGCTGAAGACAGCTTCACAGCGCAGCGCTCAACCCACTGTGCCTCCGGGGAGGCCCTTGCTGTGATTCTTACCCAGAGCTCCCTGGAACAAATTCACCTGTCTCAATTCTCATGGTAAAGATACGTCCCCCTTTGGTTGTTTCAGGAATCGAATCAAAAAACCCCTGACAGTGCTGAGCACAGAATCTGGCATGCTGAGGATAATGGCAGCAGCTATGACTTCTTCAGTTCTTGCTAGAATAATGCTGGGCACAGTCCTGACTGCTTCCTATCCATTATCATGAATTCTTATGGTAACTGCTGAGATTATTCTTATTGCTGTCCCTATTTTACAGAAAAGAAGTCTCAGAAAAGAACTGCTAAGTTATTAATATGTTCAAAACGGTCCACATGTCTTTCCCTACTCGTTCTGAGACTAAAGTAGGTTGAGTTCAGCAAAGCTCAATTCGAGTTAGCTTGTCTTGTTCCAAGTTCCTTCTGGGAACTCTTATTTTTCTTGGTGAGGGGTCCTATCCCCAACACAACCAGGTGGGTCCTTCTCACCTGTGTACCTGAGTGACCTTGTGCTATGTTAGCATTTTTGGTGTGATTTAGCTTTTAGGTATCTTTCCCCCTACACCAGGAATCCTTCAAAGGAAGGAACCACATTCTGGAATTTTAGTTTTCTCAGTGGCTAGACATAACACAGAATGGACAGATAATTAATTCCATTTATTTCTGATACCTCCCCAACAAGGGTTAGTAATACAATGTGCCTCTTACTTAACAATTGAGGAAGATGAAATCCACCGAGAGGAATAGACTCGCTGCAGCTAGGGAATGGCAGTGAGGACTCAGATCAGTGCTGGAGTCACACTGGTACCCAGATGCTTGCCCTGTACATGCTACTGGGTTTTAGGAATGAGTAACTTGGGCTGAGCGAAGCACCCACAGAAACACACCAGCAGAGATGGAAAATGCTTTGCTGAAAGATCAGTGGGAAGATGCATTTTTGGAAATCCTCAAGACAAGAGGTTTGAGTTCTAAAAGGCACCTTCAGGCAATATCTGCTGAATGTTTTCTTGATTTTAGATGCAGCAGTTACTCGGTTTACTGAGCATCCATTCAAATGCAATGAAAGGAGCTCTGTCTATTTAAAATCTCCAAGGGATACTGCTTGGCTGAAAAAAAAAAACAGAGTCCACCCAAGTAGGCTGATCTGTAACAGTCTCCAATATCAAAGGTTATTTAAGATGTGAGGGACAGAGTGCTGTGTGCAAGATGCTGGCGTTTGTGTAAATAGATTTCTGGTCCTCAAAAGTGTTGCTTGGTGGGTAAGATTCAACATGGAACAACTAGCAAGAAATGTAACCACCATGGGCATCAGCCTTGGTGGTAAATATGTTCTAGCTAGGGCTTTCTTGATCTCTAGTGTCCTAGAAATGCCTTTGTGTCACGTGTACACACACACACACACACACACACACACACACACATTTCTGCAAGGGCCATATCCAGGCAAGCAAGACTCTGCAGAGTCCTGGAAACTGCTTCCACTGTTACTCAGTGCTGCCATCCGTCCGCACTGCTGGAGCCTTTGAGGCACACGAGGACTGAGCTAGGGCGAACCCTGGCCATAAAAGAGGATCAGAAATGCTTCCAAGTCCTGAGCTCACCTTTTATCCCAGGGTCCGGGATCTGGCTGGACACCTCAAATGTGAGCTACAGCCACTGGCAAGCCGGGCAAGCTGCTCCTGCCCCCAACACCTGTGGCTATATCGGGAGAGATGCCTCCTCCAGGTGGGCAGCCACAGACAACTGCACCCAGCCCTTCGCCTTCATCTGCGAGTTTGGTGAGCTGGCTCTGGTGTGGGGTCTCCCTCCCTCTCTTTGTCTCTCTTTGTGTCTCTATCTCTCTAGGTCTCTTTGTGTCTGTCTCTTTTTTCTCTGTCTCTGTCTCTGTGTCTCTATCTTCCTTTCTGTCCCACTGTCTATATATTTCCGTGTCTCTTTCTGTCTCTATCCCCCTCTGTGTCCCTCTACCTGTCTCTCCATCTCTCTTTGTTTCTCTCCATGTCCCTGTCTGCCTCTCTGTCTCTAAATACCCACCTGTCTCTGTGTGATGCTCTGAGTCTTCAAAAATGCAGCCCCAGGAGGCTGTTCTCACTCACCCTGGACACTGGCTGCAGGGGCCAGCCTGGGTCTAAGCCCTCAGCCCCTGGCTCCTGAATTCCTATCTTCTATTCGTGTGTCTTCCCAGCCACTGCCTATGATTGACCCCTTTGGGTCCCTGCTACATGGGGCCTGATCTTGATGCTGACCTGCCCCACAATTCCTTGACACTCAAGTCAGGCTATATAGAAGCTTTTGGGGTTTCTGGGCCTACCCCCTTTCCTGGCTATAAGCCCTTCACCAAAGATTCTCAACTCACAGGCCCCAGTGTAGGTTTGGACACTTACAGGGATCCCTGTCCTACATGCCCCACCACAGGCTTACTGACTTCTGCTGTCATTCTGAAAGTCTGCAAGCTTTGGGGACCTGTATATGATGCAACTTCCCTCTTTTTACCACAGGTCCCCAAATTCCCACCTCCTCCGCTCCAACTTAAGCCTGTCTCTGACTCTGCCAACCCCGGGGTTTTGGAGCCCTTGGCACAAGTGTTAAATTCCTACAGTATATTTCTGGTCACAAAACATCACCAAACTTGTAGATAATGGCCCAAAACAATCCCAATATGAAATAGTCCTTTGTGTTCATCTACCCACTCAGTGTCCAACCTGCTTATTCCAGTTCAGGGTCATGGAGGGCCATAGCCTTTCTCAGCAACTCAGGATAAAGGCGGAGGGACCCAATCATGGACAGGATGCTCTTCTAGCAGAGCGCGCGTGCGCGCACACACTCACACACACACTGGCCGGAATATTGAGACCTGCCCATGAATCTCACATACATATCACTGTGGTGAGGGAGGAAACCAGAGTCCCCAGAGGAGACTCTACATAGTCATGGGGAGAATGTGCCAGCTCCACCCAGTGATCCTGGCTGGGAAATGATTTTTTTGATCCTCAACATTGTAGCAACATGATGTTGAATGACATAAGACTATATGTCTCTGGTGTCCTCTTATGCCCCGAACCTCTGGCCTAGACCCCAGTTCATCTATGCAAATATAAATAAAATTAAAAAAAAAAATTAAAGAAATGTGACTATATGAAGATCTGCTGCATTTAGTACCTATCATTTATGAGGCATTGACTTCAGCTAAGGCTTGGGAGGTATTTGTAATAGAAGCAATAATGGCTACCACCTGTACAGCCCTTGCTCTACATGTCATCCTCCTAATAACCCTCTGGGGTGTGGCATCCACATAATCTTCTACAGAGGAGGCGCAGAGAAACTAATGACTTTGCAGAACATCACACATCTAGCGGATGACTGGGTTGGCTCTGACCCTGGACAGCCTGGATCCAGACCTTCTTATGACCACCACATTACATTTCTCACAATGCTCTGCACCTGGGTGTCTGGAATCTCACAGTCCTGAGATGCTGCCCATGACCGTGACCCCTCCTAAGTTGTCACCTTCCCTTTATCGCAGGTGTGGGCCAGAGCCTGGCCTGCGAGGGCTTCAATGCCACCATGCACTGTGGCTCGGGGGAGGTCATCCAGATCCAAGATGCCTTCTACGGGCGCCAGACTCCCCATTATTGCACCCAAGAGCCTGGGCACCCCTTTGACCGGGAGGAGGAATGCAGTTGGGTCAGCGTCAAGGACGAAGTGGCAGGTAGGGCACTTCCTGGTGTTGTGTGCCCAGCAGAGGGCTCTGGAAGGCTCAGACTATCTGTATATCTGAACTTGGGCTTCCAACATGTGGGAGAAAGTAGCCAGTCTCTGCTCAAGGCCCTGAGCAGGAAAGCCAAGGGGCCGTGCTTTACCCCTCACCTGTCATCAAACCCACCCCTATGGGCCAGGAGCGCATTTACTCTCAACCCACTTGGGTTCAAGAACTTTACTTTCTTAATTTATTAAATTTTGAAAGATTTCAGACATACAGACCATGGTAGAAAAAAATTTCAGTGAATTCTCATAGATCCACTGCCCAACTTGGCCAAATCTGGACATTTGGCACTAGTTGCTTCAGATTCCCTCAAAAGAGACAAAAACCTCACTAGATACACAGCTGCACTCTTGTGAGGCCCTCCTGGGTCTGTCCCATCACCAATTCAGTATTTAGTGATCATGTGCCTGGTCTGTTCCTGCTACTTTCTCTCTATGCATCCCTGAGCATTGCATGGTATACCCTGGCAGGTTTTTTTTTAATGTTTCTGTGAATAGTATCCTATTATATAGTCATTTTGCAAAAACTTTTTTTTCTTTTTTCTTTTTTTTTGGGGGGGGGTCTGGGGGATTTGTTTCTTTTTTTTTGTTCAACACTGGGTTTTCTCAGCCTATTATCTATCCTGATACATGCCATCCCCGTTTATTAATTTGGTCTGTTGTATTACTATATCACTTGTCTCTTCCTCAGTGGAGGTGTGCACAGGTTGCGTTTAAATCCTTGCTGTTGTGAATAATGCCCAGCTAAGCTGTCCTGGGGGGAATCTCTGGGCTCTAGAGGAAGAGATTCTCTAGGGCCTTGTTTCCCTAAATCAGAGCTGCATTTGTCCCATGACGAGGATTCCATTTCAGCGTTGACAGGGGCTCCCGGTACTCTCCTGGGGGGTCCAGAGACCTCAGAAACTTCTATTGCCAGCACACAGGGGGGCCTTCTCCTGCAGGGTCCCTTGAAGGCAGGTGCTCTGCTACTTCTCAGCCAAGTGAGGACACAGTAATCCTGTGCAGGAAGTTCTAGGGCTTTGGGGCCAGACCCCACACCCCCAACAGATGCTGCTCAGCAATCACCCATGGAGACCTGCCTAAACCCAAAGGCCCTGCAAAGATTCAGAGGGGATGCCTACAATGCCCAGAACCTGCCTCCCCTCCCTTGGAAGGCACCCATACCATCCACATGGCACCCACACCGTCCTTGCTACGCTGAGCGCAGATGTGGGGGAAGGAAATGCTGAAATCAGCTACTTGGTTCTCTCCTTCTGGCTGCAGCACCCCTGAGGCTGTGGTCCCTCCAAGGAGGAGGAGCTGGGCTGGACTGGCTGTTTCTACTTTAGGCCAGTGGTTCTCAAAGTGGGGTGCCTGGGTCAGCAGCATCAACATCAGATTCTCACATTGCCCTCACATCTATTGAATTAGAATTGCTGGGGGTGGGCTCATGAAATCTATCTTCTCAGAGCTCCTGGGGATTCTGGTACATGGCAAAATTTGAGAGCTCCTCTGATGCACCCTGAGCTACTTGAGGGAAGAAATTCTCCTGTTAGTTCCCCCGAGTCCCTGGCACAGTGCCTGGTGTTTGGTAAATAGCAACAGGTGTTGGGAGGATGGCAGGTGAATGAATGGAATAAAGCTGATTCATCTCTGTCTGCACCTGTCCCTTTCTCTCTCTCACACCTTCGGCTTCTGCTGGGATCCGGTGCTGCCCAGGTCAGTGTCAGGGGCTGCAGGCATGCCAGGTGGCAGCTGACAGAAACTACTATGGAGACCTGTGCCCCTCCTGGGGCAGCTACTTGTGGGTGCAGTACCAGTGCCGAGAAGGTAAGTTCCGAGCCTCCTAGGGTGTGAGAAACACCTTCTTTCAACACCAGGTTGGCCTCCCTCAGGAGCAGACCTCACCCTAAACAGCTGCCCTGAACTAGCCCTCCTCACTTGCTTAGCCTCTGCTCTGGGAAGTTGGAGGGTCCTGTTGTAGAAGCAAACCATCAAACCAGAAGTGAATATATATATGTATATGCTTGTGTGTATGTATGGATGTATGTATATATGTGTGTATATGTATACATATATTTATAAATATATATATACATATAATACATATATATGTATTATACACATACATTATACACACATTGTATACATATATACATATCAATACATATATGTATTATACATGCTAATGCATATGTGTATTATACATGTATTATGCATATATTATAATATACGTGTATGTAAATATATACATATACATATATACATATATATTTATAAATATATATATATTTAGTCCCAAGATGCTGAAAATTAAATTTCATGGGTGAAATAGACACAATAGACACAACAGACAACTGTAAGTTTAGGTTGCCGCTGATTCCTCTTTGATATATGTGACTCTGCAGTGATTATTCTTCAAATACATTAACATGTGCCTGGGATTATGTCCAGGGGTGAGATCCCCAGTGGTGGAAATGCTGGGAAATAGGGCATGTACATATTAAATATTAATAGATATTGCCAAATCACCCTCCCAGATGTTTTATGGATTTACATACTTATAGGATATGAGACAGTGATCGTCCCTAAAGGCTGTAAAATCACATCCTGCCAGCATCCAACTTCTACCTAGGTAGTGAGCAATGGTGCAGGGGTTTCTGAAGGAAAACAAGAAGTCAGGGAATGCTGGGGTCCCCTGGGGCTATCCAGGGGAGCAGGGTCTGAGGGAAGAAGAGGGAGGCCCACCAAAGGTGAGGATGAAGGAAGGAGAGAGGGCATGAAAGAGAAGTTTTGGCAGGGGCTTTAGCCTTCTAGATACACTGGGGTGGAATGAGCTTGGGGAGAGGTCTCCACTCTTTTTTCTGGGAAGAGGTGGCCATGTGCTTCAGCAGCGATTTCTATTTGGTGGTTTTGCTAACTGGAAAGGATGTGCCTTTGGAGATCTGCCAGTCGCAGCGTGGCTGAGATGGCGTCATTGGACACACAGGTAGCTTAAGGCAGGGAGTGTGTGTGGAGTGACCACCATGTGGATCAGATTTTCTGCCCCAACCTTAATTTCAGATCTCCTCTCCCTTGTGAGTTAGTGTGTTCTGCGAGTCAATGGAAAAGAACAAATCTGTGATTTATCTAGAAGCCCCTTCACCTCCTCCCACCCTCCATGCCTGTGCCCAGTAGGGTCTGGCTGCTCCCTGAGTCTCCTGAGGTAGTTAGGAATCAGACCACCAGGGTTTTCTCAGCAGCTCAAGAAAGCCCCTTTCAGTCACATTCAGCACCTTACATCTTTTCCCTTCTCATCTGTGCTCTGAAGTAGTAAGATGCGGCGCCACAGATGAGCCCAGCGCTGGGGAAGGCCCCCGGCCATCGGTCATGTACCCTGCCCTCCGTGCCAACTCTGTTTTGTGCATGTAATGTGCATCAGATGTCATGCAGTGAGTCATCGGCCACCTCAGCATGTAGATTTTCTTAAAGGTGTTTCACCTTTTGTCTTTTTAAACATTACAAGATAACATTAGGGCAATCAATAGAATCCTGGTTACATCACAGTCCACCATGCAGCTCTTGAAAAGAATGAGGCAGCTCTAACTGAATTCACACAGAACAAGCTCCCAGACACGCTGAGTGAGAAAAATGGAAGGTGGCAAGAAGTGAGTGGAGTGTGAGCCATTGGCTGCAAGAGCATGTATGTGCTAGTGAATGTGAAGATGTTTCTGGAAAGTGACCCAGGACACGGTAACTGCAGTTGCCTCAGGGCAGCAGAATTGGGGAGTATTCCTTGCATACCCCCTTTCTACATTTCAAATTCTATACCTTGGGCATGCATTACCTTTGAACAACAACAACAAAAAAAAAAAAAGAAGAAATTTAAAAGAACTTTTAAAAGTAAAAACAAAATATCAAAAGCCCCAGCTAAAAATAATAAAGCACAGGTGAATAGGAGAGAGCAGGTTTTAAACAGAAACATGCACTTGTGTTTTGTGACAATGGCACCGTACATTCTGCATCTTCGCCCGCAGGCCTACAGCTGATGGTGTCCCGGGACGGGGTCGTCTTTGACAATGTCACCATCTGCCTGACGTGGCTCCTCTCTCCCTACAATGGAAACCTGTCCTGTATAATCAGCACCGGAGATGGTCACACTTTTGATCCCTACTACCCACCCAGGTGAGAGGAATCTTTGTGCCTTGAGTCAAGACATAGCAGTTTTCACTGCTTAACAAAATCTAGAGGCTTAAAACAATGGTGGAATTTCTTATGGTTCTTCCTTATCAGCTAGGTGGCCTTTCTTTTCTTTCTTTTTTTTTTTTTTTAAGATTTATTTATTTATTTATTCATTCATTCAAGCTCTGGGTACAGTCAGAAGCGCGGGAGGGTGAGAGAATTCACCAGAGCCAGAGCGGGGAGCAAAGCAGGCAGAAGGTCCGAAGTACACTGCTGAGGGGAGCAGCGGGTGGCAGGAGAGGTCTGCGTGCCATGTGGGACCCTCCTCTGGTGGCCGGGGATTGAACCGGCGCTGCAGAGGCTGCGGGCAGCTTCGCAACCCAGCGCTCAACCGCTGTGCCACTGGGGAGGCCCTAGGTGGCCTTTCTTGTCCGGGTTGATGTGGTTGGGACTGGATGGCCTAGAGAAGTCTCCCTTGAGTGTCTGTGGTCAGCTAGATCTCAGCCATGGGCATGTGCTGCTCATTACCCAACAGGCTAGCCAAGGCTCATTCTAGAGTGTGAAGGGTCTCTGGGAGCAAGTGGGAACAAAGCCCACGGTGTGAGCATTTTCAAATTTCTACATGTGTCCCATTTTCTAATGTCCCATTGGCCAAAGCAAGTTCTATGGCCAAGCCCAGATTTAGCAGGTGGAGAAGTAGACTCCCCAGTGGATGGAGAATGGGGCACAGTCACAGTACAGAGGGGCAGGTCTCACACTCAGCATCCTCTGAAGCTGTCAAAGAAAATGGTGCCCAGGAGCTGGAGTTCTAATCGCAGCCACCACCAATACAACATGAGACAGACAATCCCTGCTCTGGGGTGTTCATTTCCTTCTTTGTCACATTTACACCGATGGCTGCCTTGGTTGTGTCAAGGAGTAAAAGAAATTACATGGTGGGGGGGGAATGGCGAAGTGCTACCAATCCCTATGGCACTGTTTTGTGGGTTTCTTCCCATTCACTACTGCTTCATCAGGCAAACAAGTGCTAAATTACATAATCTTTCAGCCCTCAAATCTTATGCAATGTGAATTTGATATCAGCAAAAAATTGACCGTATGGACCCCTGGCTAAGACCTTTAGACACCAGGAACTTTCCCAGTGATAAGCAAACAGCGTCTAAAAACCACAATAAATGGCACCAACTGCTAATATTTGTTAACTCTGTACAGTGAGCCCGAGGGGGTGGTGACATTACCCTTTGGAGTTCTCTGTGTGATTCAATTTTTTCATAATCTAAGAGAAGGAACAATGAGCCACACTTTACACTGCAACACCCCTGGGTATTAGTTCTAGTGAAAAAAGCATTCCTTTTTTTCTCCTTTCAAAGGAAATAGGCTGATACTTTTCCCCATCACTGAAACCAAATAATGCAATTTCATCTGCTTTAAAGACTTATTGGACCTTGAAGCTACCCAGTGCCTTCTATGGTTTTTATTAATGCTGGGAGATATATTTCTGGGGTTGTCTTTTCAGCACCAGCCACCTCAGCACTCTTATTTACAATATAAAAAATGCGTGTGCACATATATTTGGCATGTCACTTTTATGTGTCTGTGCAGATTCCTACTTTTTTTTAAAAAAAGATTAATTTTGTATTTATACAATAGCTGGGGAACAGGCCAGAGGTGCAGGAGGGTGAGAGGATTCACCAGAGACAGGCAGGCAGACAGACCGAACAGGAGCAGAACAGGGGAGCAGAACAGGCAGAGAGAACGAAAGCACTGCTGAGGGGAGCAGCAGGTGGGTGCCAACAGGAGAGGTCTGCTGAGCCATGTGGGTATGTCTCTGGCTGGCCAGGAATCGAACCTGCGCTGCAGAGGCTGCGGACAACTTCACAGCGCTGTGCTCAACCTACTGTGCCACCGGGGAGGCCCAGATTCCTGCTTTTGATTATGGTCTTGTTAGGCTAAGAGGTGCGCATTTTAAAACTGGATGTACCATCCCCATTGTAGATAAAACACAGAGAATCCAACCTCAAATAGAAACAGTGGGAATAACAGGCAAAGGATTTCTCCTTTAGAATCTCCTTCTCACCTTGCTCTCCCTGAGCCTCATGTTCATTTGTATAGAAGGATGTTTCGTTTCTCTGTTGGGGGTGGACAACTTTCTACATATCTGACATTGTAGGATTTTCCTCCTGGAACAACTGGCAGATGTGATTTGTCCAAGTTCTGCAGTGGGTGACTCAGCGCCACCTACTGACACGTCCCGGGAAGGAAGACATTTTTCTGTCTCCCCTTCAGTTTCTGCACACTACTTGGTCTGGAGTGGAGACTTCCCTAAAACCCGTAATTCATAAGACAGTGCAAGCCAGAGAGTGATCTAGATGCACTAAATTGTTGGGTGATGCAGAGGGAAGAACTCTGTGGAGAGTGATGGTCTGAATGACCCTAAAGTTGAGTCCTCCGCAGCAGTGGTGGATCTATTTAAAGATTTATTTATTTATTCATACAAGAGCTGGGGTACAGGCCAGAGATATGGGGGGTAAGAGGATTCACCAGAGACAGAGTGTATTTCAGAAGTGGATCTATTTAAAAGAGGAAGCATATGGATGTGAAAGTTGGAGGCCACCTCAGGTACCTGCAAGCACCTCACTATACCTGGAGTTTAGGGGTGTGAGGAAAAAAAGGAAAGATGCTGCTGGGAAACTCATCAGGGGTCTGGAGATGAAAAGCCTGTGGTGCCAGATAGTTTAAAGAGAGCCCGGTGTTAACAGCCTAGGACGCAGAGCTGAACCCACCTCTAGGTTATTTCTTACCTGAAGGGAGTTGGAACTTTAGCTCTAGAGTCATTCTGATCTACAGTTTTCATTGGTGCTGGGGGAATGCTTACCTTAATCTTGAAGGTGGGATCTGGGCAACAGATCACTGCATCTGCTACAGAGGATAGATGAGAGTCTTTAGCCATTGAAGTTACATGCTCTGCCAGTATTACTGAGACTGTTGGGTAATTTTAAGGAGTAAATGAGACTATAGTAACTGGTGCAGAGTAGGTTCTTTAAAAAAAAGGACACTGTTTCTACTATATTAAAATTATATAAAATATATAATTATTTTTAATAGGCAAAGTGGCATAAATGTCATCCTATTATACAAAAAGTTACAATAATTAAGTCTATTACATGCCAGATACTCACTCAATCATGGTCTTATTTAAACCTTACAACCACCCAGCCAAAAATGGTTCTTACCTCATTTCGCAGACATGGGAATTGAGACTTAGTGACTGGGCTATGCCGTGAACTGATGGAGCGTGGGGGCAGCTCCTGTCCAGTGTCCTGCCTTTCCATTTCACCACATGGTCCAACTGGGTCAGTTGGCTTCATCCACCAAGCTGGCCAGCAACTTCAACAACATGACACAGACACGGTATTCTTAACAATTGGACAGTATGAGCTAAGACCAAAACAGTGAGCTTTCTATCCCCCTTTCTTCTTAAAGAACAGTTATATCTCATTGATGTCAACTATCCAAGCAATGTATACAACTTTGAAGGCATTTTTGAAGCATTTTATACACACACACACACACACACACACACACACACACACAAAAGTGCTCCAAAAAGACACAACTCAACTGATTTTTCCACAATAATTACACCCATGTAACCAGCACCCAGATCAAGAAACAAAACATGACTTGTCCCCGCTTGGGCCCCTCAAAGCTACTAACTTCTTCCATCATCAACACAAGTGACCTGTGTTTGAAATTTATACAAATGGAATCATAAAGTATATATTTGTTTGTGTCTGACTTCTGCTCAGTACTTTTTGAGATTCAGCCTCATTGCTGTAATTGTGATTCCTTTTTTTTCTTTCATTGCTGTGTATGTATTTCTTGTGTGAATATATCTCACTTTACTCATTCTACCACTGATAGGCATTTTGGGTGGCTTCCCACTGAGTTATTATAAATAGTAATCTGTGAACATTCTAGTACATGTCCTTTGGTTTCCTATGTATAGAGTGCTATTGGGCTTATACCCAGGAATTGCTAAGTCAGAGGATGATAACAAGAATTTTTAAGCTGTTCATCTCCTTGTGCTCTGAACACATTTTCTCTTTGCTAGCAGCAATTTCCAAAAGCACTTTGCAGTCTTCTCCCTTGGGTGAGCTCACTGGGAGGGAAATCAGGAAAAATCCATTTCTCTGCTTTTTAGTCCTGGGCAATTTCAGCTGGCACCAGAATTCAAAGAATGGGATCAATTTCTTCTTCCAAACAGATCACTGAAAAACAGATGGGATTTGCTCTTTAAAACCATCCTTCACCTATCAGTCAAGAGCTAGTGTTTTCTTCTTCTGAAATCTACTTTAACTGATGTTAGCAGGACATTCCAGCCTACTTTTCACTAGTGTTTGCTGGTGTCTCCTTCTTTTAGTCTACGTATATGATTATTCCAAAGTGGGTTTCTTTTAGACAGTATAGGTTGAGCCTTGGTTTTTTAAAATCCCATCTGGCCCAATAATTGGCATGTTAAGATCATCCTTAACTGAAGTAATTATCAACACAGACTTAAGTCTACTATTTTGTTTTACCCCTTTATCTCCTGCCCATCCTCTCCTTTTTTTCAATAATTTGAATCTTTTTAGTATTCTGTTTAAACTTATCTTTTGGTTATCTATCTTTTTGGTTATGTCGCTTTGCATTACCTTTTTTTTAAAAAAAAAAAAAAACCCATAAGGTTTTGTGTTTTTTTTTTTTTAAAAGATATCTTTATTTATGCATACAAGAGCTAGGGCACAAGCCAGAGATGTGGGGGGTGAGAGGATTCATCAGAGACAGTGGGGAACAGAACAGGCAGGTTGACCGAAGCACAATGCTGAGGGGAACAGTGGGCGAGACAGGAGAGGTCTGCTGCGCCATGTGGGTTGCTCCCTGACCAGCTGGGGATCGAATTTGTGCTCTGTGCTGCGGATTGCTTCATAGTGAGGACCTTAACCCCTTGAGCCACGAGGGAGGCCCTGCATTACTTTTTTTAAAAAAAAAGATTTATTTATTTATACAAGAATGGGGGTACAGGCCAGAGGTGCAGGAGGGTGAGAGAATTCACCAGAGATAGAACGGGGAGCAGAACAGGCAGACGACTGAAAACACTGCTGAGGAGAGCAGTGGGCAAGACAGGAGAGGTCTGCCTCGCCATGTGGGTATCTTTCTGGCCAGCCAGGAATTGAACCCGTGCTGCAGAGGCTGCGGACAGCTTCACAGTGCTGTGCTCAACCTGCTGCACCACCAGGGAGGCCTTCTTTGCATTACTTTTACCCAGTTGCTTCAAGAGTTACAAGAGTTATACGTATCTAACTTTCCACAACCCACTCTGAGTTAATATTTACTACTTCAGGTAAAATGTTGAAGTCTTACTAGCATATTGTGACCTTGCCTACCCACCTTTAAATTACAATTGTTATATGTAAGACATTACACTTGTTGACCAAGATACAGAATTCTGGTCGAATCACAGCAACCTGGTCACAGCTAGTATGTCACAGCAGAAGTGGTAAAGCTGGCATGTTACTGCAAATGTTTATTCTAGACTTAAGACTGGTCCGGGGGATACAGACTCAAGCAGCACCTGAACTAAATGCAGAGCTCTTAGCTTTGCAGGAACAGTGCTTACATAAGCAAAATAGACTGGACAAGGTATGCTTCATGCAAATGAGGTTTTCACTCAGTACAGTTCTGATTGGTAAAGTTTGTTAAATGGTGATTGGTTGAATTTCAATCCTGGGCAAGCCTTGTTGATGTGTTTCAATTCTATATTGCGGACTTGTCTGGACCCCAACATGCCCAGGCACCTGAATGTCCCTGGGACCTGCCCCTCAATAGCCTCCCTGCTCTATTTGACTGAAACCTAGGCTTGGGATGGCTCCAAGTTAATTTTTCTGTATTTGATGTTATCTGTCATACATCTGAAACCACCTTAAATAATCATACATATTTAAAAGCACTTAGAGGAAAAATAGTCTATACATTGGCCAAACTAGTTACCATTTCTTGAGCACTCCCACCATTCCTGAATTTCCAGGTTTCCCTCTGGCATCATTTTTGTTAAAAAGACTTCCTTTGGCATTTCTTGTAGATTTTCTGGCAACCAATTCTGAGAGAATTTCTCTAATCCTGAGAATTTTTATTTGCTTTAATTCCTGGAAGATATTTTTGCTGAAAGAGAATTATGTGTTACTTGTTTTCCCTTGACACTTTTAATATGTCATCCACTTCCTTCTCACCTCCGTGATTACTGAGGATAAATCTATAGTCATTCAAATCACTGTCTTATCTACATGTATTATTTCTTTCAGGCTAATTTCAAGATTGTATCTTTAGTTTTGGTCTTCAGAAGTTTAATTATACATTTGTGTGTGGGTTTCTTTCAATTTTTTCCTGTGGAGGGTTTCACTGAGCTTCTCAAATCTTCAAATATGTTTTGCCAGATTTGGGGAGGGGTTCAGCCATTATTTCTTTAAATATCTTTCTACCCCAATCTCTTTCTCCTCTCTGGAGATACAATGACACAACTATTTTCCCTTTGATTTTTGCTACACAGATTGCTGGTGCTCTGCTCATTAAAAAAAAAAAAAGAAAAAAAAAAAGAAGTATGTTTTCTGTTTTTCTGATTGGGTAATTTCTCTTACTCTATCTGTAAGTTTATTGACTTTTTCTTTGGTTACTCCTATTCTGCTATTGCACTCATTCAGTGACTATTTTATTTCAGACATTTGGGTCTTCATTGCTACATTTTCCAGTTGATTCTTTTTAATAGTTTCTGTTTCTCGGCTGAGAATGTCCATCTTTCCATTCATTTCAAGAGGTTTGGTTTTATTTTTACTCAAGAGCATGGTATATAATAGCTGGTACAAGGCCTTAGGTCATTCCAACATCTGAGTCATCTTCAGTCTGACGTCTATTATTGGGTTTTCCCTTGAAATTTGGTTAGCTTTTCCTAGTACTGTGTATATTGAATAACTCTGGATTACATACTAGATATTCTGAACAGCAGGTTCTGAGAATGCTCCCATTAAACTTCTCTGGAAAATACTGATTTCTTTTGTTTGATTTGTTTTTGCAGGAAACCAACCCAACCAGGTTGAGACCAGACATTCTGATTTGTCTTCTGTGAGCTTTGATTCCAAAGTCAGTTCAATTTGCAAAGCTCTTTTGGGTCTGTCCCACTCAAGCAAAAGACTTTGCTGTGTATCTTTGGCTCTGTCCTGCATATGTGTAGTTTGTGGGTAAACATGATTTATACTGGATAACACACAAAATTAGGTAATAGTTTTCTAGACCTCTCCTTTCCAGGATTTCTTCCATAATCTCTAGCCCCCATAAGTCCAATATCATGTTTCCTTTGTACAGAAAGATGGATTTTATCTTGATGACGTAAGTGTCTGCCTTACCCCACGCAGTCAGTGCAGTTCTAAGAGAGAGGGCAGCCCAGGCAAGGTGGGGGTGGGGGGGAAATAAAAACAAAAGTGGGTGTTTCTTTTGTGCTCTCTGGCTCACTGGGTTCCTTTTCCTGGTTCTCTGGTTAAACAGAGCTTGCTCTTGGGATTTTTGTTGTCTTTACACGGCTGTGAAATTCTGAGACTCAAGCTGCCCTCAGGGCAGAGCCAAGAGATGGACAACAAAAACAAAAAAGAACCAAAAAAACTCCATCTTTGTGGGTGATTCTTAAAGTTGTGACTTTCTTCTCTAACTTGTCTGCTGCTGTCTACTTTTCAGAGTCTTCAGGTAGTTTCTTTTTGTATTTTGTTCAGGTTTTCAATTGTAAATAATGAAGAAATAGGCTGTGGTGGGCTGACTCTGTTTTGGCCAACAAGAGGAACGAGGTTTACTATTTTCTCAGTTTTTTTCCACAAAGATGTTCATTTGTCAGTGATTTCTCAAGCCCTCACTATATGCTCAGTTCTGTCCCAGGTCTCAGGTATATAACAGATTACTAGACAGACCATCTGTACTGACAACCTAGCAGGGAAGAATGACAATGAATAAACAAGCACACGGGATGAGAATCACTGTGGGAGTATCCAGGCAGTGGCAGGTATAAAGGGAGGTCAGAAGGGGAGGTCATGGGGATCTTTCAGATCATGTTAGAGATTTTTAACTAGTCCCGCTGGGTTACTGAGAAGCAAAACATACCCATACTTTTGATATGACTGGAATTGGATATCATCTTATAGCTCAGGAAACTAAAGCTCAGAAAGTAGCTGGTGGCATGGTTTTTACAAATGAAATGAGAAGGTCCAGAGAAGGGGTTTATGTAAGCCACAGAGGGAGTACACAGCACAAAAAGGACTTGTTGCTAAATATCCAACTCCCTGGTTGGTCAGTGCTCTGTCTTGCACTTCTCCCCTGCTCCGGGATGTCTCACTGAGAGCCTGGTTTGGTTCTGTTGTCTTTTTCTTCATCTTTTCATCTTTGAAGGGCAGGGGGAGGTATAAGGAGGGTGAGTATATATGTATGAATGTGTGTTGCTTGAGTGTCCCCAGAGCTGGTACCATTTCTGATTGTTGCCTCAGTTTGTCCAGCAACGTGATTCACCAGTTCACAGCTCCTGGAGAATTCACTGTGTTTGCCGAGTGCACAACCAGTGAGTGGCATGTGATGGCTCAGAAGCAAGTGACAATTCGAGACAAGATGGAGAGGCTCAGTGTAACTGGGTGCTCTGGCCTAGCTGCATCAGGAGCCACTCCTCTCTGCCAGTCTGTCTTCAGGGACCCTCTGTGGATTCAGGTGGAGCTTGATGGAGGTAAGTCTGCAGACATGGTCAAAGTCAAGGGAACCTTGATTTCCCTGAAATCTATTTATCCAGATTTTAATTAAATAATAACAGTGATCACTTATGGAGTTAGCTTTATACCTATCCATTTATTTAGCACCTAGGGTATGCCAGAAACCAGTGTAAATGCTTTAGGTATACTAGTTCACCCAATATGTACTATTATCTCCATTTTACAAATGAAGAAATGTTCAGAAACTTGCCCAAAGTCACAGGCTAGTAAGCTAGTGAGAACATCCAGACCTACAGACCCTTTGTTGCATGCCAATACTCCCACTACAATAACTGAATTTCCAAGCTATTCCCTGTTGGTGGAGTTTGAATAGGGCTCAGAGTGCTCATCAGCATAGCCAGCATTGATCAATTTGGCACAATTCTGTTGCCCCAGTGAGGGGTGGTATTCAGCTGTACACAATGCTATAGTCATTACAGCTGCTGTGGCTGGTGTTCACTCTGATTGGCCACAGAAACTGTTTTGATTGGTCATCATGTCCATTCTGATTTGTCAAGATATCTATTCTGACTGATCACAACAACATTTCTCATTAGTCATAATGTCTGCTCTCACTGGTCACATTGTGCATTCTGATGGTCACTACATCCATTCTGACTGGTCACAATGTCCATTCTGATCTATCAGAACATCTGCTCTACTTGATGAGTGCCCTCAGTGTTTCAGTTGTTACATATCTCACCCATTCTCTCCATAGAGAGATGACACACATCCTCACTTAAGGCAGTATCTTCCCTTACAGCACAGGTTCAGTTTGAGATCTGGGCAGAGGCCTGTTGATGTAACCTGTGGAGTACAGCACTCCAGAGGTGAGGGCTGATTCAGGCCAACTTCACACCACCTGGAGTCTGACTCATAGCAGTGACTTAAGGGAGTTAGAACAGGCTTTAAACACCAGGCTTGGGCTCTTTTCTGCTCTTGCATGCTTGTTGGCTGAAGATGGCAGCTGCAGTGTGCATCTGAGGAAACTTAAAATAATCCTTCATTTATTTATTCCTTCTACAAATATAATTGGGTACCTATGCTTTGCCAAGTAAGGGGAGCAGCAGTAAATGTGAAAGTCAGGGTTGTTGCTCTCAAAGGAGATATAGCATCATCATTATCATCATCATCATCATCATCATCATCATCATCATCATCAAACAAGAAATATACCAGCCTGACTTCCATTGGAAAGAATCAATTTGGTAGTTTAAATCATATTTTTGAGTCAACCGAAATACTCAGCATCCACTTTGGACAGCCATCCCCAAATGTAAGGGAGCGCAGCCCATCTTATTGTGAGCAGATTGAGTTTCAGCAGGGGGAAGAAAGCAGCTACTTAAAACAAGAGGGAGGCTAATTCTCATCTATAGTAATCAGATGCCCTTAAGAGATGCACCCATTTCTTGGGGCCTCCTTGGTGGCACAAGGGGTTAAGTCTCAGCACTATGAAGCTATCAACAGCCATTGCAGCAGGAGTTCGATCCGCAGCCAGGGAGCTGACCCACATGGCGCAGCAGACCTCTCCTGTCTCACCTGCTGCTCCCCTCAGCAGTGTATTTCAGTCAATCAGCCTGTTCTGCTCCCCATTCAGTCTCTGGTGAATCCTCTCTCACACACAGACACACATACACCTGCACCTCTGGCTTACACCCCAGCTCTTGTATGCCTAAATAAATAAATAAATAATAAATCTATAAAAAAAAAGAGAGAGAGATGCACCCATTTCAGTCTTCTTCCCCCCAAGGATATTTCTATCAACAAAATGTTTTAACATTTATAATATAAACTTTTAAGTTTATGGTTAGGACATGCATCATACAAATAAACTGGAATATGCTGTATGCAGGTAAGCAGAGAGGACACCCCCTTCCAAGAACATTCATGAACCTTTTACTACTAATATCTGGGGGGTGGGGTATACTTTGGCATATGTCTTCATATCTGCATGCATATCCATGTCTGTATCAGGATTCACACCTCAGAGCTTGAGTCTGAACAATATCGGTATCATCAACAGTGGTTGTTACTGACATTCCTAAATGTGTCTTTCTCTATCTAGGAAAAGGGGTCGTGACTTACACTGTGTTGTTGAGAAACACAATCCTGGCTGAGTCTGCCACGCAGAGGGGCCCACTCCCCTACAACCTTACCTTGGACAGTGCAGCCCAGGAACAAATGGGCCCAGGGATGCATCACCTGGAGATCCGAGCCTCCAGCAACACCAGCATCGCTGCCCTATCCAGAAACATCACCGTCTGCCTTGTGGAGCCTCTGTCGGGGCTGCAAGCCTCCTGGGCCTCTGACCAGCTACAGCTGGGGCAGGACTTACTGGTTAACGTCTCAGTGGCTCAAGGCATCCCAGAGAGGCTGACCTTTGAGATGGTGGGACTCAATGTAACTTTCTCTTATGAGGAAGATAGTCTTGGGGGATCATTTGGCATTTACCACCTGGCAGTTCCTTTTGAAGGTAACTCGAAGTCAGTGGCTCCCCTTCCAAACCTCCCTCCTCTTCTTTTCTGGACTTGGCATCCAGGGTCCTGCCAGCCAGTATTTCAGTGTTTCTGGACACAAATATGGTTCATAGCATCCAGCCTGGGTCACAGAATAAGAGAGAAATAAGATCTGCCCTCTTAGAGTTTACAGGGGTTTCAACTTTGGGGACCAGATTATTCTTTGTGGTGAGGGTTGTACTTTACCCCGTGGGATTTTTAGCAGCCTCCCTGGCTTCAACTTGACCCCCCAAGTCATGACAACCAAAAATGTCTCCAAACACTGCCAAAATCCCCGCCCCCCTGCCCTCCACCACACACACACTGAGACCACTGGCAGGCAGCAGGATATCCAGATTTCTGATTATCCTTGGAACTTTGGCTCTAGTCTAGTCCTGCCTTACCCTATAGGCCACTCCTCCCCACTCTGAGTTTGGTGTGACCCCAGCACCCTCCCACCACACACACACACTCCCCCTGCCGATTCCTCCACAGTTTGACACTTGGTCCTGCATGTCTCCTAGACACTCTGAGGACATGAGCATGATTTCTACGTTCCTAGATCACTGCCTGATGCCTGACATAATGACATTATGCATTAAATGCTCTGAGGTTGAAGATCCTGGCACTGCCAGCAGGGGACTGGAGAAGCATGAGCTAGGAGCCTTATCTCTGTGCTGGTTGAATCAGGGATGACAGTGGCCACAAATCTCCACCCTCTGCATTGCAGGCTCCTTTCTGGTCACTGTGGTGGTGAGGAATGCCTTCTCCAACTTGAGTTTGGAAATTGGAAGCATCACTGTCACAGGTAAGAGGGTATATAATTTATGACCAGGTATATAGGGTGTGACAACTACTTGTAATCTAGTGAGGACCCTAAAACAGAGCTCTGAAAATGCATATTGTTCTATAGATGTTAAGAATTCTCTGGGTACTGTGAAGAACCAAATAATGTCTGTAGTCAGACATTCAACCATGGATACAGAACCCCAAAACATCCAAGTTTGTATTGGTTTAGGGTGCTTTATGCTGCAACCTAAGTAACTTTAAATTCAAGCCTTTACTATCTCATATATGCAGAAGTTAGGAGGTTAAGAAGTTTCAGGTCTGGCTTAGTGTTGCCATTATGGACCCAAGCACATTCTGTCATTCTGCTCTGCCAGCCTCAGAGCTTTTGCTATGTCATACTCTTGCATCTCATTCTATCAAATTGGCTGCTGCAGTTCCAGATATCACATCAAGTTGGCTGCCACAGTTCCAGATATCACATGCAGGATCACAGCATGATCCAGTGGCAGAAAAAGTCTCCCATGCACCTTTTTTTTTTTTTAATGAAAAATATTTCCCTCGAGTCCCTGGCTATCTTCCCCTCCAATATCATTTGGCCAGGGTAGGTTCTTGGGACTAGTAGTAGTAGTAGATGCCAGGAAAGTAGGTATCTGGCATTTTCAGTTCTGTGGGAGATGGTAGATTTTGGCCAGGACTCTTTGAGTAGCAAGGGATAGAAAAGCAGCTCAAGTTGAGAGGAAATGTTATCAACACAGAAAAGGAAAAGTCTAAGGCTTAGGCACATCTGGATCCAGCCATGCCGTCTTCAGAAATCTTTCTCCATGGCTTTGTTCTATGTTGGCTTCATTCTGACTCCTGCTTCCCAGGGAGCCTAAGATGGCACCAGTTTTTGATCCTTAACCTCAGAGGAGCACCACACCTTTTTTGGTATTTATAGCAAATACCTCCCTCTCACTGTTCCAAGTTCAGTTCATATTTCTTCTTGTTCTGGCTAATGAGACCCAAGGGAACCTGCACTTAGTCTGGATGGACCATGTCTATACATTCACCTTGGAACAGGATGTGGGGTCAGCTTCACCCAAGCCAAGGACTGAGTGTGGGGCAGGATGGTTCCTCAGGGAAAACATCACCTATAACTTCCAAAAGAAGGGGGGCCTAGATGCTTAGACAGGGGGAAAAGTCAGATGTTCACTCTATTGTGCATAGCCCTGCTTTTCCACGTAAAGAATTTGAAGTCCAGAGAGGTTAATTCACTTTGCAAATGTCACTCAGCTAACTCGTGGCAGAATTGATGGTAGCAACTACTCCTGTTGATTTCTTCATTTGGGGTTATTAGACTATCTTCCTTGTTAAGGTCAAGCTCTATATCTGACATCTTAGTTGTGTTTTATATAATTTAATACAGCTTTGAAGTTATAGTTGTGAGAATGAGAATTTACTGGGAGAGAAGTTTTTCAAGATCAGTACTAGCCAGATCTTAAAATATCCAAGCCACTGAGGTCTAGTGAATTACATGTATTTTAATCACTATGCATAGATTCGACATTAATCATATTCATATTTCAGTATCTTCAGCACATGCCAGTTGAGAGAACCTTCTTTTTTTAACATGACACATTGATCTTCTTTACAGACACACAGATGACAAAGCAGTAGTATATTCAAAACAGTATGCAGTCTTCTGGTTCCTTAAAAATGGGGGCTGCCTTCAGCTTTTTCATAAATGGGAAACCTAAGACTCAGAAAGAATAGCTAACTTGTGCAGGCTCACACAGCCAGTAAGAGGCCAATAAAAGGCACTGGTCACACACACCATGATGAGTTCGGACCAGCTCCTACAGTTAGAGCTGATCATATCTGGCTTTTTTTCTGCTGCATTCAAGGAGGTCGGCGTGGGAGTTGGCCTAGTAGTGAACATGGTTTTGCTTTTGACCCACTTCCTTATTTCCCTGAGTGTCTGCTATGTTCCCCTAACCCACTTCCACTGGAGGATACCCCATCTGACTCTGCCCTTTGGCAATCTCATAAGCAACAGTCAAAGTTTAATACCCATCCCCACTGTGTTCACAGCTCCTTCTGATCTCCAAGGACCATATGGAATAAATGCTGAGGGAAAAAATGTGAGTATTTTTTTAAAAACTTAACCTCACAAGAAAATGATATCTAAGTACTCTGTTTTAGTTTAGACATTTAGTTTGTGGTGTTAATAACTAGAACATTAGGAATCACCAAGGTTTCTTCCATTTGAAAAAATATGCAGAAGGTTGATGTCAAACAAAATACATTTTCTAACCACAACAGAATTATATTAAAAGTCAGTAACAGGGCATCTAGGATATGTAGATATCTTTTAGACATCATGAAAATTAAATAGCACACTTCTGAAAAAGTAAATGAGCAAAGAAAAATTCACAAGGCAAATTTTAAAATATTTTTAAGGATAATGACACTACAACCTATCCACATGTATGTTGGGGATGTAGCTAAAGCAATACTTTGAGGGAAAATTATAGTTGTTATATCAGAAAACAGGCCCAGGTTCTTGACTCCTGGCTGTTGACATTGCTCATGTATGCATTTATTTAGCAACAGACTAATTGTGGATGTACAATATTCAAGTCTTGGGACTATAAGAGATGTGGTCCTTTCTTTATGATGCTTAGTCAGTGAGACTAACAAACAAATTAGTATAAAATTAGCAATTGTGATAAAAGTCTAACAATAGGGTTCAGTGATAGCAACTGACCGGTGGTCTAGCAAATGTGATCAGACAAGGCTTCTTAAGAGGTGACATTTAAATGAGGAAATAAAGATAAGATGGTCAGCTAGGCTGGAAAGCAGAACAAGAACTTTGGGACTGCTCAGATGAGAAGGCCTGAGGCTAAAAGTGGCCTAAGATCTGTGTGGCGAGAGCCTGGTGTGGGAGGAGGAGGATGTAGGAAATTACAGAGATTAATAGAGGCTAGATCACGTAAGGCCTTAGGTGCCAAGGCAAGGAGGGTTGGATTTTATTCTTAGGCCATGGCAGGCCATTGGCGTGAAAGTAGATGGAGATAGGGGTGAGGGTTGAACTCTATCGTAGTAGCCTCCTGTTATTCCAGGCCACTCCTCTGGGTCTGATCTGTTTAGCAGGTCCTACCAAAATCAACTCCAAGAACCTATGGTATGCCTGCCCATTCCCCTTCCTAGAATCCACATGCTCTCGCCATTTTTGCCCAGCTAACCCTCACTCCTCCTTCATGACAGTTCTAGGGTCCTGTCTTCTTAAAGCTTGCCCTGAAACCTTGCTTCGTAGAGGTAACAGTTTAGCACCCTCCTCTGCTGCAGATATGAGAGGGAGAATGTCATTTGTTTCTCTCTTCAAATCCACAGCAACTCCAGAAGTCAGTTGCTATTAAACCTCGAAGTTCAGGGAGGCTTAGACACCTCTCAGTGGTCTGAGTGCCAATGACCCAGTCTGAGATCTGGCTGGACCCAAAGCCTATGTTCCTAACTTACTACCTCCCTCCTCCATGTTCTCACAGTTCCCTGAAGCCTCTCTACTGTAGCAGTTAACTCTGTTTTAATCACTAATGCCCTTGCCTGCATTCCCTGTTAAACGTAACAGCAAGGGCTGGGTCTCCATTGTTGTATCTCCAGCATCAATTCCAGGGGGGCGTCCAGAGATGCTGAACACATGGTAGACCCTAGCATGGAGCCCAAACTAGGGGAGCCAGGTAGATCGAACAGTTTGCTTCTATTCTATAACCTACACCTTGGCACAGAAAGCTCTGGAGTAGAGGAATGTATACAAGCCATGGAGGGGAGTCTCACCAGCCAGCTGTTTTTTCTACAGAAAGATAAAGGGCATGTGGAGCTGTACATGGAACCTGGTCCGTACGTGGATCCTTTCACAACAGTGACTTTGGGCTGGCCGGACAGTGACGAGGACCTGCGTTTCCAGTGGTCGTGTGGTAGGTGGCCTCAGAGCTCTGCATCTCTTCTATCTCACCAGGAAGTGACGGATGACAGTGGCCAACTTTGCTGTTCTTTTTAAATCTTCACATGGGCATTACTTATGCCTGATATTAGCTGCATAACATGGGGAGAAATGGTGGGTATTTGCAAACTAAGGTGAGGTGGCCACGAAGAGAGGAGATACGTAATCTATAGAGAGTTTAAGAACAGTAATGAAACTCTAAAAGACAGTCAGTTCTCCTGTCTTCAGTGGGTCCCTCCTTTCACCTCCAAGCCCTGGGTAAGCCCCTGGGAGGAGTCTTGAAGGGTGAAGTGATGAGGCATTTTATTGTAACAGACCAAGATGGCAGCACTAGTGAGTGCTCAGTTGTTTCTATTTTAGAAATGGTTGTCCTCCTTAGTCCAGGGATAGAGCTTAGCCACATGGGTATTCTTGTCAAAATAAAATGCATGTCTTTCATACTGTATCTCATTGCTTTTCTTTAAATGCACAAGATATTCCACATATTTGAATGTCACAGTATCTTCTCCATTTTGATTTTCATAATACAAGTATTCCTTATCATCTGAAAGTAGAATGCTCCTATTTTGTATAAATTGATAGGTTTTGGGGGGTCTATGGATTGTATTTCCACTCATTTATATGGGGATTTTTTTGAACATTCCTATATAATAGAATAAGAGAGTCAAAGATCATACAAAATTGGAAGACTTTTGAGTTTAATTGGTAAATGTTCAGGTTACCCTTCGGAATATTAGTTCTCATTACCTAGATTAATAGGGTATACAAATACAGAGTTTAGGAGAGTAAGTTGATGACCTCACTCTTGACATGTCCCATGAACAGCTATCATGTTGGGTGTTGTGGGGGAGCAAGGAGATTGACAGGTAAACAATCAGTCAAAGGTTCAGAATATGGAGACTTAAATGAGTTGGAACCATAAAGCTGGAGATAACCCCAGGTTCCCCAGGGCTCCCCATAGGAACACATAGCTGTGGATGATTGCTTCCACATGGAGTGAGAATGACACCAAGGACCAGAGTTGCTATAGACTTTCTCCAGGGTGGGGCTACATGTTCTCCTGGCCCCTCTCTTGCCATAGGCCTGCCTGCTCACCTGTGCTAGCAATGAGTACAAAGCAGCGACATGTCCTGCAGGTATATTCAGAGACTGGATGAAACAGGTCATTTTCCAGAAGCATTCACCTGAGGCACCATTCCTGCACATCGGCAAGAGAAATTATATTTGGAGTTGATTTTCTTGTCCATCACCTTTTCTTTGAAACACCCTGAACCTGAAGATAGCCCCATGGGTTTGTAAATAGACACCCATGTTTGCCCATTTCTCCCAGGACGCTGCTGGGTTCAGTGGGGTAACTGTGTTGAGAGGAAGCTGATCCACACAGACCAGAGGGAGCTGGTGGTTCCGCCATCCTGCCTGCCCCCACCTGGCTCCGCCGTGACCCTGCGCCTGGCCATCGGGAGAGGCCAGGAGCCGGATAAGCAGAAGGAGCAGTGCCTCTATGTGTCTGCACCTCTGGAACTCAAGCCTCAAGTCAGGTGGGGGCATGAGAGCAAATTTCTCTGAGGTTGTCATTCGTTTGTCTTTCAGTCAACATTTACTGACAGCCAGCTTGAGCTGGCGCTGACTTAGTGGTGGGAAAAGCCAGATCCAGACTCGGTTCCCTATAGTTACTGCCTGGGTCAGAAGTGATTTGCACAGACATAGAGGGTGTGATTCTGTGACTGCTTTCCCAGTTCAAGGTCAGGGAAGGCTTCTCTCAGGAGAGAGATAGAAAAGGAAGAGGAATTGACTTGGCCAGGAAAATGGGGATTGGAGAAGGAACAAAACGGCCAAAGGAGGAAACATAGAATACTCTGGATGTGAAAGAGGCTGGCATGGCTAGAGCATGGAGGAAGAGAGGGGCAGGAAGAAGCTGAAAGAGTAGGCAAGGGCTGGCTCAGCATGGTTTTGCACATCAGGTTTAAAATATGACTTTGGATTTCATCCTAAGAGTTCTGGAAAGCCATCTCAGCATGAAACAGGCCTGGGGCATGAGCACATCTTGCTTCAAGATGCTCTGATAGCAGGTGGAGAGCAGACTGGAGGGGGCATGAGAAGCCCAAAGAGATTATTTAGGCTTTTCCAGGAATCAAGGCAGGAGCTCAAGGTCTTGCTCTACGAGCCAGGTGCCTGCAGGAAGCAGATGGTTCACTCAAAGTAGGAATACATGAGGGTTGGGTAAAGGGTCTATTTAAAATGTGGACAGGTAAAAATGGAGCTTCCATATGATCCAGCAATTCCACTCCTAGGTATCTACCCAAAGGACACAAAAACATTAATTTAAAAGGACACCCGCACCCCTATGTTTATTGCAGCACTATTTACAATAGGTAAGCTATGGAAACAACCCAAATGCCCAAAAATAGATGACTGGATCAAGAAGATGTGGTACATACACACAATGGAATATTACTCAGCAATCAAGAAAGATAAATTCATGCTATTCTCAGCACATGGATGGAGCTGAAAGGGATCATGCTTAGTGAAAAAAGTTAGAAAGAAAAAGAAAAATACCAGATGGTTTCACTTATAGGAAGAATGTAGAAAAGCCAAATAAGAGATCAGGGAAAAAATGTAATTATAATAAAGTAAAAATCAAAATCAACAGGCAACTGTAAACCAGAGACATTCTGCGGAGGCGGGGTTGGGGGAAGGGAGTCACTCTGCTCTTACCCCCTCACTTTGCAGGTGAGGAAACTGAGGCTCTGAGATCAAGGTGACCATTTTGAAGTGGCAGGGACAGGATTCTAGTACCTGGGGCCTCCTGTGCTTTGCATATTATGATCCTATGCAGTGAATGAAGTGGGAATCCAGCCCATTACAAATCACCCCATCTTCATCACCTGGGATGGTTATGGGGGTAGGGGGTAGGAGGGAAAGGGCTTGCTTTTATTCCATCTTTTATTTCCCACCTTCTCAAAGGACTTGAGAAGAACAGGGCAAACAACCAGGCAGGTGGCCACCATGCCTAGTGACATTCGACTGTCTCCTTTGCAGCTGTGAGAAGAACTGCAGGCCAGTGAATGCTAGTGGCAATGTCATGCTCAGGGTCACCATGGCGGATGATTTCCCAGGAGCCATGTTCACCTGGTACTTAGATGTCACCCCATCGGAGAAGGTGAGGACACTGGCAACCATTCAAAATGGAATTGTCCCCCCACCACACCCCTTGATTGACCAGAATCATGCCAAATTCCAGTACTGGGCCAGGGGGAGAGAGAGAAAGAGAGAGAGAGAGAGAGAGAGAGAGTGTGTGTGTGTGTGTGTGTGGTCTCCCCAAGGAAATCCAGGGAGCCAGTCAGGACAGAGATGGAATGCAGCAGATGCTGTTGGTGCCCTAGCTGAGTCCCTCTTGCCAGGCCCCTGTACTCATCCCCAGTTGCTTTGGAGTAGAGTGGCCATGGGCTAGTACCTGATAGGGGATCAGGCTGAGGCTGGAGGCATTCAGGAACTACTGCTTTGCATAGTTCTATCCTCCACTCTACTCCACACACCCATGCCACCCCCACCACCTGTACTCCCAGAGAATCTCCCTCAATACCAGGCTTGCACAGGAACCCCTGGCTCAGAGTCTACTTACAGGGAACAGCACAGGACAAATGTCCTTAACAAGGCTGGGAGCGGTTATTTGGGCTGAGCTGGGGAAGCAAGTGGTACCTGCCATCCATCCATTGGACACAGAGCAGAAAGGCCTCCTTGGGGTTAGAAGCCATCGTGTTGTTGAGGTCCAGGCCAGCTACAGACTCAGGGAATCTGGGCCTGTTCTCTTTCAGGCTGAAAGCCTGCCGGCGATCTGCAGACTTCCAGGACTCTGGCCCCATTCTTTAACCCTCCTTCAGAGGGACACATCCACGCTGCTGCTGAACAGCTCCTTCCTGCAGACTTGGGGCGAGGCCATCCGGATCCGAGTCACAGGTATGAAGTCTCCCTTTGATCAGGGATGCTGCCTGCCTTGGAAAGAGAACCAACTAGAACCCAGAAGCCAGAATTATGGGCCATCGGTGTAGGGTGGGGACCACACTGGGCTCTGGTATTCATCCCTCCATTTTCCAGCTGGGTGGCTTGAGGCAAGGGACCGAACCTCTCTGGATCTGTGTCCGTACATATTAACTGTACGGACATATTAACTGTATAACATATTACATATCAAAACTCCCACCTCCGAATTACACCATGCAGACGGATGAGATCACAGCATGGTACAAGCAAATCAACCTGAGGTTGTGCCAGCTGCCCTTCTCATGAAAAAACAGCCCAATGTGGCAAGAAATGTAGATTCTAAAAGAGACCCTAAAATGGGGTGATTAATCCTTTTGAGATGGTTACCTTCGATTCAGTGTTTCTCAGAGCAGCCCATAGACCACCCAGCAGGGTAAAATGCATACCCCTGGGCCCACCTCAAACCTTCTGAATTAAGTCTAAGTCAGACATTAGTTTTAGTTGCTGAAAATTCTCTTTAGACCCCACTCTTCCACATTCTTTTTTGAAAAGCCAGATGATGATACCAGGTGACGTATAGGAAGGAATGTGGCTTTCGGTGGGATCTGTCTAGATCTGGCTGGGACATTTCCATGGTCATCTTGAGCGAGTCATTGTCTCCCTCCTCCCTGAGTTCAGTGAGGAATGTGGTCTTCTTTGCCTCATTTTACAGATGAGGAACTGACTCTCACAAAATCCAAGGTCACATGGCTAGTAAATGGCAGAACTGGGACTCAAGTCCAGGTCTCTCTGATTCTGTTCCTCTCTCTGTACAATTTTTAAGTGAGGCCTTGGGAAGGCCCGCATCAGAGGCCGCTGTTGGATATGCAGATTTCTGTGCGCTGCCCAGAATCTCCAGAGGCTGAGGCTCTGGATCGGGACAGGGGTCAGGGAGCTGAGTGTTTAACAAGCTGGGGTAATCCTAAGGCATGGTGGAGTTACTGTGACCCATACAGTCCCCTAACTATCCTCTGTCTTCACTCCCCAGCAGTGACCAGGCATGCCTATGGGGAGGACACCTATGTCATCAGCTCTCTGCCTCCCCCCGAGGTGCCCACCTGCACCATTGTCCCAGAGGTGGGCACCATTCTGACAAGCTTTGCCATCTTCTGCAATGGCTCCACCTCCCTGGGCCCCCTGCAGCACTGCTTCTGTCTGGAATCAGGTACCACCCAGGACTCTGTGCTCTCTTCAGCTCCAGGGCTCTTCTGCTCTAAGAATAGGGCCCTATCTCTCTGGGGGCTGCAGAGAGTATACTCCACATGTGAGAGGTGTGAAGGATGAAGACACCCCTCTCTCATTTCAAACCTCAGCCACCACCCCAGGTACACTGACCTAGCCACACACCTCAGAGGGAGGAGAAACAGGTTCCCTCCGTATCTTTTCTACTATTACAGAGGTCAAAATGATCTCTGTTCTGAAATGAGGGACATGAGAGGCCTGAATGGCTGAGAAAGCCCACAGGTATGGCCATGTGGGCACAGCCAGGACCCCACACCCCAGCCCACTCTCAGGGGAGCCATGAGCCCTTCGAAGTCTGCAGCTACCCAGTAGAGAAGGGTCTCATTCACAGACTTATCGATGCTCTTGCTGACCACTTAGCAGGAGGCAGCTGGGAATAGGGGTGTCACAGAACACACTGAGCTGAATGGTAACATTTCTGGTGGGACTGGGCTTCAGACCCCAATCCCACTGTGCAACACTCTGCAGCCTGCATCACCTCAACAGCTCACACCCCAGGATGGCAACAGGGCATCAGCAGGAGACACAGGGTGATGGCCCACACAGCATGTGCTCTCCCGGTTTGGGAATGACTGGCCTCTAGAGGACTCATTTGACTCCTGGGCTATTCCCAGTGGACTCTGGCATTTGACAACCCTCGCAAGAGCTCTGAGAATGTTCAAGTCAGATGGAAACTTTCCTCCAAACACAGTCACCAGAAGAATGGCTGGAGGGCTCCCTACTATCCAAACCACAATGACATAAATGAAATGCCTCGATGAGGGAAAGGTGGGTGCAAGCTATCCTGAGACCCCAGGGAGGGTGGATTCATCCATGGATCTGACTGGACCTGAGCTTGGAGGAAAAACCTCAAGGAATGGAAGTAGATTTCACTTCAAACCTGCATCCCCCTAAATGCAAAGGCCAGGCTAGTGCTCCAATCCCGACTGGTGAGGCCCCTGTCCTTCCTCTGTCCATCCACCTCACACAGGTGAGTAAAGAGGCAGGGAAGTGTGATCACCTGAAAATAAGCCATTAACTGTCACCCCATGCTTCATGATTATTGGCACATGACAAGGTGACCAGTGATTCCAATGAAGGGCGTCCCCTTTAGGGACAGAAAGGACACTCGTGGATACATTTTTATAACAGATGTGTATGTGAATGTCAGATTCTGTTCTAGGTGCTAGATATGCAGCAGTGAACAAAATAGGGGTGCTGCCTTTGTGCCCCCATGGTGAACAAAGGGCTGTGTATACAAAGCATGGTTGGGACAGGCCACACCGCACAGCCGGTATAATTACCTGTGCGTGTTCACACGATCATCACAAGTGATGCTTGACTCCACAGCTAGAGGTGGCAACAGACAACAGGAGGCGCTGCTGTGGAGATGGCAAGGCCGTCGTATGGACAGTGACCTTTGAGCTTGGATAGGCTTGGAGCTAATCTTGACTATCTCCTCTTCTCGCTCCTCCTCCTTTCTTTTTGTAGTTAGGTTTTCCATCTTGATTTAAAAAAAAAAGAAAAAAACCACAAATGAGAGATTTTTGGAGACATTTTCTTAGATTTTAGTAATATTAGTCCAAAGTCACAGCACCCTGAGATTATCTGGAGAGGAGAGTAGATTGGTAAATATGACTGTCTTCATGCTGAAAATATTGAGTCCCTGAGTGTCTGACACGCCTTCATGACATGTGGCTCTTTATCTCTCCCTGGTTGGGGTGCTGCCCCCTGAATTGTTCAATTTCTACTTCTAGGTTCCTGTCTGCACTGTGGCCCTGAACCTGACCTCCTGTCAGTTTATCTGCCACTGGGAAAAGAAAACAATGACTTTGTGCTGACAGTGGTCATTTTCGTCTCCAATGGAGTGGGTGACACACGGCAGATCCATGCAGCGGTGAAGGTAGGGGGTGGCCACTGTTGTTTCTTTACTGAGAAAACCTGACCCACCTGAACCTCACCGAGAGGGTGGCTGGTAAACAGAGAGATGAGGGCATGACCACATGAGCTGATACATTCGTTTCATCAACAAATATTTACAGAGCTTCTCCTGTGTGCCAGGCCCTGGAGATGCAGCAGTGGTCTTCCCCTCTGTAGATTTTATGATGTGTAGTAAGAATGGGGGTAGGGTTGTAGTGGGGTTGTAGTGGGGTGTGGGGTGGAGGCTTGTGGGGTTGGAGCAGAAGGACCCAGGAATGTGCTAGACGACCACTTCATCAAGTCACCTTCAGAGCCCACAGAAAGAAGGACCAAGATCAGCCAACAGAGCTCCAGGCAGAGGCAGGACAAAATCCTAGTAAATGTAAGGATCAGAAGCCAAGTGGAGTGGGGAGGGATGGAAAGACTGACCAGGAGGGAAGTGAGGGGTGAAACAATGACTTGCTTGGGCCTTGCCTGGTACAAGGGAGTCCCAGCTGCCCTCAAAGCCCCAGAAAGTACCCAGAGCCCCCACGTCATGTCTGCTCTGGTTTTCCACATGAAGATCCCTGGCTTCACACCCCAGGCACTTGAACAAGTGCTAGGGCTTGCAGCCTCCCCAGGAATGCTTCCCCTCAGGTGGGACTTGGAGACGCCCGTGTTGAGGATGTGGCATTCCAGGCCGCAGTGTCTGAAAAAATCACTGTTGCTCTGCAAGATGAGCAGGGTCCTGAGAGACTCTTCCAGCTAGTCAGGTCCGTGTCCTCCATGCTGGACCAGGAGCGCCAGGGGCAAGGCTCTGGGCAGTCGCCAGGAATGGACGCCAGACAGAAGGTACTCCAGATGGGCTCTTTTATCCCTCTGCTGGGTGCCCTGGGGTCTGCATGCAACCAGGTTGGAAGTGGGGTTCATGATTCTGTATATTCAAGGCAATCAGAGCCATTAAACTCAATTTCCAAAGTGATTTTGCATGTGAGGTGACATAGTCACCGATTCCAGGGTCTAGGATGTGCACATCTTTGGGAGGTTACACCCTGGGCACAAGATGCCTACCAAGAACCCTATGGGGAAAACAGAGGTCTATGGGTTTTGGAAAGCCACAGATGAACCCAATCTTGCTCTGACCCCACGATTTTCTGAAACCACTTTATCAAGTCACTGGAATTACATTCCCTCTCTCCTCTTCCTCCCTCTGTGTCAAGGTCAGAGAACGCATGCTGGTATCACTATCTTCAATCACTGCCACCCTGGGGGACATGCAGAGGGTGCACGGGCTGGCCAAGGTATTGAGAGAGGTGACCCACCACAGTGAGGAACTCTCGCCCTTGGCCCAGGTGAGTAGTTCACCTACTCAGTCAGGCAGAAGGTCCCTAAATGTTGGGGCCACAAAGTCTTCAGCCATCTTATTTCCAAGGTTCTGCCTGGGTGGCTCTAAGGTGGCTCTAAGGAGCCCCACAGTCCCAACTGGTGAGCACTTTGAGTCAGTAACTGCCTAACTAATCACTGGTTCATGTGCATGTCCAGATGCTGAGGCCCACTGACCATTTCCCCTACTTCAGCCTGATATCCAGCTGCCAACTCCTGCCTTTCTTTGTTGGGAGCCTTCTCTGACCTCCACTCCCACCCTGAGCCCACTCTGCCTGCCCACATTGAAGACTGGACTTATCAAGAGATTGATGCAGCACTGAATGACTATTGGAGCCAGGGTGCAGATACCCCGGCTCTCTCCACTTTGTGGATAACTGCAAAGCAGGACCAAGCCCTAGTAATAGGCTGATCACACCTACTGTATCACACCTCCTGCTCTTCCTGGTCTCACGTCCTATGTGTTTCCAGGGATCACCTCCAGATGCCTCAGGGCATGCTTCTCCGAGAACTCAAAATACCAGATTTCCAAGGCAGCCAAGGTTTGAAAAAGAATCCCTAAGACAGTAAAAAGGGATCTACCCTGGCTCTGCCCTCCCACTATGTCAGGAAGTTGTGCCCCTCAAATTACCCAGCCTGAAGCCAGTAAAGGTGACCTTTAATTCTGGAGCCATAATACTGTGATCATCACACTTCCCTTTTACACACCCATTTGCTCATCCATTCATTCTATGTGCAGGCATCTATACATGCACCTATTTCCATCCATTCCTCCCCCCTTCCATTCATTTATGACTGCATTAATATACTCATTCATTCAACAAAAACCTCCTGAACGTCTAGCAACTTGAGAATTCAGCAGCAAACTGTGCAGACATAGCTGTACTCATAGCACTTTCAACAGCCAGACATTAAAGAAATAATTTCACAAATACATACATAACAAGACTATATAAAGTGCTATGCCCATCCACCCATCCACCATCCATCCATCCATCCATCCGTTCAGTCAATGTTTCCTAAATGCCTACTATGTGCTGGTTGTGCAAAGCACTCTGGGAAGGATTCAGAGATGGATTAGGCTACTCTTTTGAAGGAACTTACCACATTGTAGGGCTGGAGGACCTAGTTTCAAGTCAGCAGTACAGGCAGCTCGTGTAATAGGCGTGGCCCAGATCTTCCTTGTCGGTGTCCACAATTCACTCCTCTCCACTGCAGCCCTTGAGTGGCACAGGGGATGGCCTATCCCAGGGAGCATTCATGCTGTCTTTTCTTCTCCTTTGGGTGAACCCAGTGGGAGGCCAGCTGGGTGTTGCAGCATGCCAGTGAGGCCCTGTTGGCAGCGAGTGCCAAGGCCCATCCTGAGGACCAGAGGCGCAAGGTGGCCACGAGGGACCTGTTTCAGGCTGTGGGCAGCGTGTTGGAAGCTTCCCTGAGGAACAAACCAGAAGAGACTGAGGAGGCCAGTGATACCCAAGTAGGTGTCCCAGACCAGACGCAGACCTCTACACCCATGGTGTGCCCGGCTCCCACCAGCATCTCTACATGACTCTCCCCCTTGCAGATGAAGAAACTGAGGCACAGAGGTTAAAGTCCTTTCAAGGGAGCTGGGAGAAAGGTTGCAGAATACAGCTTCCAGGACTAGTTAGTGGACTGAATGCAGGCTCCAGAATGGGGCAGGCTGAGTCTAAACCCTGCTCCATTGCTATAAGCCTTGTGACTTGGGCAAGTGACAAAACTCCCTTAGCTTTACTTCATCTAAAAATTGAGGGATTCTGCCTCATCCTGCATAAGCTACCAGTTGGAGAGCTCACATTTCCTTCTTGCAAGTTTGGATTGAAATCCTCATTTACTTAGCCAAGAACATGAAATATTCTTAGAAGAAAGGCAGCCCCAGAGTAAGAACAGATACAGCCCAGCTACATCTGGTACTTAAGGGGCCCGACCTCCCAGGACCGCATCACAAGTTGCCTCAAAGCCCATTTCTGGCTGCTTCATGGTCTTTATCACATGGGGCCATCACCTCTATTCAGGAAGAACTGAGACACACGTTCAGGGACGCACACACTTACCTACAGATACTCAAACACATCTGCAAATTCACACACACCCATCAACACACATTCAATCACACCCACTTAGAGACACTCACACATACCCTAAGTGCACAGCCTCCCACACTCACAGAGATGCACATTTATACATGTCATCACACTCAACCACACATACACTTACAAACACACAGACTGTCACCTATAGTTGCAGTCACATGCGAAATGACATTCACACATCCATGTTCCAACATTTCTACTTACCCTGAAACCCACACTCACACCCACACACATATTCACCAACTCACACACATACTCACACTGACACCTACACACTCAAGCACACTCACACAGTTACCTTCAAAGACATAGTCTCACATGCACACACGCTCCCTGGGCCCTGATAGGAACTCTGTGCAAATACCCAGCCCTTCCTGGGCCTCATGCCAGCCTTGACTTCAGTGAGGCTGTCTTTTCACCCAGGAGTTGGGTAAGGTGGGGGGTAGCTTGAGCCCAGGTGACCCCGTGATATGACTTGGCCTGTGGTTTTCCATTTTGCCATGGGTAAGACTGGGCCATGAGTGGATGTCGGGGAGAAATGCAGTGGCAGGAGAGACCCACTGTCATGGCCCAGCACATGGAGCCACATGCTTTGCTGCCTCATCGCTTCTTGCTGACTCACCTGGCTCTTCCCTTGTCAGTGTACGACCTCCATAGGTCACCAACTCTGTCTGTGCCTTTGTTTCCCCTTCTGCCAAAGAAAGACAGTAAAGGCACTGGCCTCAGAGTTGCCTGAAGAGGAAACGGGCTAGCATGGGCCTCGGGCTGGAATCTTTGTAAGCGCTCACTCTTTGTTTCCTACAGCACCTGGCACTAACTAAACAGTGTTCCTTCACCATCCCTTCTTATTCCTCTGCCCTCTCTGGGTTCCTGTTGGGTCCCTGCGGAATGTCCCAGACTAACCTGATGACAGTACCCAGAGGCGGCCACGGAGACAGGTCCATAGCAGTATCTCCTGCTTCCTTTTCCAGATGGCACCTGTGCCCCAGCTGCTCGGAGCTGTTGAGCGGCTGCAGGCTGCCCTCCTGCTGGGGAGGCTACCCGGGGGCCCTCCAGTCACGTTGACTGCCCCCTCCATCGTGGTGTACACAAACAGGTAACCAGTGGCACTGTGGCTCCCCAAGAAAGTTCAGCCCCTGACCTGGCTCCTCCTGCACCCACATGTCAAGACCTGTGACAGCAGAGAGCAGGAGGCCAGCCTGGGAGGGGTGATCGGGGCACAACCAAGAGAAGGAAGGGCTTCTCATGGAGAGAGCCATTGTGGGGTTGGACAGCAGAGGCAGGGGAGCGCTGAGTGCCAGTCCCAGAGTTAAAGCTACCAGGAGTCCTGAGAAGTCCAGGCTGTGCAGTGCAGGCCCCGAGATGGCTGAAGGAAGCGCAGGACACTTTCAATTCACCTGGTGTGTCTGGCCAAGCCAGGGCTCCTCAGTGCCTCATGAGCACCTGTGTCCCATGGACCCCCTCAGTACTAGAGGGGCCCTTCAATCTCCATTCCTCCAACACACAAGCCAGGGCTGGACGACACTGCCAGCACTGCTAGGACTCCCTGAACCTAGAACCCATCCTTGGCTCCTTGTGCAGAGGAAGCCCTCTTGGGTCCCAAGGGAAGTTTCCCAAAGCAACACCTCAGTCAGAGCTGGGATCTGAAACCACATCCCCTGTCTACACAGACATCACAAGGCCAAAGGCCAAAGCAGATGGGGCTGGGAGCCCATGACCTCAGATTTAAGTAGGCAAGGGAGATGAGCCTGCGGAAATGCCCGCATTGAAGCTCACTGCTCCTTCCATTGTGTGCCAGGCACTAAGCCAAGCTGGCAAAAGCCCTGTCCTCAGGGAGCCTGCCATTGGTATAGGACACAGTGGCTGCTTTCCAGCCTCCTCTGAGGCAAACACACAGAGCCACCGGTAGCCACCCACAGTGACGGGAACAGGGGGCTCCCTGCAGGTTGAGAGGCACGCAGGTCTGCCTCTGACACTGACTTTTTCCTGTCTCCCACCGCTGCGGTTCTCACCTGGGGCCAGAATCCAGCCCCGGAGTTGGTGGAGCTCCTCCATACACGTTGCTGCTGTCAACTCTGCCACCTTCACCCTGCCTGCCGCCTCCTCCCTGGGCTTTGAGGATGCTCAGGATCCTGTGGACATAAGGGTAATAGTAGTAATGAAGCTGTAGGACCAGCCCTTCAAGTTTGCAGAGCTTGCTGACATGTGGGACTCAGCCACATTGAGTAGGTCTTGTCAATGACATGACATCATTATGCCCATGGACAGATGAGCGTCGATGACTTATCCAAGCCACAAGTAAGGTGGCAGAGCTGGGATTCACACCAGGCCTCTGACTCCCCAGTCCCTCCTCTTTGCACTATACTGTGGAACTCCTCCTGCAGCCTTGGTTGCGTGAGTCATTGAAAATAAAGCTCTTCAGCCTTTGCTGCACCACCAGGAAAAGGCCAACTTGGGGATCTTTTCTGTTTCCCAGTTAGGCGCATCTGACTCTCTGGTCCTTGAGCCCCAACACAAACAAATAAACATTTTTCTCTTAAAGACTTGTTGGTTTTGTGGGAAGAATGGATCAGAGTGTCTGATAGTCCAGTAACTGCTCAGCTGTGACAAACCCAGTTTTCTGAGGCCACATCCCCAATGGGCAGACACATGCTAGTCAGCAGCTATAGTTCAAAGAGGGCCCCATTCACCTTTCAGGGCAAGTGCTCCGGTTCACAGCCCTCAAGAAGCTGTGCCAGCACTTCTTATTTTTGGTTTCAGATGATGAGCTTCCCAAAGAGCCCTTTCCCAGCCCAAAATCACTTTGACGTCAGTGGAACCATTGGTGCCCTCTGTCTGACCAGCCCTAGTGGACAGCGTGTCCCTGTGAAGAACATGTTGGAGAATGTTGAGGTACGTGTTACTAGCTGCCACTGGCGAGATGGCTTCTGAATTTCTTCTTCAACTTGGTTGGTTCCAGAAGTTGATCAGTTATGAAAACATGTATGAGAGAGGAGAATCATTAAAAATGATTCTCACCCTACCTTAAATATTGTATTTTATTTCCCCCGTCATAAGAATATTCGATGAAACATATATATATATGTGTATATATATATATTTTACATCATTTTTCATTTTTGTACAATGTATGCTTTCTCCTCTCAGGTGTAGTCCCTGTGGAATTCCTACCACCAGTTCACCCATGTCCCATCACTGTAGTTCCCTGTGTTCTTCCCACCCCTGTTTTGATCCTTCTTCCTCCCCCTCCCCTACAGAATATCTCTGATTTATAGTTGCCTGTTGATTTTCATTTTTAATTTATTATAATTAGTTTTTTCCCCTGATATCTTGTTTATTTCCTCTACATCCCTCCTATAAGTGAAACCATCTGGTATTTTTCTTTTTCCTTCTGACTTATTTCACTGTGCATAAGCCCTTCCAGTCCCATCCATGTTGCTGCAAAAAGCATGAGTTTACCTTTTTTGATAGCTAAGTAATATTCCATGGTGTATATGTACCATATCTTCTTGATCCAGTCATCTATTTTTGGGCATTTGGGTTGTTTCCATAGCTTAGCTATTGTAAAAAGTGCTGCAATGAACAAGGGGTGCAGGTATCCTTTTGAATTAATGTGTTTGTGTTCTTTGGGTAGATATCTAGGGGTGGAATTGCTGGATCGTGTGGAAGCTCCATTTTTTAGTAGTTTGAGGAACCTCCATATAGTTTACCATAGTGGTTGGACCAGTTTGCATTCCCACCAGCAGTGTAGTAGAACATCTTTTAAATTAAAAGTCATACTGGACCTCCCTAGTGGCACTGGTGTTAAAGTCTCAGCGCTATCAAGTTATCACCAGCCAATTTGGCCTGAGTTCAATCCCCAGCCAGGGAGATAACCCACATGGTGCAGCAGACCTCTCCTGTCTCGCCTGCTGCTCCCCTCAGCAGTGTATTTCAGTAGATCTGCCTGTTTGCTCCCCACTCTGTCTCTGGTGAATCTTCTCACCCCTGGCACCTCTGGCCTACATCCCAGCTCTTGTATGCATAAATAAATCTTTAAAAAAATTAAAGTAAAAAAAAAAATTAAAGACATACCTCTTTCCCATAATCCCCCACCACAGTCCCTTGGGTCCCCTCCTCTGGTAGCCTCAGTTCTGCAATCTGATTGCTAGGGTTTGTTTTTGTATGTTCCTTTGCTTTGTTTTCACTCATATTCTGCATATGAGTGAAATGATCCAGTATTTGTCTTTCTTCTTCTGACTATGTCTCTTAGCATAATTCCCTCTCATTCCATCCATATTTTTGCAAATGGCCAGATTTCATCTTTTTATGAGCAGTATTCCATTAAGTATATAGACTCCATTTTCTTTATCCACTCATCTGTCCTTGGGCACTTAAGCTATTTTATAAATAGTGCTGCAATGAAAATCATATTTTAACTTAAGATTCTAAATGCACATCATTGCTAATCTGTGGGTGTACAACTTAAAAGTTCCTTTGTGTCTGTTGCCTGGAGTCTTAATTATCTTCACTACATGAGTTTTCACCAAAGTACAGCCTCTAAAATGTCCAGCTAGATTTTTCTTTAAAGTTAAGCAAAACCATAAGCACTCCCATGGTGCAATGTAAGTGAGATTCTTTTCAAATTTTAATGACTTTTTTCTACCATTCTCATCGATGACTAATTCAATAACAATTTTTAAAAACTCACCTGCTTCTCAAAGCACTCAAGTTTTTATGCAAATCATTCTTATCACATTGTCACTTTCTATCACTCTGAAATAGTATTAAAGTGGACCTTCAGAATCACAGTGGACAGAAGCAGGTTTGGGGTCAAATGCAGCTGCCTGTTGGTGAGCCTATAACTTGGAGGAAAGGAAAGAGCTGCCAGGGTTACTAGGGGAAATATGGCAAGGGTTGGGTTTTCTGGAAGCAGGCAGAGAAAGAAGGTTCAGTGTGAGGTATACACTAGAGTTCAATATCTGAGTCGAGTGAAGACAGGGCCGGGCAGAAGGAGAAGTCACACAGAGCCTCAATCTGCAGCAAAGTTTAGCCATCAGGTTTTTAGTAACTGCATGTGTTTATTTTCTGTTATTTATGACGTTTTGATATTTTTAAAATCTTGCTGGCTGGGGAGAGGTTGTGGCTCCAGGGTAGGCCAATTCTTAGAGATAGCAAAGAGTTCAAACAGGGCACATGATTCACGTGCAGACCAACCAACCCCCAGTGCAGCCCCCCCAACCCACTCCTATATCTTACTCTCATGCACCATGCTTCTATTTCCCTGCCCTAAAACCATCCAGGGTTCCCGGCCACTAGAGACCACCCCTAGAGTCAGAAGCCCACTGGAATTATTCAAACTGACCAAACCTAAACTGTTTACTTGGCCCTGCCTTGCCTTGCCTCTGGAAATCCCAATATAAAGGTTCTGGCCTGGCTTTCTACTGTACCTGCTTCTGCTTCCTGACCAGGTACTTCTCCTGACACCCTGCATAGAGGGTGGCCCCTTCCTCACAGGAACTGTCAGTCACAACCTCTTTCACAGTACTGATCTCCTCGTGCCATCACTCAGTCACTTCTATAACTTAAACTTGCATAGTACACATGAGACCAAGTGGCCCACTGCAGGCCAATGTGCCTGGGCCTTTCATCTCTCTGCTTGCTCAGGAAGGCAGGAGCCCCAGGAAGGCTGTGCCCTCTAGGGAGGCAAGAAAGACCCTGAAGGAGCTGAGATCTAAGAGCTCATCACATCCTGTGACTGACAGCAGGTTGTCCCTAGAGGGGGAGTTGGGTGACAGAGTCCGACATCTTTTCTTGAAGGTCAGGAGCATTAAGTAAACAGTGTATGATGGGCATCAATCAAGATGTTTTTAAAAAGGGAAGGAGACATCAGCTAATCTGTGAGTGCTGCTGTGTATCCAGTCCTGGGTCAAGCTTTTTGTACATGGTAACATCTTTCCTACTCTCTATGGGTCTGCATTCCATTGATGACAAGGAAACAGAGGCTCAGAGTGGTTTGTTAATTGTCACACAGTCCCAGAGCTCATATGGGGCAGAATCAAGGTCCACACTGACATCTCTCTGCCTCTATGGCCTGTGCCCTCACTTACACTTACTGACCGCCACTACCATCAATGCCATGTAGCATGACACAGCACTTTGGTATATCTGTCTGTGCAGATGCACCCTTAAGCCAGGGTGCACTGCTTGATGAACATGTTAGGCTGACTAATGGTCCACAAAAGTGACCATGTACTCATCCAGGTCACCTGTCAGGGCAAATGTGATTTGCCAGTGTGATTAAGTTAAGGCTCTTGAGATGGGGAGAAATCCTGGATGATCTGGGCAGACTCCTGTCATCACAAGGTCCCCAAACAAGCAGGCAGAGGGGGAACTGAGTACAGAGGGGAGAAGGCAGTATGATGACAGAAGCAAGAAATAGGGGTGATGTGAGGAAGGGGCCATGACTAAGCCAGGCAGGCAGCATCCTGGGAAAGGCAAGAAAGTGGATTCTCCCTGGAACCTCCAGAAAGAGTCAGCCCTGTCATCATTAGCTCTCTGGGGCTGATTTTGTACTTCTGACCTCCAGGACTGTAAGACAACTGATATGTGTTGTAAGCCGCCAGGACTGCCAGCATTTGTCACAGCAGCCCGAGAATACCCACGTCATTCTGGGGCCAGCTCCAGGTGCTACCCAGCTCCACACAGCAGCCCTGATACCGGCATTCTCATCCGAGCACACCTGTGGTTTGTCTCTGGTGACAGATCCTCCTGCCTCGGCTTTCAGAAGGGCACAGTGAACCAGCTGTGTTGAACCTGACCCGACCCGAAGCTTTGTGGGTGAACCTGACATCCACAGGGGCAGCTTTGGGGATCCATCTGCACTGGAGACCAGATGTCCCTCTCGTGCTTAGCCTGGGCTTTGGCTACCACCCCAATGAGTCCAGCTTTGACGCCAAAGTTCGCCTTCCACCAACAGCTGATCCAGGTAGCTCTGTCACCAGGCCAGTTTCTTGAGTGGATTTAGGGTGGGGTGGGGAAGGGAGCTTAAAATTTCAGAATCAGAAGCTTTAGGGCTTATTTTTGTTGTTGTTGCTTAGCAACATTAGATGAGCATTTATTATATGCCCTGAAGAAGCTTGGAGAACTGACCTTATGGCAATCCCCATGAAAACTCTGGGGTTGGGAAGTATTGAAACTTCTACTTTCCAGACAAGACCAGAGGGGTTAAGCAACTGGTCCAAAGTCACACAGCACACAGCCAAGAAGGGAAAGTAAGAATTTGAGTCCTCATGGGTCTGACCTGGCAGCATGCTCTGCACACGGACCTGGGATGTCTCCTCTTCTAGGTTCCTGGTCTCAGGGGAGAAAGTACTTGTAAGACATGGGGGAGGCCATCAGGGTCCTATGATGTTATCTCCAGTCTCACTGAAGCATCAGGCAAACACAGGTCCCTTCCTGCAGAATGGTCATCCACATGGATCCTGAGCCTAGAGGACCTGCAGTTTGGAGAAGGTGTCTACTATCTGACTGTGGTCCCGGAGTCTGATTTGGAGCTGAACGGCAGCAGAGATCTCACAGTTGGCATCACCACCTTCCTGTCCCATTGCGTGTTCTGGGATGAAATCCAGGGGACTTGGAACAACTCTGGGTGCCAGGTGAGGAGAGTGAAGGAAAGAACAACATGGTTTTGTGTATCCAGCTCACTTAGAGCCCCCTTTCAGTGACTCTGGGGTGTCCTCCATGGGCCTTTGCACATGCACATCCTTGCACCTGAATGCCCTTCCGCCCAGTCTAGTTAACTCCTTCAGATCCTACCACAAGCATCACTTCCTCGAGAAAAATCTTCTCAACACCTGGGGGAAGCCAGACCTCCTACTCTAAGCTCTCAGAGCACACTGGCCTGACTCCTTGTGACCCTAGGCAGAGGGCTGGGCTTCTATTTACTTAAGTGCATGTAGCTGGGGGCCCCTCAACACAGGAGCAGTGTGCCCTGCTCACCAATGGAACAAATGACCATTGAGCAAATGCACGAGTAACCGGAAGCCCTGTGACTTTGGGCGGGTGAGGCACCAGGGTGTCATTTCCAAGGAAATGAACTCACAGCTAGTCCTTTATTCTGTACCAGGTGCTGTGTTCCTTGCTCTTCCGAGCTTCTGAGTAGAGTTATGGGTTTTCATTGATAAACCACCAGTACACACATACACCAATGTGGGACGTACAGAGGTCATGTGTAGAAGTGTGTCATAGATCAAATATTAGTCTAGTACTGTGTGATTGACATTCATTATTGATAGAGAGGCAAGGCTAAGCTAAAGATGTAGGTACAGCCATACACAGGGTTATATTCTGAAGATGCTTCGTGGGGTGATTTCATTGCTATGTGACTTCATCGAGTGTAATCACATAAACCTAGGTAGTACAGCCCACCACACACCTGGGCTTTATGTGACAGCCTGGGGGGACCAGCTGTGTACATGTGGTCTGACATTGACCGAAATGTGAACCAGAGATGCCTGACTGGACATAGATACACAAGGTCACTGAGGAAACTTAAGTAATGGGACCATCAAGTTTGGACAGAATCTCACCACTGAATTCTCTACACGGCTAACAAAAGCTCTAAATCCATGAACTGCAGACATTATCAGGGTAAAGGCAAAATTGTTATGGGGTGTGGTGTGGTCTGAAAATCTGTACTCTAACTTATGTATTCTCTCGAAGGATACTAAAGGTGCAACTACTGTTGTGAGGGGTTCCTCAGATCCATTTCCAATGCTCAAAGGGGTCTGGTGCTAGAAAGGTGGGGAAGCCACTGCCTTCTGGATCTTTGTGACGACCCCAAAAGATGAGGGTGTTAGGTGTACCTCACCTGGCCCTGAGTTCTCAGCACTGAGGTGACCTTGTAACTGGTACCTGCTTGGGTTTCTTCTCTGAAACTAACCTCACCCCTTCTAGGGGTGCCAGGTGTCCACATAAGCCTCACAGCTGCATGCCAGATGTTGACTAGGACTGGGAAACAGTGAGACGAGCAACAGGGCAAATGCAGAACTGAACCCCATGTGAAATCTGTCGATAAACAGCTGGCGCCATGCCTGGGGGTGGGATGGAGGTGTGTCAGCCTTTCACTGGGTGACTCATTAAAGGAGGCAGAGAGGGAGACAAGCGTCACCTGTTGGGGCTGCAGGGCTTCTTCCTCCCAGGCAGGCAATGGTTAGAAAAGTCTCTCCGGCCAGCGTGCACTGCTCCTCCCACTTCTTCACCTCCCTTGGACCCTGGAATGGAAAGGTGGAGTGGATAATGGGTTGGATCAAATCTTTCTCCACCCAAAGGCCCTGGGGTGATTGGAAGCTGGTCCAAAGCTTTCCCGAAGGCCTGCCCCTAATGCAGGGGATGAATGAAGAGCGCCTATGGGATCCCTATCCTGGTAGTTTCCTGTCTCCTCCCTTCTCCAACCTCACTGCCCAAGTGTTCAAGTTCCAGCCACCCCCACATCCCCAATAACCATGTCTTGCCACTCTCTTGCCCGGTGTGGTGGGGGTATACCAGGGGCCAGTTCTCCATGGCAGCAGGATCCTGAGGTATCAGGCTATGCAAGCCCTGCAAGTACAGAATTCTGGACCCAGATCTCCAAATCACAGGTCCAGAATTGGGGATCCCAGGGCTGAGACTTTGTCTAATAAGGCAAGTAAGGCACCTAGAGCACAAAATTCAAGGAGACTCATTCTCAGGGTCACGCAGGGCCTTGGCATAGTCTTGCCTTGGTAGTAGGTGCCATGGTGGGCACATCTCCTTAGCCCCCTCACTCCAGACCTTGTGCAGAGGGGCACAACCTGAAGAAGGCCAGAGTGGGCCCTCCAAAACAGGAGCCAAGGACAGGGGTGCCAGATGCCCAGATCTAAGAGGGTAATTTTTTTTAAATTTTATTTAATTTTATATTTTTTTACATCATTTTTCTTTTTTGCACAATGTATGCATTTTCATCTTGGTTATATTCCCCATACAATTTCCACCCCCCTTGTTTTGACCCTAATCCCTCCTCCCATTCACGCCCCCCATAGTGTGTTTCTGGTTTATAGTTGCTTGTTGATTTTGATTTTTACTTTATTATAACTAGTCTTTTTCCTGGTCCCTTATTTAGGTTTTCTAGATTCCTGCTATGAGTGAGACCATCCGGTGTTCTTCTTTTTCTTTCTGGCTTATTTCGCTGAGCATGATCCCTTCCAGCTCCATCCATGTTGCTGCAAAGTGCATGAGTTTATCTTTATATTGATTGATTTTTGGATATTGAACCGTCCTTGTGTCCCTGGAATAAATCCTACTTGGTCGTGGTGAATTATCTTATGGATACATTGTTGGATTCTGATACCTTAAATTTTATCGAAGATTTTGCATCAGTGTTTATTAGAGATTTTTCTTTGTGTGTTGTTCTTGTTCGGTTTTGGTATTAGTGTAATGTTGGCTTCATAGAACATGTTTGGTATTATCCCTTCCTTCTAAGAGGGTAAATTTTAGAGAACACTTTCCCCGTGCTGAGACACCAACTTAGGATTTAAACATCTATTGTTCCCCTTTCTTGCATTGTGCCCTGGTCTTGGCCTTCTTTTCCTCTTCAGTGTAAGATGACCAACAGCCCCAGCTCATCCTGGCCTGAGAGACCCCCAGGGTTCTGGACATTCAGCTTGAAAACTGGGAAAGTCCCTGGCAAATTGAGGCAGTGACCCGGGGGTTCCTGACAACACCTAGTCCACTGCCCAGACTAGAGTTAACCCTCAATATATTGATATATCTGTCCAGAGAACGAGCATCAGGTGGGAGAATATACCAGAATGATGCATGTCAAATTGAGACAATGACTGTTTATGGAGTCAGGGGACAGAGAGAACTTCAGTTTTACCTGGAATATTTCTCATCTTAAAAAAATACAGCAGACTGGTAAGATGGGCATGGTTGTCACATACAGTGGGTGCAAAGAGGTTATAGATAATATTCTCTGTATTTTAAAATTTATTTTCAATTAAATAAAAAGCCCCAAACTGGCCTCCTAGCAGTCTCCCGGTCTCTCCCCAGAACAATGTCTATTCCTCCTCATTTTCCTCACATGGGCTGAGCAAGCTGGGGATAAGTTCCCAGCATTTCCACCAGGACCTTTCTGGTTTTGCAGGTGGGGCCACGGACCACTCCATCCCAGACACACTGCCTATGCAACCACCTCACCTTCTTTGGAAGTACATTCCTGGTGATGCCCAATGCTGTTGACGTCCGCAAGACCGCCGAGCTCTTCACCACCTTCGAGGAGAACCCCGTGGTGGTGACCACTGTGGGCTGCCTTTGTGTGGTCTATGTGCTGGTGGTAATCTGGGCACGGAGAAAGGATACTCAGGATCAGGCCAAGGTGAGGCTGCTCAGTCCCAGGGGACAGAAGGGAGGACAGGGTTGTCCCCATGGAAGGACTCCAGGGAATGCATTCAGGTAGGGAGCCTAGAGACCAGCTGCTAATCCAGGCTTTGACCCCTGGGGTCATCTCAGGCTAGCTGGACCCTTGATGCCTCTTTGTCTGTAAAATGTCCTTTTTATCAAATTATCAGAAGGATTATGATACTGACCACTTACTGATGTCACCCATTTAATGCTCACAGCAGCCCTAAAAGGAGGGTATCATATTGAGGGTCCTCAAGACCACCGTCAAGTTCAAAGATTTGCTAGAAGGGCACACAGAACTCAGAAAAGCTGTTACACTCATGATTCTGGTTTAATATGGTGAAAGGATACCAGCTAAAATCAGCCAAGGGGAGGGTCCAGGAGACCGGGAGAGTTTCCAGCATCCTCTCCCACTGGAGCCCAATGGACAGATTGGTTCTCCTAGCAATGACATGTGACAATACAGGCAAAGGACTGCCAACCGGGGGCGCTACCCGAGCCTTGGTGTCCAAGGGTTTAAATTGGGGTCAGTGACACAGGTATAATTATAAACATACTTAGTTTTAACATAACCCACCCGATTAACTTTAGTTCTTCAGTCTCTACCATCCCCTACCACTTCCACCCAGGTCAAACTGACACCGTGTGGTGCAAAGCCCTCAGTAAAAATCACACTGTTAGCCTAGAATACCTGGAGCCACCTGAGGCCCAGGTGTTCAGACATTCTTATCCTGCAGGATATTCCAAGGACTTAAAGGTTGTCTTCCAGGAGTTGCTTAACACCCAATCCTGTCTTCAGAGCATGCAGGTTTTAGACAACCCTAGCCTGCTGAGTTCACCATTTACTACTTAGTACCTCTATCATCTCACAGAGGTTCAGAGAGAGCAAGGCTTCTGGAGCCCCAGGAGTCAGAAGTCAAACCCAGACGGGCCTGAATATAAGACATGCCCCTGACCTAGGTCAAATTTGCATGACAAATTGCAACGACCAAGTTGTAATTATTAAGTATGCACCAAGTCTGATACATAATGAGCCTCCAGTAAATACGGGTGAATGTCCAACTAAGCATATAAACACAGCCAAAGATGCACTGTCACAAAGTTCTGGAACAGTCTGCAATTTCCACCCTCTCCACACACATCAACATAACTCAGAAAGTTAAGATGGTACCAAACTTAGTAACGGTTTCAGCATTTTTATACTACTGTCTTTGATTCAGCCAAAGAGTAATGCCTCAGCTGTATCTGGTTCTCTGGAAGTCACTTTAAGACGAATTGAGTCTTAGGGTGTTTACTAGGGACTGCCTCAGATTAGCCCCTGAGAAGGGAGGGGAGGAGGCAGAAGGGAGAGGGAGTAGTCAGCTAGAATGCAGCCCCCTGAGGGTCAGTTGACCCTTGGGGAGCTCTGGCACTGTCCCAAGGTGGGTTTGTTATAGGACAGAGAGAGGGGCAGCCCAAACCCCGCAAACCTGTCTATTTTAAATGGGTTCTGCCATACCCTCCCTTGGGTGGGGCAGGGAAACTCCCCCTTTTCTGGGGACCACCCTGTTACAGGTTGAGGCACCCAGACTTTGATTACACTCTGTCACTGGATATTGCCTCCCCAGGAGTGCATGGGAAATTTGGCTTTTTCATCCCTGACAATGACACCTTGGCAACTAGGGTGACAAACCCCACATTGAGAGTTCAGGCATCACTGAACACACAGGAGCCTCTGACCAACTGTGGCTATTTTTTTTCTTTTTGCTAAACTACCTCCATTAAATTAAAGTCCCAGAGAGGCACAATCTGGTTACCAATGTTATCAGAAATCATAAATGAACAAAGTTTGTGGCATTTACCAGATCAAACACTGAACATTCTCAGTTTAAAACAAAGCTCATTTTCAAGTTCACTACTTTTGGTCATACTTAATAATGAATGACTGTTGTATTTCTTAATTTTTTTTTTTTTATATAGACGCATGTTTTACTTATTTATTTATGTTTGTTTTGTTTATACATGCACTGGGTACAGTCAGAAGCGCGGGAGGGTGAGAGAATTCGAAGTACACTGCTGAGGGGAGCAGCGGGCTGCAGGAGAGGTCTGCGCGCCATGTGGGACCCTCCTCCAGTGGCCGGGGAGCAGCCGGGGATCGAATACAGAGGCTGCGGGCAGCTTCGCAACCCAGCGCTCAACCGCTCCTGACTGTTGTATTTCTTTAAAGTGTTTTGTTCTTACTTGTTCTCACCTGGTAGAATGAATACATAATATGCATAATTTTGCTTCCTCTTTGAACTGTCATGAATGCCTGGTCTACTCTTAGCTGCTGTAGCAAAGAGGAATCCACCTCGTGGGCCTAACAGCGTCCTTCTGTGCAGGTGAAGGTCACAGTGCTGGGGGACAATGATCCCTTTGCTCAGTACCACTACCTGGTGACAGTCTACACCGGACACCGGAGGGGGGCAGCCACTTCCTCAAAGGTATCTGGCCCCACAGGACCCCTCATTCAATCCATATGCCCCACCCAGCAAAGCACTAACCAGTATACTGTCGACTTGCTTTACCCAGAGGATTTGTATTATAGGTTTTTTCCCCCTCTTTTGCTTTTTATTTATTTTTTTTCCTTTTTTAAAATAAAGATTTATTTATTTATGTATACAAGAACTGGGGTACAGGCTAGAGGTGCAGGGGGTGAGAGAATTCACCAGAGTGGGGTACAGAACAGTCAGTCTGACTGAAATACACTGCTGAGGGGAGCAGCTGGAGAGTCAGGAGAGGTCTGCTGCACCAAGTGGTAGCTCCTAGCCAGGGACTGAACTCGTGCTGCAGTGGCTGCAGACAGCTTCATAGGTCGTATCTTAACCCCTTGCACTACCAGGGATGCCCCTCTTTTGTTTTTTAGAGCAGGGAATCTTTTGGTCATAAAATTACCTCCTAAGCCCCAATACTTAAAAAGTTAAATGACAGCCTCCCTGGTGGCACAAGGGGCTAAGTGTCAGCACTATGAAGCCATCAGCAGCCACTGCAACAGGAGTTCCATCCCTGGCCTGGTTGCTGACACACATGGCGCAGCAGCCCTCTCCTGTCTCACCCGCTGCTCCCCTCAGCAGTGTATTTCAGTAGATCTGCCTGTTCAGCTCCCCACTCTCTCTCTGGTGAATCCGCTCACCCCCTGCACCTCTGGCCTGCACCTTAGCTCTTGTATGCATAAATAAAATAAATCTTAAAAAAAAAAGATACACACTGATAAAGAAATGGGAGTTGTGGGGCAGGCTGCATAATGCAGGATGCTGCTGAAGAGCAAGATCCTGGCTTTTTTTATTGATACACAATATCTGTTGTAAGGGGGAGGAGCAAAAGGAAAGGGGAAGGAGATTAAAGAAAGGGGAAGAATGTAGATCGGGGTTGTGAGTCTGCCCTCCAGGCACTTCTTATCTGCTGGATAAGACGACTTGGTATTGTCATTGAGATTACCCCCTAGTTCCCCAGCCATGGTTTTAATCTTATCAACAAGATGTTCCACTGATCAGCTTCTGGGGTCCTTTGTTATACATTGGTCCTGGGCTCCCCCAAGCATTCCCAGTCATACCACCTGATGTACAAGTCTGGAGTCCGTGTTATGCATCTGTCATCAGGCCCCCCACCCCACCCCGGGCATTCCCAGTCATACCTTGTGATGCATAGCCTTCCCAGCGTGATCCAGCTTTGTGATCTTGTTTGATTTGAAAGCCACCTTGCAGGGTTGGGCTCTGTACCTAACTGAATGGGTCATTTTGACCTTGTTTAGGATTTAGAACTGTAGGTAACAAAATGGTGGCCGAACAGGCTGCTTATGTAACAGGGTGACCACAGATAGATTCACCCCAAATCTTTGTACAACTGAAAAATAACTCTGGCAAACCCAAGATAGGAAAAGAAGGTGACAGGGATGTACATCACTGGTCTTCATTGGTGTTCACACACTTTCAGTGAAACACTGCTTATCAGTTACCACATGGCCACTCCTGGTCTCTGCATTTTAGGTGACTGTCACCCTCTATGGGCAGGATGGAGAGAGTGAGCCCCACCACCTGTCAGATCCCAACACCCCAGTTTTCGAGAGAGGAGGAGTGGATGTCTTCTTACTCTCCACCCTGTTCCCCCTGGGAGAACTGAGGAGTCTGCGGCTGTGGCATGACAACTCAGGGGACCAGCCATCCTGGTGAGTCAGCGAAGGGCAAACCATGAGGACCTACCAAGCTCCAGGCCCAGGGCTGGACACTGTACATTTGCTCTCTGCTGATCCAACCATTCCTCTGCAAGAAACATAGAATTGATCCCCATTTCATAGTTGAGGAAACTGAGGGTCAGAGAGGCCATGAGCCCATGGGCCATATAAGCTAATGCAGTAGCTAGAAGAAGGAATGCAAGTTGCATCCCTAGGGTCCAGCCCATCTGTGCCACTTTTGCAGCATCTCTTTTCCCATCTATAGAATAGGGCTGGCTGTCTATAGTGAAGACAAACTCAGTAATAGGAGACTAAATGTGACATTGAACTGATTTCCCAGCAGAGGAGCTCAGAGCAGTTGCAGGCTGCTGTGTGCCAAGCTAAGCCTTTCTGTGCTTGGCTTGTCCCTCGAGGACAAGCCCTGTTATGATCCTCTTTTTTCAGGTGGTAAGATCTAATCTCAGGGAAGATAAGCGACATGCCCGAGGTCACACAATGGGCAAGCTCAGATCCAAGGCTCCTCCCCAATCTGAGGCCAAAACTAGTGACCTGGATGAGTGGTTTCCTCACTCATAATCAGGGGCTACAGCTTTAGAAAACTATTAAACTGTTGTCTTTGATTTACCCAAGGAATTAAAGATTACTACCTTAAGTAACCTATAGGGTTAGGGGAAGCTGGGACACTGACTTTGTGAGGGACTGAGCCTGCAGGGTGTTTATCAAGTGCCTGAGGTCAGCCCCTGGGAAGGGTGGGAAGGAGGCAGCATGGCAGGAGGAAAGGAGTTTTGATGCAGCCCAGTGTCTTCTTGGCTGAACCCCCGGGAGCTCTGGGGTTGTCTCCAGTTGGGTTGAGAGGCCCAGGTTTTGATCATACCTAGGCACCACACCCATCAATCACTGGATTTTAGCCACCCCAGGAGGACATGTGGCAGATATAGGCCTTGCATGCCCAAGGGGCTGCCCTTCCTGAATGCGAGAGCTTCTCAGCATCATCTCCATCATGTGGTAAATGCTCATGGACCCTCCAAGACAGAATCATTTCTCTTCAGGGCAAAACGCCAACCAGTGGATCTGACGGTCTGGCAGAGGCAAGATGATTTCACTTTTTCCCCAGGGTCCAAAACCCAATCAGGTTAGATGATACCCACAAAGTGCTGAGTCCGAGATGGCAGGCTTATCATCTGGCTGGAAGCCCACAAGGATCAGGCATGTACTTCCTCCTGTGCCTCTCCAGAAACACCTGACTTAGACAATTTGCCTTTTTTCCCCACTTGTATCTGGGCACTGGCCTGGGGTTGGCTGCTCTGCACCAAAGCTAACCGTTTCAGACTACACCCTCTTCAGCATGGTTTCCATGGCAGCCTTCAAGCTCTGGCTCTCTACACTAGCTGAACTCCCCACACATTCAGGCCATGTTCATCCACTGACTGGGATGTGTTGCTTAAGGCACTTAAGGGCAATGAAGAAAAATCTCTTTTTCTGGAGGCTCTTGTTTAGGGCACTCAGGTTTGCAAGGTGTTTCCTTCCTGGTGTCTCAAGAAGTCTCATCCTCCCCACCCCCAATCTTGTCCTCAAAAGTGTGGTCCCTTCTCCAGGTACGTGAGCCGGGTGCTGGTGCATGACCTGGCGAGGGACAGGAAGTGGTATTTCCTCTGCAACTCCTGGCTGTCCATTGATGTCGGAGAATGTGTCCTTGACAAAGTGTTTCCAGTGGCCACAGAGGAGGACAGGAAACAATTCCGGTATGGTTGTTTTATTCCTTTTTAAGCAAATAGTTTTTCACTTTGTACTTTATTTCTAGGGAAGTAGCATCTTCTTTTTTAAAATAGGCAGTTAGATTTATTAATTTATGCATACAAGAGCTGGGATACAGGCCAGATATGCAGGGTGGTGGTGGTGGTGGTGGTAAGAGGATTCACCAGACAGCGGGGAACAGAACAGGCAGATTGACTGAAATACACTGCTGAGGGGAGCAGCAGGCGAGAGAGGAGAGGTCTGCTGCACCATGTGGGTTTCTCCCTGGCTGGCCGGGGATCGAACTCGTGCTGCAGAGGCTGCGGATTGCTTCATAGTGCAGTGCCTAACCCTTTGCACCACCAGGGAGGCCCTAGGCAAGTAGCATCTTGACCCAGTAAAAGCACATTTTAGCTACTGGCTGGCATAGCTTTGAGGGTGCGATGTTCAATGACTAGTTTTTCTTGCTGGGAATGATGGTCCTTGGACAGACATGGACCCTCCAAAACAGAATTATTTCAAGCTGGTGAAATACCTTCATAAGGTATTTTCTCATGAACGTCACCAAATAATGTATTTTACATGAGAGGCTTATCTGAATGGCGACTCAATGTTTGGCCACTGGGGTGTCTTCTTGTCATTTCACCCCAGATGGGTCTCTCAGCATGTGCTCCCTTTGCTTTACTTGCCTTCCCACCTCATTCCCTGTGGTGCATCCCTCTACATCTCTCTCCAAACACATAGGAGCAGATACAAATGTACACACATGTGCGCACACACACATCACTATAGACTGGTGTTCATTTTCTATCTTAAAATGACACATGACTCCAAATGTATTCCCACCTTTTGCCTTTCATGGTATATCCTTCCAAAAGAGCATATTTGGGACAAACTTCTCCTTGTTGGCTGCATGTTTCCATAGAATGGCTGACCCACAGCTGTGGACCTTCCTCCAATCAGTGGGCATTTAGTCTGGTGCCTTTACTCAGGTGACTTTTCTTTCCAGCTGCTCCAAGGTGTGAGCAGCTCAGGCTTCAAGGGGCGGGGGGCGGGGGTAAAGTCAGAATCAGGAAGATTGGACCCCAAGAGAGGTTAAAACACAAATGCGGGTACAGACCTACTCTCCTTCTAATTATGACAAATTATAGCCTAACTAATTATAATAAAATTATGGTAAAACAAATTATAATTATGTTAAATTATAGCAAAACTAATTCTAGCTACATTACTGCATTGAAATTATAAAAAAAATAATCGTTGCTGACACAGATAATGAACACTCACCTGTATGCCAGTTTCTTTGCCAAATGTTTTGTGAAAATGCTCACTTCAGTCCTTTAGCAATCAGTGAAGCAGGTTTTGTTCTTAACCTCTTTTTACATATGAGTAAACCGAGATGCAAAGAATAAAATAAGTTGCCTCAGGTCACAGTCAGAAGGGCAGCTCAGCATTTGAACCCAGCTCTGTCCAGAGTCCCCATTATTCACTCTAAGTGACACTGCTGTTAGGAATGATAGAACTAAATCCCGCCCTCTCATCCCAGGACCAGTTCCAAGAGACCAGTCTCTCTTCGAGCCTGTGTCCCTAAACACCTGTCCCTCTCTCCCTGCCTGTCCACAGCCACCTGTTTCTCATGAAGACCTCCATGGGCTTCCAGGATGGACACATCTGGTACTCCATCTTCAGCTGCTCAGCTCGGAGCAACTTCACCCGCGTCCAGAGGGTGTCCTGCTGCTTCTCCCTGCTGCTCTGCACCATGCTGACCAACATCATGTTCTGGGGTGTCCCCAAGGACCCAGCTGAGCAAAAGATGGACTTGGGTAATTCCCTCTGCCATGGCAGTCAGGGCCAGTGTCTGGTAGACATGACCATCACTGGCTCAACAATGCCACACAACTCACAGGTGCCAAGATCACCTTTAGGCTCAAACATTCACTAGACAGTCATGCAGAAGTCAGAAACGCCATTATACTCATACTTAACGGCAGAGAAAGAATGCAGATTAAAATCAGAAAAGGGAAGAGGTGCAAGGACAGGGTCCAGGAGAGACCAGGGCCTTTCCAGTTGTCCCCTCCAAGGGAGCGACAGATAGTGCCAACTTCCGACAATGGTGTGTGACAACGTGCATGGAGAGCTGCCAACCACAGACACTTCCCTGAGCTCGGTGTCCAGAGTTTTTTCTGGAGTTCGTCATATTCATGGCTGTCCCCCTGCATGGATGACCTTGGCCTCCAGCCCCACCAGAGGGTAAAGAGATTCCATTTGGGCAGGGCCCCTGCCATAAATTACACGGTTAGCACAGACTGTCTAAGGTGAGTGTGGCCTAAGACCCCAAGGTGCACCCGCCAGGCAGGACACCCCAAGGAAGCCAGTTAACCCTTTACTGTACAGCTACCTTCTAGAAGGGGTAGAGGGGACTGGGCTCTTGGGGACAGCCTCTCCTGTTGACATTTTCACCTCCCTCTGCTTCAGGTAAAATTGAATTCACTTGGCAGGAAGTGATGATTGGGCTGGAGAGTTCTCTCCTCATGTTCCCCATCAACTTCCTGATAGTTCAGATCTTTCGAAACACCCGTCCTCGGGCCATTAAGGAGCAGAACTCTGGGAAATTGGTCCAAGGGCCCCACAGCCTGGTCCCCTCACTGCAGTCTGTGGAAGATGACCTTCTGACAACTGAAGCGGTGACCAAGGTATGTCGATAACCTCGCCAGTGTGGGGGTGCTCCAGCAGAATGGGAGTGGAGGCAGGGATTTGGGGCCTGGAACCCCATGTTGACTGACAGCTCAGCCACCAAGATTCATGAACTATAATGCACACATGCATATATACATGCACATTCACACCCAACACATACAGAAACACACAAGCACACACATTACCTTGGCATCTACTATGTGGAAAATAATACACTTTCATTATGGAACTGAAGCACTCAACAGGCAAATATGAGCACCTACTGTGACACACCTTGAGGCCAACAGCCTGGAATGCCTCAGCTCAAATCCTAAAGGGATTTTATGGATGACAAAAGAGAGGATTGGAGAGATGCAACATCCCATATCAGTGGGCCAAGATGATGGTCCAGCCCCTGGGAGAATGTTCCTGACCCTTTTGCTGTCCCTTCACCAATTGGGCCCTTGGACCAATTTCCCAGTGTTCTGCTCCTTAGTGGCCCAAGGATGGGTGTTTCTGGCTCACATTCCTTTACCTCACCTGGACTGACTTGCAGGATGTGTGGAGACTCGTCAGTTCCCTGTTCAAAGCCCTGAAGGTGCCATCCCCTGCCCTGCACAGTGACTCCACAAACATGATGGACATCAACCAACTGCTGGCCTTGGTGGAAGATGTTTGTCTGCAGAATATGGCAGAGCAGATGTCCTTGGAGGAAGCCAAGTTGAGGGAGGACCCTTTAACACTCACTGTGAAGCCTGTGCAAGAAAAAGGTAAGTTCTGACACATTTGTGCCAAGAGAGGCAAGGAGAAGGCAGGTAGAGACAGTACTGAGGGCCTTGTCTATACACTTAGGGGTCAAGAAGTCTTCCCAAGGTCCCCCTCACCTCCTGCCAACACTCGCCACTTCTCCCTCTGTACTTCAGGCACTCGACTCTCCTCACCACCCCAAGTAGCTTCCCACAAAGGGTTTTCACACCTCCCAGTCCTTTTTGCTAGAAAGTTCTTTCCCTGCTCCTCACATGGCCAATGACTACTCAGCCTTCAGTCTTGACTGAAACACCCCTTCCTCCGGGGAGCAGCCCACACAGGGTCTTCAGTCTTGTGCTCTTTAGCCCTTAAACTTTCTTTACTTTCACACAGCTTGTGTGAAGAGCTGTTTAAAGTCTGGGACATGAACTCTGTGAGACAGCCCTCTTCTCAGCTGTCTCCTAGTGCCTGGCTGGGGAACACAGTTCATCTGCTAGCAACAAACATTCCTGGGATGACCTCAGCACAGGAGGTTATTATGGAATGCACAGAGCGAAGAGTCATTTTCTTCTCCGACATGTAACAAGAGGAGCATTGGCCAGACCGATAACTGGGAGCACTCAGTACAGCCCTTTCTGGGTAGTGGCTCTGCTGTTGACAGGCTGTGTGTGCTTGGACAGGTTACTTCTGTTCTCCAGGTCTCTGTTTCTTTTTCTGTGAAGTGTTAGGGGGTGCAAAGTGGAATCAGATATTCTTCCAAATGTGCAAGGCAGGAGACCAGATGATGGATGGGCAAGAGAGAAACATTAAATAACATTGAATTCTCAGGGCGAAGAAGTTACTCTTTCAAGAGCATTTGCTTCCATTCTCTTTCAAGTAAGTCCAGGAGTCTCAGTTTGTTACTTCTGTGTCTTTATCACCTCTCTAACCTGTTTAGTGAGTAGCAAATCTAAACTCAAGAGTCTTTTGAAACAATATTCTGATAGTTTAGTGCCATTATTTCATGTTTATTAAGTTCTGTTTGCAACATTTGAATTAGTCTGACTCCCTCTTGCCCCTTTTCTTTCCATCTTCCACCCACATCAATGCTGCCAGTGGCTGAACCAGGCAGCCCAGTAGAACTTCCCCTAGGGGAATGTCCTGTCTGCACTGCCCAACATGGCAGCCAATGGCCACATGGAGCTGCTAAGCACTTGAAAGGTGGCCAGTGTGTCTGAGGAACTGATTTTTAAGTTTTAGGATTCTTTTCTTTCTTTGTTCAGAAAAAAAAAATTGTTTTCATCAATGTAATTTAAATAGCTGCATGTGGCTGTGGCTGCCATATTGGATCCTGGGTTAAGAATACTGCCATATTTAACATACAAGGCTGGTTACTATCTACACCTTGTTCAGAACACACATCTGATGCACAGGATGGAATGTGAACTCATAACTCTTGGACCCACCTCTGAATTTTCTGGAATGAGACCAGGAATCTGCATTTTTAACCAGTCACTTTTGTGACATATATGTACACTGAATGTTGTAAGTGTCTCAAGACAGTCTCAGCTCCTTACTATAGCACTCAAAGCCATCTTGGCCAGGCTGTGCTGACCCTGTGTTCTGGCCACCCTGGAGGAACTGCCCCCCCCAAGGGCTGGGCATGGGTGCTCACGATGGTCACCCTGTAGGAGCTGTGCTCATGCCTCTCCTGGACACTGGCCCTGAGCTAGGGGGCTTTGGCGTTCATTGTGTACACTTTAGACCTTGAAAACATGGAGCTGGCTAGGCCCTGGACTCTCCTAGTTGCAATGGCATCTGTGTAACTTTGGACAAGCAGCACAACCTTTCTGAGCCTTGAGTTCCACCCCCACAGCATGGAAATACTGATCCACCTAGTTCCTTGACTTGTTCCAACAATTGAATGAGATCATGAGACATGCCAGCCTGACACAAAGCAGGTATTCAGTGAGTGATATTATAGCTGGAAACATTGCCAGGACACTTTAAAACATAGGGTGTTGATGCTGGAACTGTCAGCTGAGGCTTCAGTGAGTGTGGTCCAAGAGGGAGAGGGAAGAGGCTTGAGTCAGAGGGAGGCAGAGTTTTCCTTGCCATGATCCTTTACCAACGTGCCTGGAAGCCTGAGAGGCCACCCATTCTCCACCCTCTCGTGCTATCTTCTCATTCTCACTCACTTCTCACTGGTGACTAGCAAGGGACTGGAGGCCCTCCCTTTGCCATCTTTTGTAATCATTTTCATGCACCCCTGGCAAAGGTGAACCCTGGTCCACACCCAGGTCCCTAGTACTCCAGGAGCAAGTGTCCGTGGGTACCAGTCCCACCACTAGGGCCCAGGGATTCAGGCCTCATTCTGTCTGGAGAGGCCATGCTTCCCTGAACAGGCAGGATGAGGAATAAGGGAAATGTCCACATTTGTTTTTTCCCTGTAATGAGTATTACCTGTGTAATCTGAAGAATTACCTGTTTAAAAACAATTTTTTTCAGGAAGTTGAAATTTGAACAAGCCAACCATAGGAAAACATTTATGAGCTAATTGGGGGAAAACCTGATCAGTGACTGCCTGCGGGATGCTATTAAAGTGTTAGGGGGAAATGATGTCCTTAGCTAATCCCATACAGGCTTTGTGGACCCCACCCCCACTCCAGACTAAAGCCATCAAGACAATGGGAAAGACAAATCCCATCACCACCAAAGGGAGGGTGGCTGGGGTTGCTCTACAACAAAAGGATTATTGCTAACTTTTATTTGAAAATTGATAATGCCATTACGGTTCTGTTTTCAAAGAGTCCTTACCTTCTGTGAAGCAGATTAAAAGAATCAGTGAGTGACATGGGATTAGAATTTGCTTCAAAATAACCCACATGGAGAAAGCTGGTGAGAAACATGGCCCATGGCCATGAGTTAGTAATTTGAATATGGGCATATGCTAACTTAGCTCAACATTCTATTTTAATAAATGATCACTTTTTCATAATAAAAAATAAGTTAAAAACAACACACAAAAAGACATACCATCTTTGGCACAAGACAAACTTGAGTTCAAATTTAACAAACTGAATTATTCATATTAAGATAACTGCTGATAACACTATGCACAGGGTTTGCTTTAAGGTATACCAGACAGAAAGTGATGGATGGTGGGGTTAGAGCTGAAACAAGGTTAGTGAGTGTGGCAGCAAGGGGGAAGGTACATTTTTTTTTTTCTTCTCCTCTGTGTGAGGAAGTTTTGAGAAGTTCCTGACAAAAGGCTAGAGGAGGAACATTCAAGTCCTAATTGGCTACATTATCCTAGTACCCCATCTTTCTGAACCTTAGGTTTCTCATGGGTTGGCACGTCCTAAGTGCTGACACAAGCAAGCTGTTCCCAACAAAACCAAGGCTAAGTGGTTCAATTGATTTCAGATCTTAAAGTATGAGAGAAGAAAAATAACTAAACTTCTCTTCAAGATTTGCTTTTACAGACAGTATCAGCAAATGACCCCGCCCCTGAGCAAAACAGACACAGCTAACACTGAACTGAGTAATGGCGGCAGGAATCTGTGAAAGCAGAGGGAGGGTGACCCAAGGCACAAGGCCCACCAACAGAAATGCAAAACTCCAGTTATCTGAAAAGATACCTCTGATCTCTCTTCATGCATGAACTTCCCTGTGACCAGCCAATGAACTTCAGCCAAGTCCACACTTCTTTACCCCTAACCTGCTTTTCAGCCCATACAATTTTACTTCTTTGTTTTCAACCCCAGTTCCCAGAACCTACATTACCTCATTTCCTTTCTTAATTGCAGAGGTAGATTTGAATTTACCTCTTTGCCAACCGATTGGCAATAAAGCCGATTTCTCTCCTCAAGCCCTGACATTGATGGAAGATAAGGATAGAAAAACTGGAAAGGAGGCGCCACAAGATCAGAAACTTGGCTCACACAATGCCAAGAGCTGGATGTGGGGGGTAGAAGGAATTAACAGCCATTAATCCAGCTATGGGAACTAGGATCCTTAGGCCCCAATGCCTAGATCACAAAGCACAAGACCCAAGCAGGTATAAGACTGTTGTAGGGGGTGTCAGGAGCACAGACCTGAGGTAAAGATGTGAAGATTGAGGGTGATTGTAAAAATCTGTCCCCTTTCAAATTCTACATAGTTTATTCAAAGTCAACAACAAACAAACCACAGTGAGCCCCTCCCTAAGGGAAGACTGTATCAGCACAATCTCTGCACTGACCAGGGGCAGCAGTCTTTCTGCCCATCTATGCCTATGCAGGTGCTTCTCTTTGCCAACTCTGTCCCTCTGCAGGGCAGCAGCCTTCCTGCCTGCCTGTGACCTGTACCATGCAGGTTTCGCGTCACTGACCTCCCTCAGCAGAGGCAGCTCTCCTCAAGGACGCCTGCCTACGACCATGCAGGCCTCTCTCTCAGCAAACCTGTCCCTGGGAAACTCACTGCAGGCTGCTGAAAGGTGAAACCTTTCCCGGAGTGAACCCAAGGACCCCGCTCTCTGAACCCAACAACTCCCAAAACAACATCAACGTCGTGGGTGATCTATGCAGGAGGGAGAGCGACCCCTTTGCTCAATTGCACTGAGGTGGCCTGCTTTGTCGCTCTTCATCAACTGATGCTCTTTTTCTCTCTTATGCTCCAGAAAAAAGACAACTCGTCACCCCTGAGGAGGGCCTAAGTGACCCCTGGAAGGACAGTGTCTTTAGGAGGTGTCTCTACCTTCAGCTGGAGCATGTGGAGCAGCTCCTGCGGCTGGTGGGGCTCCATCAGGGCTTCTCCCAGAGCCAAAGCCACATCCGGGCCCTCAGGCAGCTGCAGACCCTGAAGGGCTGCCTGGGGGGACAGGGGGACACTCCACCCCTGGTTCACATCAGGTAATCCACTCTGCTGAGTATTGACTGGACTCCACAGCTGGGGGCCATGAGGACAAGGTATTTGGGGCCACTTAAAAGATTGTTCACAGCTCTCCCCAAGCAGGGCGGCTTCAGGATTCCAGTACAAAATCAGGGAGGAAGGCTTGGCCCTTTGTACATTACTTTACAGTTTATAGCCATTTTCACAGGGGCTCTTTCCTGTCCCTGTGCCCTTGGACAAATCCCTCAGCCTCTTTGAGGAGCAGCTTCCTGATCTGTGAAATGGGGATACTAATGCCTACCTCCTGATTCAGGCTTAAACCACATGTAAGACAAGCAGTGAAATTTGAACAGAAAGGTTACTCAAGGACTCTAAGGAAATACTGATAATTGTTTCAGGTGTGATCACAGCACTATAATTCATTAAGAAAAATAACCATTTTTGAGATCTACTCTGCAGTCATTAGGGATGATTTCTATATTAAGTCTGGAAATTATTTTTACATATTCCAGGAAAAAAACAAAAGGGTGAGGATAGATAAATATGAGAAGGAGAGGGTGGATGTTGGAACTAGTTGATGAGGGTTCGTTGTGCTTGCTGATTTTTTTAGGATGAGAAATTTTCATAATAGCTTTTTAAGAATTATGTAGTATCAATCTTCTAGGCTTGTTGTGAGGAGTAACAGAGCCAGTCTGTATAATCAAGGTGGGACTGGCTCCTAGTAAGCACTGAATGAATGTGACCTTAGTAGAGTATGTATGTATCCTAAGCAGAATACAGGACAGCCCTTCAAGGTAGGTACAGATACAGAAAGAAGTTGAGGGTCTGAGAGGTCAAGGCCAAGTTCACACAGCCAGTGGGGTAGAGTGGGATTTGAATTTGAGCCCATAGGTGCCACCTGACTATATTCACCCTCTGTTGCAGCTCCCCTTGGGCAAGCAGGCCCCCTCGAGGCCTGCCCTGGTGGTGTGTCCTGGTGGGCTGGCTCTTGGTGGCGGCCACCAGCGGTGTGGCAGCCTTCTTCACCATGCTCTACGGCCTGCACTACGGGAGGGCCCGCTCCCTCCGGTGGCTCATCTCCATGGCTGTGTCCTTCATGGAGAGCGTGTTTGTCACCCAGCCCCTGAAGGTCAGGCCTCTCCTCTTCTCCACCCGTGCCTTCCCTCCTGCCAGCAGCCCTGTCTTTGGGTTTCAGCTGTTTCTTCCTTCATTCAGCCAACCTCCACAGACCACACCCTCTGGGCAGGCCCTGGGTTGCCAGGGTAGCCCCAGCTCTAGGATGTGCACACTAGGTCCGATCCAGTGGCTCCCACAAAGGCTGGTTCAGCACCACACGACCAGCAGGAGAGTCCTTGGCACCTCTCATAGATGAGAAAGCCTGAGGTTAAGCTCACAAACAGCAGCCCTAGGAAAGCATGGTATTTCCTCAGTTCTAACATGCATTTCTTTGAGAGCTGTACCAGCAATATCCAGACTCTTTATCCTCTGGGGAAAAAAAGATAAAAACCCAAGTCATTGAATCTGTGCATCGATTGGGAGATAGGCTCCAATTACTGAAGCATAAAATTATGGGAGAACAAGTCAGGGTCAAAGAAATACTGAGTCCCAGCCTGGAGCTGGGGGTCCAGCTCCCCTTGGAAGGGACCAGGAGGATGTGGCAGCTGCAGGCAAGAGGGGACGTTTACAATGAATCCTTACACCTATGAGACTGCACCTAACCCCACCCCCATTTGACCCTTTGGTCCCCCCTTCTGCCCTGAACAGTCCTTAACAGAATTAACCCCTGAGACCACCCCAACTTAGTCTGTGTATATTAAGAAGAAAGGGTGTGTCTTCAGCCTTTTTGTTCAACAGCCAAGCCACAGAGCCCTAGTAAGCTTGTGCACTGTGGTCATGTCTGGGGATATGTCCTGAGAAACACACTGTAAGAAATTTCCTTGCTGTGTGAATGTCATTGATGGTGCAGCCGACACATACCTGGGCCATATATGGGGACCACCATTGTATACATGGTCCTCAGTTGCCTAAAACATCATTATGTGGTGCAAGACTGTACAGGAAGAGAGGGAGGACCATCAGCTGCTGGAGGTTGAAAGGGAGGTGAGAGAATGGCCTGTGGGCAGAGGGCAGCAGGTGGGGGGATGGCGTTCTCTGTCTGGTTGGTGGCCAGGTGCATGCATGCCTAACCCTCAACCTTCACCACCACGTGCCCTCTCTGTAAGCCATGGGTTGGTTTTCCATCTGGCTTCCCCAGGGCCTGGCTTCATGCCCAGGACACAGTGTGGCCCCAATCCTGCCCCCACTCAGGCCAGTAATTGATAGTGTCCAATTCAAGCTCATGGTGGATGTTTCCCAGGTGCTGGGGTTTGCTGCCTTCTTCGCACTGGTCTTGAAGAAAGTGGAGGATGAGGAGGAGCCTGTGGGCCCCCTCCCGGGACATCTGCCCAGCACAGGTAATGGTGCTTCGGTGGAGGAGGGGCCTGGAACCTGATGAGGCTGAGAAAGTTCCAGAGCCCAGCCTCAGGTGTGGCCCTGGTCTGGGACTCTCTCTCCTCATCTGCCTTACGTCCCTGATTGGTGAAGCACCCCAAAGCATGCAGAAACAAATGACACCTTTGTTGTCTCTTGAGCAATCTTATTCCTTCCTTCAAGGCCTTCCAAGCAAGACCCATGGCCAGAAGAGGCTCTTGGGGGTGTTGTTCTCCATGTAACACCCAGCAAGCAGCTGCCTTCTCTGAGTTTTGGGTCCCTGTCTTTAGAATGAAAACCAAAAAAGAACCCGCTTTCAGGTAGGCTGCAGAGTTGCTGCAAATGAGAGTTCCAGGACAGGGGTCTGCAAACTATGGCCAGAGATCTGAAGCCCACCACCTGGTTTTGTGCATGTTTACTGGACACAGCCATACTGACCTCTGTTGGAGGAGCCAGTGGCCAGCCCCCTTACCCCACCCACTTCTCACTTTCCAACCAAAACTCTTGAGGGTCCTGACAGTAAGCGAATTACAAAAAACAAACATGCAAATAGAACAGAAAAGACACCCTAATGGCGAATGCAGGGGTCCTGACTTCCAGAGAGAACTACCAGGAACAACCTACCAAAGTCTGAGCACCTTCTCCACTGGGCAGCTCAGGCCCCTTCTCATGGGACTGTGGTCTTCCACTCCGGGCCAGAGTTTTGGCTTTGCAGATGCAAGAGGCCGATTAAAATCTTCTTCCCAAGACAAATGCATAATTTTTCTCCAAAGAGACGCCACCAGGTCAATTAAATATTCATTCAATCATTCCTTTGGCCATGGAGTGCTTGCCATGCGCCAGGCAGTGTGAGGGCTTGGGAACACGATAACATCTACTCATTGTAAATGTACAATCCGTTGACTTCAGTGCATTTATACAGCTGTCCAACCAGTGCCACAATGCAAATTCACAGTGGCTGCATCAGTCCCAGAAGGTTCTTTCTTGCCTATTTGAAGTCAGCCTACACTCCCCCTATCCAGAGGTGGAGGCACAGTACTGACTGGAAGGAATAGATTTCTGCCCTTGGGGAGACACATCACACAAGTAAATGCACAAGTAGACATGGAAGTGTGAACTGTAACAAGAATAGTGGCTGGGAAGGAGAGAGGGCAGCCTCCTAGCTGAGGTGGCACCTAAGCTGGCTCCTGGAAGAGGAGGGGAAGGAGGAGTGGTATGCTGGGCATGTGCAAAAGCCTTGAGGTAGGCCAGAGCTTGTCATTTTGTAGCAATGACTGAGAGTCTGGCTGAGGTAGGGAGTTTGGGGGTGGGGTAGGGTCCTAATGGTCCAAGATGAAGGCAGAGTGAGTGGCAAGTGGGAAACAGGTCAGGTAGGACCCTGCTGGATCTGGGTCAGTGCAGGATTTTGGAGTATTTTAAATAGGAGCAGCATGGTCTGCTTTGTGATTTTAGGAAGAATATTATGGCTGCTCTGGGAGACCAGGGGTATTAGGAGGCTAGTAGGAAGATGGCTCCCACAGGCCAGAGAAGACAGGACAGTGAGCAGAAGGGCATGGAGCCAAAGACAGCTGAGGCAGTATCTTCCCATTAGAATAGCTAGAATGAAATCCGGTGATAACACCAAATGTTGACCAGGATGTGGAGAAACTGGAGTGTTTAGACAAAGCTGGTGAAATGGTATGTCACTGTGGAAAACAGTTTGCCACTTCCTTTCAAAACTAAAAGTGGACTTAGCACACATCTCAGCAGGTGAACCCTTGTGCAGTTATCTCAGAGAAATGAAGACCTACTTTCCTGCAGGAACTTGTCCACAAATGTTCATAGCAGCCTCTTTTGCAATCGTCAGAAGGTATTTGCCACAGCTAGGAATCCACTCAAGAGAAATGAAAACATAGGTTCACAGGAACGCCAGCACAGGCACTCCACAGCAACATTATTCATCATCATGACACTAAAAACAACCCAGGTGTCCAAGATGGGTGAGTGGACAAACAAAATGCAGTACAGCCACGCAATGCAGTGTTGCTCCACACAACAAGGAGAACTGCCCGCTAACACACCATTGTGGGTGAGATCCAAAACGTGGCAGTGAGACATGTTTCCCAGGTATGAGAAACTATATACTGTGTGACTTCATTTACGTGGATTGAACAGAAAAGGAAAACCTGGGGAGGCAGAAAACAAAAGAATGATGTTGCAGACAGACTTCAATGGGTCTTGAGGGAAACTTTGGGGGTGATGAAAAGGTCCTAAAACTGTGTCGTGATATTTGCACAACTATATACTTACTAAAATGTCTGAATTATAGACTTCTGATGGGGACATTTATGAAAATTATTGCTCAAATAAGTGTTCTGGAAAAGGTGGTTATTTGGAATCAAACATGATTAGGACTTTGGAATACTAGTTTCCAACATATTCTTTCTGTCCAGGAGCACAGAAAGATGCATTCAGGAATCAGGAGAATGTCAGGGAGAGGAAGGTGTCTGTGCCCTCAGCATAAGGAGAATTCTCTGGATGGAAAAAGGGCAGAATTCCAGGCACCGGATGGCCTGGGCAGAGGCACGCAGGGTAACGCCAGGAAATGGCTCCCGAGGCAGAGACACCAAGGACTCGTACCTGATGAACAGGAGTCCTCTGGTTACAAATGCAGAGCCTGGTTTCACTGTCCATTTGAGAACTGACCTTATGTCCTTGTTTCTACAGACCCCTCTGCCTTGTTCCGAACCCGAAGAAACAGCAGACGGGACATCTACCAGCCGCCTCTGGCCGCTGACATTGAGAAGATGAAAAGCACCCACCGCAAGGAACAGAAAGCATTTGCCCTTATCAGAGAAATACTGGGTAGGCAGTAGGCTTACCCACAAGCCATCTTCCCTCTTGCTGCTTCTCAGCACAGCCTTGAACAGACGAGGCGCAGCCTCTGATGAATCCACACGGCTCTGGTCCCTTTTCATAGTGTGGGACTAGCCCCAGCTTCTCCCCGGCAGTTAAACACCTTCAGGGGTTCCTCATGACCCTTTGGATAAAGTCCAACCTCGTGACTGTGGTTCCAGCTACCACAGGTCCCCTCCTCGGTGCCTTGAGTTGCACAGCTCCATGTCCCTGACCCCAAGCCTTTGCCTAGGCTGTGCCAACCAGTCAGCCTGTACCCCCTCCCACTTCTGCTTCTGGCTAAGTCCTCTAATTCTTGAATTCTCAGCCCAAAGCCTGCATTTGCAAACAGGCTTTTTCTGGGTGGTCTGGCGAGCACCTTTCAAACCTCAGTGTATATGTATGTGTGTGTGTGGGGGGGGGTTTCCCCACAGGTAGATTTGGGTAAAGTTGTTGAGCTAGGAGGTACCATGAGAGGCATTGGAAGGGAGAGAAGCGGAGAAGGAAGCCAGTGGAAGGTTTGGTGATGAGTGGTCTGCAGTGGCCACGTGGGATCAGTCCTCGTGACCCAAGGGGGGCTTGTAATACATACCCCTGGGTTATCACCCTCCAGCCACGGGCAAGGGCTGCTTTCAAGGAGGGCACTGACCCAGCACTCCTTGCCTGCTCTCCACTGGCTGAGCTTGTGGCCAAAGCACAAAGCAGGAGGGCTGGGGGTTAGGGGAGCGGCAGGTGGAGAAGAAAGATGGCCCAGGGTGGCAGGTAGACACCTTATAGGGGATGCTGGTCCTGGGTCAGTCAGACTCTGTGACCAGAGAATCTGGTTCAGTAAGACTTGCATCCCCTAGCTGATTCTGATGTCCAGTCTCCTACACCAAACCCCTGCACCTAAAGTACCTCAGCATCACCCTCACCCGTCTCCCACAGGACAGGTGAGTGCCATGAGGGCAGAGGACACAGCTGTCATTTCATTGCTCTCTCCTCAGCAGTGCAATATGGCAGAGGCCCCACTTTAAAAATATTCTAATTAAGAACCACTATATAACATGAACTCAGTGCAGGTACTATTTTAAGGATTTTATAAACATTAATTTGTTGTCTCGGTCATCACAATGCTGTGTGATAGAATTATCTCCATTTCACAGATGAGGAGGGTGATGTACAGAGGGATTAAGTCAGTCTGGAAGGGCACACAGGCAGGAAATGGCAGAGCCAGGATTTGAACTCAGGGGGCTTGTGGTCTGAGGACTTTACTCCTTTTCACTGGCCCTGGAGGGGTAAACAGCTGGTCTATAAGACCTGACCGTCCTGAATCTGAACATGACTCCATCGCCTGCCCTGGGCTGGCTGGCGGTCAGGGACCGTGCCAGACCAGGGGCTGACCTCCCTTCCCAGCGTACCTAGGCTGCCTGTGGATGCTGCTGCTGGTGGCCTACGGGCAGCGGGACCCCAGTGCCTACCACTTCAACAGACACCTGGAACGCAGCTTCACCCAGGGCTTTGCTGGCGTGCTGGGTTTCCGGGACTTCTTCACGTGGGCCAACACCACCCTCATGAACAACCTGTACAGTCATCACCCAGGTAGGTCCGTGAGCCTCAAGGCCCTGTGAGCAAACTACTTTCTAGGAACAGGTATGGGTCACTGTTAACATGCTCCTTAGAGAGAACCGATCACCCAGGGCCTCATGCTTTAAAGGCGAGCCCCTTGCAAGAACAAGGGAGCCTCCCCTCACCCTGGGATGCAGAGTGGAGCACTTACTACATGAGAGCTAACTGAGCAGGCAGCAGGGACCACTTGAGGGAAAGCAAGCCTGAAATACCATGGCATGTTCCTGGCACCACAAAGTATGCACCAGGCCTTGGTGGAGGGTAGGAGCTGAGGGCAGGTGAGAAACAAAGCAGAGACAGGGCCCAGATCGTCAAGGGTCTCGGATGAAGAGGAACCATTGAGAGCTTCTCCATGAGGCAGAAATGTCAGCAATCCTGGGGTGCAAGATGGGCCATTCTGGAAGCATGTAGAAGTTGGAGTGTAGGGAGTTGGGATACCTAAAGACATGATGGGGGTAGAGGCCTCCCTGGTGGCCGAGGGGTTAAGTCTAAGTACTCCAACTGCTACAGTCTGAGTTCAATGCCCAACCAAGGAGCTAACCCACATATGACACAGCAGATCTCCTGTCTCATCTGCTGCTCAGCAGTGTATTTCAGTAAATCTGCCTGTTCTGCTCCCCACTCTCTCTGGTGAATCCTTTCATCCCCTGTACCTTTGGCCTATACTCCAGTTCTTCTACACATAAATAAATTAAAAAAAAGAAAAAGAAATGATGGGGCTGACCCTCAATGGGGGGCAGAGGTGAGGGAGAGAAGAGGATGGGGGAAGACAATGTGAAGAGGAAAAATTGATGGGCCTATGAGCCATTAGGATGTGTGATACCAAACGCTGGCCTCAGTTTCCCTCAGCCAATAAAAGGAAAGAGAGTTTGAGAAAAAGGAAAGTGGTTTGATTTGACAACAAGGAGGGCAGCACACTCAAGTCTGAAAGACCACAGTCCCGCTCTTTGGCAGGCTGCAGGGTTATTTATACAAAGGGAAAAAAGGGGGTAGGGGGAGATGGGCAAGGGTCTGCAAAGGGGAGGGAGGAAGGGGTCTGCATGGAGACAGGTGGGCACCAGCTTGCTTTTTCAACAGCTGCTGTTTAACTCCATTTTCCTTGGAATGCGAGAAGACAAACCTGTTAAACAAGGGGGAAAATTGCAAGATATAGGGGGAAGACAAACCTGTTAATGCTTATCTGAGAGACCAGTCATTTGTAACTGTACCATGTGGACACTCTGGGCAAGGGCACTGCTAATCTCCAGGTGGTCACAGGAGATTGGGACACCCTTCCCCAAAAGCAGTTATGCAGAAGAAGACCAGGCCCAGCACGGGGAGGCGGTGAGGAACGTAACCTGTGATTGGCCATAAACTTGACTGTCTCTATGACAGGGACACTGAAGGTCCCATGAACATCCAGGCCAAGGAGTCTGGCATATAAGATGATTTGGGTAGCTAGAATAACCCGCCCTGGTTTTTACCTTTAGGCTTTATCACTGATGGAAACTCCAAGCTGGTTGGCAGTGCACAGATTCGCCAAGTGAGGGTTCGTGGAAACTCCTGCTCTCTTGCTTGGCAGCTTCAGGATTCTCTTGATGGGTGCCATGCGCCATATTCCCTGGACGTTGAAGATATGTCAGACTACAGGGAAGGCTGGAATGCCTCCATCCTCAATGCCAGCAATGGCTTTTCCCAGGCTTGGCAGTACCAGAGCCAGCATCAGCGCCGAGGCTATCCCATCTGGGGCAAACTCTCAGTGTACCGGGGAGGGGGTTACGTGGTCCCCTTGGGGACTGATCGCAAGAGCACTTCAAGGTAAGGCCCATTTGATTTACGTGCAGTTGAGGAAAGCCACCTGTTAGAGCCCAGGTCTGACTGATGGGCACAGCATTCAAAGGAGGCCTGAACCAAGCTTGTTCAGGTCATTGAGGGGAGGGGCTGGGAGATTCACAAGCCTTCAGGGCCTATTTCTACTCCCCTGGGAACTGTGCAATCCCAGAGTTGGAAGGGAAGTTTCTTTCCGGCATTCTCAGTATGGTGGTCTGGGGCTGGTGGCCTCTGCTGGAGCTGGTGCAAGAATGGAGACTCAGTACCACACAAAGCTGTCCAAACCCTGGCCAGCAGGATGGGTTCAGGCTGAACCTTCCCAAGAAGCATGTGGGCTCCAGGCTTTCCCCTACTCGTCTGCTCACAAGCTAGCCTGCTCCTGGTCATGGGTGTTTGCAGAAGATACAAGGTTCTGGGTCAGAGACAAAGGATCCTCTTGTTCACAGCAAAAGCAGTGGCAGAGCTTATGGTGGTTTCAGTCAGGTCCCCAAATAGGGCCGTGGTAGATGGCCTCTTAGGCAGCGAGTTGTGTAACCAGAGACAAGCCCTGAGCTTGCAGCATTCACTGGTTTGGTAGCAACAGAAGCAAGACTGCTCTTTGTCTAAAGGAAAGTGTCACCTCACTGCTCAGGGTGCTCACTGCAAATACATTCCTGAGAAATGATCTGGGTAGAGCTGGTTAGGGCCATGCATTTCTGGAATACCCCATAACAAAATGTAAGGACACAGCCTACCCCTCCCAGTATACTCTGGTCTCAGACCTCTGTACCTGTGTAGCTTCAGGCTGATGGTGAACCTCAGTCTCCTCCGGTATTACTACAACACCCCGGTTGTTGTGTGGGCAGGATCCCCATCTGTCTTCAATAATCCCCAACTGAAAGCCAGGGACAGGAATTCAGGCCAGGCCAGGGAATGGACTATTTCAGAGGAAGAGGTATTTTCCTGCCAGTTGGAATAACTGACATTTTCTGCTTTTGTGGACCAAGCAGGATGCAGACTCAAAGGAAATGGGCCCATTATTATTGCTCTAAGTAATAAAAGCTATCAATACTACAAACATACACACACACATACGCATTTTCTCTTCTCAATGATGCTCAGGTGCTGGTGTTAACATCACTGTAGATGGAGAAAGGGAAACCCAGAGAAGTTATTAACTTGCCCACAGTGCACTCGGGATTTAAACCCAGCTCTTCAGGAAGAGGTCTCTTGTGAGCTGCCAGCCCAAGAGGACAGCTGCTGCCACTGCCTACTCCCTGACATTCTCTAACCCTGAGGCCCTCAAATGTGCAAAGCATCCTAATCCCTTGAGACTCTTCAAAGCCCAGAGCCCTGGGTCCTGCCCCCAAAGGTTCTGATCCAGGAGACCTGGGATGGGGCCTAAGAATCTGCATCTCTAACAAGTTTCCAGACTCTGCTGGTCTGGGGACCACACTTTGAGAACCTTTGCTCTGAAAGCAGAGTCTCAGGGAACAAGGCTTTGCAACATGGGTTGGGAAACCCACTCTTCCAGGAACAGCCCCAAAGGCCCTCTGCTACAGGGAGCAGACAGGAGCAGAGGGATAAGTTTCCACAAGAAACTCTGGCCTCTCCACTGGGCCAAGGCAGGGAGCCACTGGGATGACATGTCCCTCATCACCCCTCTTCCCACAGAATTCTCCAGTATCTCTTTGACAACACCTGGCTGGACAGCCTGACCAGAGCCGTGTTTGTGGAATTCACTGTCTACAATGCCAATGTCAACTTGTTCTGCATCGTCACTCTGACCCTGGAGACCAGTGCCCTGGGTGGGCAGGCTTGCCGTGAACCCACCAGCAGTGTTTCAGAAGATGGAGACCTCTCTCTCCTGGCGAGAGCTCCTGACCCAGCTGGGCCCAAACACCCTAGGGCCAGAGTTCTGGGACAAATGGCTGTGTGGGAAATTGGGGGGTGGGAGTGGGTGTTGGTTTTCCATGCAGCTTTGTATCCCTGGGCACCCAAAGGCAAGACTTCAGGGCTGCCCCTCCCCCATAACTCTCCCTGGCCTTTTCTCCCAAATTATTCTGAAGGAAGCAGCTGGGGTCTGAAGTTAGCTCACATGAGTTTCCCACTCTCCAGGGGAATGGGGTAGAGGCTGGCAGCGAGGGAATGGAGAGGGGGTGACCTGTTAGAAGATACCTACACTTGAAATGGTATTTTACAACTAGTACCTCAAGCTCCAGTGAGAAGTGTATTTCACACCACAGTCTAACACATCCATGCACAAATATGCACAACTGAGACAAAAACTCCCCAAACAATATTTCCCTTAATTACATGTGATGTGCTGGTTTTGTGTTCGATTACATTTCTTCCTCCCCACTCCCTGCCCTTCCACAGCTTTTAACGCTCATCGCAATCTCTTCAAGATATTTACCTAAGGCCTCAACTAATAAGCAATTTGCCTAAAACTCAACCACCTCTCTTTGAAAAATCAAACATTTTTTTCAATATTACATTTTGTTATAAAAGTAATAGGCAGGTAGACGTTTTGGGGGTTTATGTTGTTGTTGTTGTATTTCAGAACTGTGTAAAGCACCACTTTCCACTGCTGAAAGTCTCTTTCAAATCTTTTTGGGCGTTTAGTTGTATCTTTTTCTGTTCTGTTCCCCCCCTTTTTTTGGGTCATCTTTTTGGCTTTTTTAGACCTCAAACAATTTGTCCAAAGTCACATCTGATTCAAGTCTGTATTTCTAGAAATGAGAACTGTGGGCAGGCTTCAGACCTTGTTGATTCAGCAGCCCACTGACGTCAGCAAGAACTCAGCTGCTTGCATCTCTCCACTGCCAACCTTGTGGCTGGCTCTGTCTTCACAGTAGCCCTAACAGTCTACCTGGTTTTTAAAAAATCATGACAAGGCCTGAAAAAAGGGAAAAGTCACACACATAGATGAAGAATGACTCAAAAGGTTGAATTTTAGGCATATTGGTCAATAGGGAAAGCGATCTTTAGTAAAATCTCTTTAGATGAAATGGATTTAAATGAGACAGTTTGCAGTGAGTTGCTGCGGCTGGAGGTGACTACAAATGATCATCCCCCAAAGCAGAGGGTATGAGGCAGGTCAGCCCCTGCAGTTCCCTGTCCTTCTGTCTCATTATCTCTGGGGTCCACCATGAGTCTCGTTCAGTTCCTCAGGGCTATGGGTCTGAATGATCTTTATCTGCCCTCCACCAACCAGTCATGGGAAGGACTTGAGTATGAGCCATCCAATGACCACAGAGTGGTAGCGCTAAGTGGGTGCGTGGCTAGGGATAAGTGGAATGTTCTCTGCTTCCCAGGAACCTTCTTTGCTCATGCAAACCTGCAGAGTCTGCGCCTGTACCCCTTCACTAACGGCTGGCATCCCTTCCTGGTGGCTGCAGAGGTGGTCTACTTCCTGTTCCTCCTCTACTACATGACCGTGCAGGTGAGAGGGGAAGTGTGGCTCCCTGCAGAGGGGATGCAGGTGATGGTGTCTGCTTTCTGACCCCATCCTTCTTCCTCGGGGAGGGGACTGAAAGAGTGGGAGCTCCTGCTCCCTTGTTTGCCATGGCAACCTTTCAGGCCTTCTGCTAGCCCCGAGGGCACACCCAGATCAGGCACCCAACTTGGACACCTCTCAGGAACTGAGACTCAGAGGGTGGTCCTTCCTGGGTGGGAAGGCGAGAGGAGCAAGGTTCCTGTCTCTGTTGAACTAAGACCCATTTTTTTCTGTTCAGCTGAGCCCAGGTGGGGTAGAGAAGAGGTGGTGTCCTCACAGCTGGGGGATTCTCCAAATGTAATTGTGGGAACTTCTAGCATCTTTTGTTCATACCTATGGTCCCTAAGAATCAGATAAAATCCTCTTTGCCACCTTTAGCAGCATAGTAACATGAGGACACAGATGTAGATGATGACGGCTTGAGGATGATGGAAACTCATCTGAAACCTGACGTATACCCCACTGTTTCCTCCCCCCCACTTTAAAAATGCAAACCAGAGATCTTAAAGGGGCATGTTAGCCTCATCATCTACTCCAACCACCTCTTTATAAAGTCAGGATGATACTCAGAGTGCCTATTACATGGCAGGCACTGTGCTAAGAACCGTCCAAGGATATCTGTCCCTTAACAACACCAGGAGAAAGGGTCTGTTGGCTCCAATCCACAGAGTAGGAAGCTAAAGTCCAGAGGTGTTAAGTAGTTTACCCAAGGTCAGAATTTGAGTCCAGAAAGTCTGAGCCATGACCTTGATGCTCAACCTCTATGGCACACCAGAAGCCTCAGAAACTGGAATCCCAAAGCACCAATTCAAACCCAACAGTCAACAGTGATCGATTAGCACCTTGCTAAGAACATTTTACCCCTGCTTCTTCTTCTTTCCCCTCTTCCATTGCTCTCTGCCTGCAGCTATTTCAGAAAGCCTCTCCAAAACCCTCAAATCTTTCTCAAAATGCTGCTTGAGCAGCTTAAAAGAAAACCTCCCCTTCTCTCCACTCCTTTCTAATGTAAGGGACCTTAGCCTCTTACCAGCCAAACACCAGTAGTGGTGAGAAGGAAGAGGAAAAGGGAGGCAGAGAACACACAGGGGATCTTTTTATATAGCCTGGGACATCTTTGGGGTCACAGAATTAAAAAAAAAAACAAAAACACCCAAGTCTCTGACCAGTTCAGAAAACCTCTCCACAAAGACAAGAAATCTACTTTAAAAATAATTTAGGGCCTCCCTTGGTGGCGCAGGTGGTTGAGTGCAGCCCTGTGAAGCTATCTGCAGCCTCTGAGGCGCCGGTTCGATCCCAACTGGCCGGCGAGGGTCCCATACGGCGTGGCAGACCTCTCCTGTCTCACCCGCTACTCCCCTCAGCAGTGTATTTCTTCGGTCTGCTGTTCTGTTCCCCACTCTGTCTCTGGTGAATCCTCTCACCCTCCCATGCATCTGGCCTGTACCCAGGTTCTTGTATAAATAAATAAATAAATCTTTTAAAAATTTTTAAATAAATAAAAATAATTAAAAAAAATTTTTAATTGTGGTCAGTACACGTAAGTTACCACTTTAACCACTGAAAATGCACAGTTCAATGGCCATAAGTTCATTTATATTGTTGTGCAACCATCACCACCACCCAGCTCCAGAGCTTTTCTCCTCTTGCAAAACTGAAGCTGTGCCCATTAAACAACAAATCCCTCCTGCCCCCTAAGAAAACAACTTTCATTATTTGTTGAAAAAGCATGAAATCAGAATGTGATGTGCACCCCAGGCAATCTGCGAAAAAGATTGCAAAAACAGAAAGAAATCTCACCCTGGTAAAGGGCCAGGCAGATGCAGGCACCCTGGGAGGAAATGTGGGCTTGGCTCCAGGCCACAGCACTGAGCAAACATGGCAGTAAAGTGAGCCAGAGCCACACGAGTTGTCTGTCTTCCCAGTGCATATAAAACTATGTTCACACCCAACTGTCATCTAAGTGTGCAGTAACAGCATTTCATTATATCTTCAAACAAACAAACAGAACAAAAACACCAATGTGCATAACTCAACTCAAACAATACTTTATTGCTGAAAAATGCAAACCATCCTCTGAGCCTTTGGCAAGTCTTCCTTGTTTTGCTGGAGGGTTTTGTGAAAAACTCACAATCTGTGAGTGCAATACAGTGATGCACAATAAAACGAAGTCTGCATGCAGACTGTGTTACACAGTCTTAAGTCAGTGTTACACAGGTCTTAAGGGAAAGGCAAACTAGTCCTTAAAGTTACTATGCCTTTGACCCACTGGTCCACCCCAAATTCACAGGGTTAGAGTCATTGTGTTCATCCTGTGTTTGCTTATCACCATCGCTGAAAGGAAAAATAAACTTCTCATTTGTTTACAACAAGATATAGGTTTGCATTTGGAGCCAGTGCAAAGTGAGGCCCCTACCCTCCCTGGGACACCCAGAGAGAAGGGCACGTCTTCCTTGAAGATAACATTTCAAAGCAATGGCTCCCAGATCCCTGAGAAAGACATTTCTGAATTATAAAACCTGCAAGAGACTTGTTTAGTTTTTAAAAAGTTTTACACATAACTCAAAGGTACAGAGAAAGAAGACAGTTACAACTTTTCTAAGTAAATGCTCCATGACACGGAGGGGAGATCTTTTCCCTCATCTTCTTTCCCCCCACCCACTTTGCATCAGAGAGGATTACATAGTTTTCCTATTAGAAACTGCAGTTATTCTTAAAAAAAAAAAGATTTATTTTATTTATTTATACATACAAGAACTGGGGTGGAGGCCAAAGATGCAGGGAGGGGAGGTGAGAGGATTCATCAGAGACAGAGCGGGGAGCAGAACAGTCAGACTGACTGAAATACACTGCTGAGGGGAGCAGTGGGCGAGACAAGAGAGGTCTGCTGTGCCATGTGGGTTAGTTCCCTGGCTGTGGATTGAACTGGTGCTGCAGTGGCTAAGGATAGCTTCATAGTGCTAAGACTCAATCCCTTATGCCACCTGAGAGACGTGCAGTTATTCTTATACAATTCCAAATGCCGCAGTTTGGGTGGTGGGAGCTGATGAGGTCGATGTACAAGATGGGAAGAGGCCCTGGCATTCTGTGCAAGTGGGACAGGGCTTGGGGAAGCCTACAAGGATCCAAAACCCTATGTAGCCAGAAGGCTATCCTGGATGGTGTGGGGAACCTCAGACCCCACAGGGATGCAGGGATTTGGGGGGCACCACAGTCTAGCCACAGCCTTTGTAGAACCTCTGATTCCTTTCCCAGGGCAGGCTCATGAGGAAGCAGAAGTGGTGTTATTTCTGCAACAAGTGGAATCTGCTGGAACTGGCCATCATCCTGGCCAGCTGGAGTGCCCTGGTGGTGTTTGTAAAGAGGGCCATACTGGCGAAGCGTGACATCCAGCGCTACCGGGACCACAGGGAGCAGTGAGTGACTTTGTAGCAGACCCCAATTCCCATCACTAAGCCTCCTTCTTCAGCTCTGTGAGGCCCAGAGGTCATGTGGAGGCTTTTAAAGCCTTGTTGACCCTCATATCTCTGATCAAAGATCACTCTTTAAAAAAAAAACAAACCACAAACTGTAGCCATCATTTCAATTCGGGTTGGGCCCTAAGCATATAAAATTTAAAACAAAATAGAACATTATCTTACTTCTGCAAATCTTATCAAAACACAGGACCAAGTAACTTCCTGTTGAGGTTCCTTTGAGCAGAGTAAGCCCCCCAATTGGCTGCATTTACCATGAGTCTGTTCTGTGCTAGGCTGATACACTAATGGATGGAATCTTCTCTGGATCCCTATTTTACAAATAAAGAAACTGTTACAGGGCAACCCCGATATAAAACGTGTTGCCTGACTGTGGGTCCTCACCCACGCACTTAAAAAGGACTTATTAATACTCAACTGTAGGCACACAAAAGGTAAATAAAAAGGCTTATTTACAAGGGAAAGGGAATGAGGAAAAATACAACACAGTGAGAAAAGAGGGAAATAAAGTCTTAAATGAGTCCTACCTGTTCTGCCGACCTGGAATCCCAATGGCGCACTGAGAGCTGGCAAAGAGCCAAGAGCCGGGAGGCCAAGAGAGAACCCCAAGGCCCACGTCTGGTTTTATACCAACCCTGGCTGCTTAACACCACTCTCAGGTCCCGAGCAACCCTCCCTTTGGTGATGATGGGATTTGTGATTTTCAGTGTCTTGATGGCTTTGGTCTGGAGTGGAGATGGAGTCCACAAAGCCTGTATGGAATTAGCTAAGGACATCCTTTCCCCCTAACAAAACTGAGGCTCAGAGAAGTAGTGTGATTTTCCCAAGTCAAAGTGGAAGAGAGGAATTTAAACCTCCCTTGTGCATCCTCAGGATCCCAGCTCTTACTCTGAACCATGTGTTTTTGTGACTGATTATATAGATACAGCTGACATTTATCAAGTTATTTTTGTTGGGGGCCCTATAGTCATCAAAATACCACTTCAAATGCTTATCATCTACTTTGATCTTTTCAAGACTTCAAAAAGATATTATCATCATCCCTTTTTTTAAAATGAAGAAATTAAGGTTCAGAGATTAAATAGTCTGTGCAAGATCACAAAGCAAGGAAATGTAGGACCCAGAATTTGAACTCTATTGGTAACCTCGCTCTAGACTGTCTCATTCATTCAACAAATGGGCATTAAGTTCTTCATGCCACACCCATGTTATCACATTAAATATAGGACAAAAATTCCACCCTCCATGCTTCCTTCCATTGAGATATATCACATATCAATTGAATTTTTCATAAATTATCAGATGCACTATAACTTTTATTTAGGCTCATTGTAAACCTTATGTAGAACAATTATCTTTAAAATGTAAAGGTGTTTTAGCTTGTAAAGGACTATGCAAAAGATGATCTAGTGACCAAGTCCACCTGCCATCTGCTTTTATAAATAAAGTTTTATTGGCATGTTTCCTCACTCATCCCTTTACACAAGGCCTTAAATGTGTGCCATCTGACCCTTTACAGAAAGTTTGTTGACTCCCGCTTAGAGGAATAATCTGAGTGCTAGCAAGGAAGGGGGAGGTTATCCAGGACTGAGGTCATGACAGAAGAGGGATCCTTCCTGTACCTTCATTGTTCAATACTCGCTTTGCATTATGGCTTTTGCCAGTCATCTGAAATGGGTTTCATTTCTGATATCCACACATACAACTCTCTTGCTTAGAGGGATAATAAAACGACTTTTCAGCAAGAGACTTCTCTTTTTACATGGAGCATCAGAAAACATAAGAAAAATCTGTGACTTTGGATAGACTCCCAAATCTAGTGAAGTCTGGTCTTACCTAAAACCTTCAGTTCAATTTGATTCATCAATGAACCAAAGTTTTGTATTTATTTTGCATATTTTCTTTTCTTTTTGGGGTGATAAGTCATTTTAACAACCAGGGCCTGAATTTTAAGAATACTTTTCATGATCAAACGATTTTCTCCAGTCTCCCTTTAATGCAGTGGTTTCAGGCCTGGGTTTGTACCACAATCATCGAGGAGATGATCAAACCAGTGCCCAGGTCACATCCCAGACGCCCTGAATCAGGATGTCTGCAGATGGGATCCTGGCACCAGTATTTTTAATGTTTCCCTGGTTATTTTAAAATGTAGTCAAGGCTGGGGCTTCCCCTGGTGGTGCAGCGGTTGAGTGCTGGGCTGCGAAGCTGCCCACAGCCTCTGTAGTGTCGGTTCGATCCCCATTTAGATCCCCAGCCGCTGGTGAGGGTCCCACATGGTATGGAGACGCCTGCTGCTCCCCTCAGTAGTGTATTTCATTAGTCTGTCTGTTCTGTTCTCCACTCTAACTCTAGTGAATTCTCTCACCCTCCCGCGCTTCTGACTATATCCAGTGCTTGTTTAAATAAATAAATAAATCTTTAAAAAAAAATAAAATGTAGTCAAGGCTGAGAATTGTGTTTGAAGTAAAAGTCACGATCGTTATAAAGGAGGGCTGAGTTACTATACCAAATATATGAGCAATTACTGTACCTGGCATGGGAGTTTAGGTCTTTTGAAAGAGGCAGAAAAAAAGGTGCTGCAGAGGCTGAAAGAAGCAGCAGCCATCCATGCCAGCAGCCCCTGTAGGCTCAAGAGCAGGAAGATTCTAGATGGCAGGTGATTAGGCAAGAAGAAGGCTTTGTGTCAGGGCTGACCAAGACCTAAGGTGCCAAATCCAGTCCAAACCCCTGCTCTGTCTATGAAGCTCTGCAGAGACCTGCCTCAGTGGGCTTCTAAAGATCCTGGGGACTGTATAAGGAAGGCCCCGAGGGATGGCGCTTGGTGAAGGCAGGCTCTCCCTGGGCCTGTTCAGAAAGCCCCTGCTGTCAAATGGACTTTCAAGCAGAACTCACAAGTTTTTCAGTTAATGAGAAAGATAACGTCTCTGAATAAAACTTGAAAATATAGATCTAGCATCCCAGAGAAAAATAATTCTAGTCCAGCATCCCAGAGAAAACCACCTGTTTAGGTGGTCAATTTTCTTAGAAGAATATATACACACACATACACTTATGCACATTAAATAATTAATTATATAATTATACACAGAAATAATTACACATGTGTGTATATGTGTAATTATCATGTAAATATATATTGTTATAATGCATTACACTGTATCTTGTAATATATAAATATATAATTACATAAATATATTTATATTATTTATATAAATTTATATTATATGGGCCTCCCTGGTGGCGCAAGGGGTTAAGCACTGTATTATGAAGCAATCCATAGCCTTTGCAACATGAGTTCAATCCCCAGCCGGCCAGGGAGCAACCCACATGGTGCAGCAGATCTCTCCTGACTTGCCTGCTGCTCCCCTCAGCAGTGTACTTCAGTCAGTCTGCCTGTTCTGTTCCCCACTCTGTCTCTGGTGGATCCTCTCACCCTCGGCACCTCTGGCCTGTACCCCGGCTCTTGTATGCATAAATAAATAAATCTTTAAAAAAATAAAATAAATAAATTTATATTATATAGCATTTTATATATGATTCATTATGAATCATTTTATATGTGAATCATTACATATGATTTTACATGATAAAACAGTATTACTAAATCTAAGGAAATACAGTTACTATATTAGATATAATAAATTATATATGTATATTAAGTGCTTTTATAAAACAGATTATATCATTTCATTCTATAACCTGTTCTCCTTCATGAAAGTAGATACAGGTTTGTGTCATTTTCAAAGGCACACAAACATTGACATGGAATTAAAAGTGCAAAAAGAGAATGCAGGGAATGGTGGGAGGGCTGGAATAACCTGGACTCTGGAATCAGGTTCACCTGATTTCAACTCTATCTCCCACCACTATTTATGTCACTGTGTCACTAGCCATGATGCCTGTGTTAACTATGTGTCCTTATCTATGAAATGGAGATGGTAATATTAATTACTCACACAATGGCCTTGAGAAATGCTCTTGAAGGTCAAATGGGGGCTCACTGGTCTGTCACTTAGTGCAACTAGCTGAATTTCCATCCTTCTGAAATGTAAGAGCATTATGGACACATACATTCAGATGAGTGTGCATGGGGACATTTCATCTATCTAAAGGCCCCAAACAGGGCCTGGTGGCTCAGGGCGTTGGGACACAACCAAGAAGCTATCTGCAGCCACTGCAGCGCGAGTTCAATCCCCACATGGTGCAGCAGACCTCTCCTGGCTCTCCCGCTGCTCCCCTCAGCAGCGTGTTTCAGTCAATCTGCCTATTCTGTTCCCCACACTGTCTCTGGTGAGTCCTTCACCCCTCCCCCCACACCCCTGGCCCATACCCCAGTTCTTGTATGCATAAATAAATAAATCTTTAAAAAAAAAAATAAATAAAGGCCCCAAACAGGGAGGAGTTGCTAACTAAATGCCTTTACCTCAATCCTCCTGATCCTGGGAGAATTCCAAACCCTTTGCATTCTCCAAGAGCGCCACAGCCATTAGCCAGACCACTAGGTAACAGCCCTATGAACTAGCTGCTGAGGCCCCTTGACCACCATCACCCCTATCATAGCTGTGGTTTTCACCATCACCCTCATCGCTGTCACCTCCATTTCTATTGCCATCATCTCCATCACCATTTTACAGTTAACATCATCCCCACCATAACATCATCACTATCACCCACTGGGGGAAGTGGGACAGGTCAGTGTCTCAGGCCTGTTGTTGTGGGAAGTGATGGCCACTGATCACAGTAAGTCTAATCCTGCATCCCAGATGAGACTAGCTGAGTTCCTCAGTCTCTGAGATCCAAACTGCCTTTGGTCCCACAGGGTGATCAGTTTCAGTGAGACAGCAGCAGCAGATGCTGCCCTTGGTTACATCATTGCCTTCCTGGTACTCCTGTCCACAGTGAAGCTTTGGCATCTGCTCAGGTTGAACCCCAAAATGAACATGATCACGTCAGCCCTGCACCGTGCCTGGGGGGACATTTCGGGCTTTATCACTGTCATCCTTATCATGCTCCTGGCTTACTCCATCACGGTGAGTGGCTCCTTTGGGAAAACCTTCAGGGCTGGTATCCCTGGAAGCCAAGGGTTTTCAGTGGTGTGGAGTTGGGGTTAAGGTTAGGAAGACCCTGGGAACTTAGGGAGATGGTGGATTTTCTGAGACCAGGGTCTTTTAGCTGGATGCTCACAAGCCAGTCACTACAAATAGCAAAGGCTGGAGAACTCAGTTGGGGCCAAAACTGTCCCCAGAAATGATTCCTTTTCTGCATCGACATCCTGCCTTGACATGCCCGACATCTCGATAGCTGAGAATGCACAGACAGTGTTGGGGGATGTGGAGAGGTCCTGGGTAGTAGGGCAGAAGTGGGGATGTGAGGGTGGAACTTAGTAGGATCAAAATCATTCCACTCAGTCCCTTAACACTGACAATTTTCTGATAATCACATCTCTCTTGTGACTGAAGAAAATGTGAACTATGAAACCTTTATTATCAAGCAATGTAAAACAAAAACCATCTGTCACATTCCCAATCTCCACTTGGTAGGCCTACATTCTCGCCATGATTCCCATAATAATCTTGGCCCCAGTCCTCTGTGACCCTTCAGCGCATTCCAGACCCACTGCCCAACGAACCTTCTTCCCTAGTCTCACCCTGGCCCCATTCCGTCTCTCACCCCCCACCACTCCCCTAATCTCCAAGCCATTCACTAGCCCATCTGACTGTAGTCCTCACTCCATCTCTCACCCTCTCCCCAGTCCTCGCCTTTCCTTGTCCCTGACTATCACCTTGAGTCTATCCCTGTCTCCCCCACCCATCTTCCTCTCTCTTTCTCAACAACAGTGAGGAGCGGTGATGATGTGATGGCTGGGAGATGATGATGCAAAGCTGGAATCTAGTTTTGTCTGATACCCTCACTTGCCTGCATGCATTTAGTCCCCCATTGAACTGCAGGGACACGTCAGCCTCCTCTGGGGCCAGACGGGATACATTCAGATAGAACAGCCCTTGTGGGTGTGGGGTGCAATAGAGGGAAGACCCTGCCCACACATAAACCTGTTATCCATCCAGCCCAACTCCCCAAAGCCAACAGGCAGGGTCTCAGAGAGGCCAGTTCCTCCCTGAGTGGCCATTTAGGTGAACATGGTAGTGGTCTAATCAGAGGCACTTGAGCCCCCAAAGGGGACTGAGCACCCTCTCTATGCTGGGAGATACAGAGAAGGATATCATCAACAGACAATGAACAATAGCAAAAGGCCTGGACAAGCTGGGCAGACAGGCATTTCCAAAGCACACAGCAAACAACCCAGGTACTCTCACACAGGGTTGCACGTATGGCCTTGCATGTGCTCACCCATAGAGACATACACACATCTGGTACAGAACTGGGTATTTACACACACCCACTTGCACACCCCTGTATATACAAACAGCTTGGCCAGGCCAGGCCAAGGATATGGCTCACCTAGATCACCGATACTGTTGTCTAACAACAGGCTTTGGAGGGTGAATGATTTCTTTCCATGCTGACAAGGACTCCTTCCATTACAGTCAAACCTAATATTTGGTTGGAAACTCCGTTCCTACAAAACCCTCTTTGATGCGGCAGAAACAATGATCAGTCTTCAGATAGGAATCTTCAACTATGAGGAGGTAATGGGGAGAGGGGGCCATGAATGCTGCCATTGGCACTGAGTCTTAGTGACATTTAGAGAAAGCACCACCTCAAAGGCTCCATAATGGATGCCACCCCTTGGGTCCAGGGTCTGGCAAGCACAGTTCAACTTAGAGCAAATTAAAATTTTATTTCTCCAAAGCTCACAGCTCACCTTGGGGACCCCTACTTACAAATGAACATTAGGCAGTGGTTACTTAGGGGAGGGCTGTACTGGGCTGGGGGAGGTGTCTCTGGAAGGCAATGCTCCCCACCTAGCCAGAAATGGGGCCCCTATTTGGATTGGTGGTAGTGGGGCGTAAGGGTGCTGCCCTTCTCTCTTCTGGTAGCTGGAGTGCACTGCCCCTACTCTCAGCCCCCAAACAGAGGGCGACCCTCCTGGCACCTGGCCAGGCGCCTCCCTAGCCCTGAGAACCATGTTTGCCTCTGAGGGTGCCTCTGTGGGGAGGTGGCTGCTAGGACACAGGAGCCGGGGGGATGATACTGGCTTTCTTCCTGACAGGTCCTGGACTCCAGCCCAGTGCTTGGTTCCTTTCTCATTGGGTCCTGCATCATTTTCATGACGTTTGTGGTGCTGAATCTGTTTATCTCTGTCATCCTGGTAGCTTTCCATGAAGAACAAAAATACTATCTGGTAAGTCTCTTTGATCTATTCTGCAAGAGTCACTGACCTTGAACAAGGACAAGACTAGCTGAACAGCATTAGACATCAGGGGACTTTAGTTCAAAGGCCTCATTTCATGGGAGGGGAAACAGGAGGAGGAAATCATTTCCCCAACATCACAAGCAAGTGAAGGGCTGACTAGAATCGGAGCCCCCTGATTCCCAGTTCTGCATTCCACTCATTTACACCACTAACTTCCAGCCCTGATTCTACATTAAGATTTACCTGCAGGCTTTTGGAACCTACTGCTGCTGTACCTGAGACCAGTAAGAACAGAATTTCTGGGAGGATGCTCCAAGCATTAGTATTTTTGAATTCTGCCCTTGTGATTTTAATATACAGCCAAGGTGAAACCTGTTTAAGAAATTATTAAAGGGCCTCCCCGGTGGCGCAGCGGTTGAGCGCTGGGTTTCAAAGCTGCCCACAGCCTCTGCAGCGCCGGTTCGATCCCAGGCTGCTCCCCGGCCACCGGAGGGAGGGTCCCACATGGCGCGCAGACCTCTCCTGCCGCCCGCTGCTCCCCTCAGCAGTGTACTTCGGTCCTTCTGCCTGCTCTGCTCCCCGCTCTGGCTCTGGTGAATTCTCTCACCATCCCATGCTTCTGACTATACCCAGTGCTTGTATAAATAAATAAAAATAAATCTCTAAAAAAAATTATTAAAGAAGATAACTTAGTGATATCAACAAACTTTATGTAATACTTCATGAGGATGACAGTCTCCATTTAAAGAATTGCAAAATGGGGCAAAAGGCAGGAGGTTTTTTATAGTATAAAGAATAAAGGAGGAAGAAGAAAAATATAAAAATATCTGATTGGCTGGGGCCACACAGTCAATCTTGTTTGGGGTGAGAATGAACAAAGAAATAAGCGCCCAGAGTTGGCACTTAAAACAAAACCATCTACATTTCTGGTCACGTGGAACATTTTACAGGGACTTGAAAGTTATCTAAGCCTCAGACAGCAGGCATGGCTGCCTGAGCAGGAGTGGTTCCATTTTGGGTCTAGACATTTATTTCAACGAGTAATATGGTAACTTGGGTTTAAACTTGGAGGAACTGCCAAACTGCTTTCCAAAGCAGCTACACCATTTGGCATTCCCAGCAGCAATGTATGATGGTCTTTGTGCATAAATTCCTAACATGCTCTACTGGGGGTGGGATGGGGGGGAGCAATGAAGAGCTTTTGGACATTCTCAGAGAAAGGGAAGAAAGAATCCCTGGGGATAAAGGTGAAGCACACACCCTTGTAATTCCAAAAGCAGGTGAATCCCAATGCAAAAGCACCTCTACTCAGGGAAGAGAGCAAACTGGGTAATAAAAAACCCTTAGAAAAGCCACCAAAGAGGACGGTTCTGTGTATATCACGGGTTTTTTCTCCCTTTGCAGCTGACAGAGGAAGGAGAGATTGCTGATTTGTTGTTGATGAAAATACTCAGTTTTCTGGGCATGAAATGTAAAAGAGGACAGGAGCCTGGAAGCAGTGGTGAGCATTCGGGGTTGCTGTCAGAGGCTCGGCCCCCTGAAGCTGCACCAGCAGGCTCCTGAGTCTAAGTGGTTCATCACCTATAGCACTGGGGAAGATCAACACTTCAAGCCAACCTTTACTAGCTATTCCATAGTCTCTCCAGGGCAATATTTTTCTGTGTCTGTCGAAGAGTTACCAAGTCTGGCAAGCAAAATAATAAAAATACATACAGCAGCTACTATTGCGATAGACTATTTGTTCCAATGTATTTCCTCCTAGAAATAAAATGAATATTGTCTGGAGTTCAGAACAACAATGACAAAAACCCAACTCCTCTGCAAACTAATCATTTCATTTCAAGGGTCAGTTAGAGGTTCCCTTGGAAGGATTCTAGCTCAGGTTTTCTCAAACTGTGTCAGAGAGATGCTAGTGGGTGTATTAGTTTCCTAGGGTTGCTGGACAAAGCACCAGGAGCTTGAAACAGAAATTTGTTGTCTCACAGTCTGGAGGACAGAAGACCCAAATCAACAGGGCCATGCCCCCTCTCTAGATTCTGGACAGGAATCCACTCTTTCAGCTTCTAGGGTTTGCCAGCGCTCCTTAATGTCCCTTGGGTTTTAGATGCATCACTAATTTCTGCTTCTGTCACCACGTGGTCTTCTCCCCAGTATGTCTGTTTCTGTGTCTCTTTTCGTCTTCTTATAAGGACACTGGTCACAGTGGATTAGGGCCCATCCTACTCCATTATAACCACATCTTAGCTAATGATGTTACAGGGCAAGCCCAAAAGGAAATAGGATGGCCTGGGTGTGAGACCCAACTGAAGACACACATAGAAAGGTTAATAAAAGGTTTATTTACAAAGGGAAATGAAATGAAGGGGAACCCCCAAAGAGAGATTAATTGGCGACTGTGTCCTATCAGTAATGCTGTCTGAGCTGGGACCCCCAAGAGCACCCTGAAGGCAGGCAAAAAAACCAAGAGAGTGCAGGTCCACATGTTTTTGGTTATACACCGAGCATGGCTGCTTAACACCACCCTTAGTCCCCAGCAATCTCCCTTTTAGGAAGTCAAGAGTCTATGGCATGATGGGAGTTGGAGTCCAAGGCCCCAGGGATCTCTTTGGCGTGGAGATGTGGTAGAGTCCATAAAACATCAGCAGGTAGAGTTTGTTCAGGACATACTCTTCCTCCAACAATTACATATGCAAAAACCCTAGTTCCAAATTTGGTCACAGTGGGGGGCTAGAATTACAATGTCTGTCTTTCTCTCTTTTGGGGAGGTTTATTATTTTTCAGTGCATCTCTTTAGGGACATGATTCAACCTATAACAAGTATCACCCTCCCCCCCCCAATATTTCTGGTTTAAATAAATGCAGGAAAAAAACTGAATTATAAAAGGTTATTCGGCTTCCTTAGCATTGAGAACTAGCAGAGCTTTTAACATGCCACATGTGCATGTGTGTCTGTCTCCTAAGGCGGAAGGAGCTTGAGAGACAAAGTACAAACCCCCAAATTTCTATGACCAAGGATCTTGCAGCTCCATCAGTACTCATGTTACTAGAACCCAGCCGCCTCAGTGGTGGGAGCCGGCAAGAGCAGAGGTCTTCTTTCAACCTGCTGCTCCACTATAAGTCAGTTGTGGCAACTGCTCCTTAGAGACCTTTTATGTAACAGTGTACTTCCTGCATTGTGGAATGAACCAATCAGGTGCTATGAGCTGATTGTTAAATGGTCCAATCAGCCACAGGATTGAAAAATGGTCCAATCAGACTTATGGGTGGGGCACCCTAAAAAAAGGATATAAGCTAGGGTTGGAGGGAGCTAAGAAAGAGACCGGATCAGCCACTGAAGAAGAGAAGAGGATGCTAGCCCCTGAAGGAGAGAGCCACCAACACTAGCCCCTGAAGAAAAGAAGATGGTTCCAGCCTCCAAAGGAAGAAGAAAGAAGGGGAGGTCTCTGTTCCTGGCCTCTGAAGAAAGAGGAAAAGAAGAATCCAATAGCCAACTGCCAAGGAGGGAAGAGAAGTCAAAGACTTCTGCAGGGGCTGGGCCTCTGGTCCTATCTCTGACATTATCTGAAAGGAGCACCAAAGGCCCTGGGCCGGGTGTCTCAAAGAGCTATTTGTTGTTGGTATAGCCCAACAACTCACAAAGAGCTGTGAACACTGGGTGTCTCTGACACTGACTCTGAGGGACCAGTAGTGACCACCACTCCTGACCAGTGCTGTCCAGCACTCCTGGCGACCAGCGGTGACCATCACTGATGCTATCTGGGTAAGATAGCTGCCACTTGTTGATACAGTGAGCTCTTTGTTTACCCTGTTTGTAAAATAACCCTGTTTGTAAAATAAGCCCCATGGTGGTTGTTCCTGGAACCTGAGGTTTCTTGCAATTCTGTGCACGGGTGAGAACCCACAGACAGTGACCTGTCCTCTCATCGGGCACTGTCCTTTGTTAGGCTGTAGCCCATAGGCCCCTGTTGCGTGGGTGTTGTATTACTACAGCCCTTGGTTTTGGTTTTTGGCTTTTTGGCGGCTCTGTGGTCTCAGAGCCTGGGCAGATGGGTGGCCATTCCATCCTTCCATCTGGCCTCCTGCCTTGTTGCCCTGTTGCGCTGTGAGCCCTGTTTTACTAGTATTCCTTAGATGACACTTTGGGAACTGTAGATCTACACCCATGGCCCTCAACCTTGGCTGCATGTTGGAATCCGCAGACTTCCTTCCAATACATCAGAAATACTGGGCTGGGAACCAGGAGGCAATATTTTTTAAGCCCTGCAGGTGATTCCCTTGTGATTGTGATAACAATGCTCTAAAGATAACAGAAAGCTTCTAGGTATCTGGGCGGGCCAGTATACATTTCCCTTCCAGCATGCAAAGCATCCCTCCTCATGCCCTCTGGGAACAGATACTTTGGTTTGCCTCTCAAGTCTATCCCATGTTTACCTCTTTGCTGTCAGCATCTCAACTTTATTCAGGTAGCCCTCTCCCACATGACTCAAGGGAAGGTGACCCTGCAGCCACTAGGTAATTCTTTTTTGTCTTAGTCATGGTAATCCATTTTCCTTGACAGTGAGCAGCATAGGGTGGCACTGTGACCCAGTTTTGGCAAATAAAAAATGAGATCTCTAGGACACTTCCTGGGAAGATCTCCTTGCTAATAAAAGAACAAAGAGTATACTCTATGCTGCTGGACATTGCCTGACCCAAGAAAGAATCCTGGAACTGTGTTAGGCAGTAGATACGGTCTCGAAAGTTTCAGGAAACATATGATACTGGACATTAAGTCAGGCTGAAACTGACCAAGTCATTACAAAGTGACCAGTGGAGATGGTCTTCATAGATGCAAGGCTGGGTCACCTACCCACACTGATAGTGACTGACTGTTCCTAGCTCTGAGAAGTATGTATCTCCCAATACATACTTCAGATGAGACAGTTTTCACCACTAAAAAACCCTTTAGGCTAACTACACTCTAGGCTACAGGTATGGATTCCATCATGAAGAGGTCACAGGCATAAGGAGATCACAGTTCAAGAGATGGAATTAACTGTTGTTAAAAAACAAACAACTCCAAAATGGAGTCATTCATGTGGGAGGGAAGAGCATGCAGACCTAGTATCTAATCTAATTGCTGTTTCAGTCTCTCCCAAAGGTGGATTCTAAACCAATCTATCTGAGTTACCATGGTCAGCACCCGTGAGGTCATCTGCGTAAGACCCCCCCACCTTCCTCTCTCTCTGCATATAAAAACCTTGCAGAGCCTTTCTCCTTGCTGAATGGGGAGGTGCTGGATTCATGGGATTCATGAATTGTTTAATAAAGCAAATGAGATCTATAAATTTATTTGGATGAGTTATTTTTTAACACTGTAAATATCTGCTCAAAGAGATGAATGGGCCCCTTCTGAGATACCTGAAAGGAAAAAAAATGCAGTTTTCAGGTTCCTGTACAAAATATGCAATGAGATGACCTTTCAATCCCAGCAATGGATGGTGCAAAGATTATAAAAACAACAATAATTTTTTATTATCCTCAATGGTTGCTATCTAAAAAAACAAGTAACATTCTTCTTACTGTTTCAGTGGCATTGGGGAAAGCAGGCAATTTCCCCTTCCCCTCTAGTTTCTTCTAGGGTGGCAAATATTCAAATTAATGAGACATATTGACAAAAGAAAACAAAAAGTTTAACAATAACATATAAATCTCTTGCATACATGGGAGAAACCCAGTAAAAGTAAGAAAGTCACTAGCACAGCTTAAGTCAGCTCCTTAAACAACTTCAGCTAAAGACAAAGGATGCTGGGGAGAGAAGGTCAGTTACCAAAAGGCAAAGCAAACAGGGTGAAGACCGTCAGCCAGATTAAGTCGTTGCCTTCTCCACTGTTGCTCTTCCAGGTACAGTGAGGGAGACACCCTTGCAGAGGGAGGATTTCTTTCATACATGTAAATGTCTCTTACAAAAGGGCAACCTCCACTCAGCTTTCAGAGCCTGCAATAATCCTTGTGCCAAAGAGACATATTTTTGGGGCAGTGGTGTTTGTTCCCTTACAGTAGAAAGGTTTGCAATACAGCCCACACACTGATCTTTTTCTTACTACCAAATGAGTAGCAAGTGGAGCTAGGAATAGATATTTTAGGACATGATTTGCATTATGCTGCACCAGCTTGTAAAAAACAAAAACAAAATCCACAACAATAAAAACAGAATTTTGACATAGAAGTTAGCCAAGATCTGAAGCTTAGAGTAGGCGACTATGAGCCAATCACCACCCTAAACAAAGGCAAGTAGAACAGAGCTTCAGGACTGCTGGTTGCCACTCAAACTAGAGGTCAAGTCCAGCCACGGCTCACACTTGCTTAAGCTATAAAATGCCTGCGCCATCCCACTCCTGGGCAAGCTAGCAAACCTTCCTGAGCCTCCAGCCCCTTGTCTACGAGAGGAGAATAATAGCTCCCAAAAGGAGTTCTGGAGAAGACTGAACAGATTATGTTTGTGCAGGCTAGTCATGTAACAAGGGCTCCTAAATGGTTATTATCTGCTCGTTGCAAATTAGCATTACAATCCTTGCAAGTCACTAGAGATGTGCTGGCAATTCCAGTTTCTGAGTGGGGCAGAAGCTTGGTGCAACAACCTATGGGTCTCTCTCTCTCTTTTTCTCTCTCTCTCTCTCTCACTCACACACACACAGGCACAAGGGGCCAGTCCTGAAATACTAAAGGTTGTGGAATTTTTCACTCTAGTTTACTGACTCATGCCCACTGTTGAAGGTGAGGTCATTCTAGAACTGTATCTTCCTCAACTCTCCAAAGGCCTTGGTCACCATGCTTGCATAAGCAAAGAACTGAACATGCCGTGTCTTAACTTGATTGCTCTAGCCTTAGCTGACTGGCTTCTGGCCACCCCCACCATCTGATAAATCCTTGCCCTTCTAAGAGTTTCATGATTCTGTCTGCCCCGTGGAGGTTCCTGTGCCTCTTGGCATCCGTAAAGTGGGTTGGTTTCTGGATTGTTTTCAGTATCTTAAAGTCAAAGAGAAATTGCTTATGTGTCAGTGCTCCTCTGGTCAATATCCAAGCAGCGTTTCAGCTGGAATGACTGACACTGGCCACGAACCCTGTTCTGAGCGACCTTGTTCCTTCGTGGAGGGTAGGACAGCATCCTTTAACAGGACTGGGGCACCGTGCCTCTGCTGGGGCCTCAGCCCCCTACAGCAGGTGAACGCACTGACCCCATAGAAGAGCCACCCCGGCCGGAGCCCTTCTCAGCACGCAGACCGCGGAGCCCGCAGTAACTGACCCTGATCTTTGATTCGCCTGGAAGCGACGCCCGGGGCATGGCTCCGCCCCCACCAGCGGCCCCGCCCCGGCCCGCCCCGCTCGCCACCTTAGCCCCGCCCCTCCCGGACAGCCCCTTCCGGGTGTCACGCCCCTCGCTTGTCCACGCCCCCCCGCACGTCGCCCTATCCGAGGCCGTGTGTGGCCCGGAATGCCCGCCCCCTGCTCGCAGACCCAACAGGCCCCGCCCCTCCTGGGGTAGCCCCGCGCCCCGGTCCGGCCGGCTCGCTCCGGCTCGCTCCGGTCCGGGGCCGCCCCCGCCCCGCCCCGCTCCCGCCGCCCGGGGTGTCCGCGGTGTCGCGCCGCCACCCCGCCACCTGCGAACATGGCGCTGCGAGCGGCGCTGAGCGTGCGGGCCGCGGCCTGCAGCCTTCGCGCCTCCTGGACGCCCGCCGCGCCGTGCTGGCCGCGGCCCTGGGGGCTGCGCGCGGGCGCCGTCCGGACGCTGCGCACCGGCGCCGCTCAGCTCTCGGGTAAGCGCGGGCGGGCACGTGGGCCGCGCCGGGTCTGGGCGGGGGCGCCTCTCCGCCCGCGGCTCACCTTCGCTGCTGTTCCCGGCGGGCGAGTCCCTGTCGCGCTTCTCTTTACTGCGGGATCCCCCTTCGGCGGCCGCTGCCCCCGCGTCGGCGGCGCGGACCACACCGCAGCCTTTGTCCGGCGCTCGGGGACCGGGGGGCGGGGGGGAGGCCTGGGCCGCTCGTGCTGGAAACACCCAGGACCGTAGCCTCTCGCACGTGTGAGTGGCGTGCACCCTGCAAGTGGAGACCAGTAATGGGCTCGGGTTTGCTGAATGGACCATTGCTGAGAACGCCAGAGCAAATTTAGAGCAAGAGCACTTGCTGAAATTCAGGCACCGGACCCAGACTTCTTTTACTAGCTAAAGCGATCATAACTTAAAAGACGCGCCTGTTTCCTAAAAACAGAATAAAGTCTTCTGCCACAGAAGACGTTCTGAAGTCTACACTGAGTCGTGGATGTCTTGGGGCCGCAATGAGGCCTGACTTAAATGGACCTGAAATAACCCTGAGACCTGCCCCTTAAATGCCTTATAGCCATGGGTGCTACTTGCAGTCATAGCAGCGGAAAACAAGTTTTCTAACTTCATGCGCAAATGCTTGTGACATTTAACCGCACCCCCTAGAACTCAGGCTTCTAGGTCTGTTACGGCTCTGGTCTTGTTAAAGTTCATTGTTTCAGGCACTTGTTGGGGCTGGCAGAGTTGATAAATTTATTCCAACGTCTGAACAAAAAGATGCTTCTCCCCCCTTGCTAATATTCTCTCTTGCTGGTCACATATCTGTTACCAGTTTGAGAACCAGGGGAAAGCTTTTGTCAGATCTAAGAACTTAATTTCAAGTCAGTTTTTTGGTTATTCAGTATGATCCTATTGCTGATTTTTGTATTTTTCAATTATCTAGTTAAATATTGCTTAAGGTGTCATACTCACGCTCTGGTTGAAGCACCTAGCTTTTTAATAACAGCTCCAATTGTGGGTCTACCTCTTATGACCTTGGGTAGTCACTTAGTCTCCAGCTCGGCTTCCCTCATCAGAAAAATTATAATTCACAGTTGTTGCATGGAATGAAATAATATAACTGGAGTACATACAGCCTGACACATTGTAAGTACTTGATAAATGCTACTTTGTTATTGTTAGTGTATAGAGTTAAAAATGACCGATATTAATATAATTCATATTTTCTCTGACTAGTGACTTTGGGATGATATAACCCAAAGCTTTTCATAAATCGAAACACCTAATTTTTTGAGGCCAAAACCTGTATTTTTTGAGGCTCAGTAAAAAAGTAATGATTTACCAAATCTGTCTCACATTTTTCCTTTTGGGCCAAGGGTTAAAGGAGCACTCTACTGGTCACTGTCTTTAGCCTCAACAGCATGGCCTAGTAAAAAAAAAAAAAAACTTGTGGACTTTGAAGTCAAGCTGTCCTGGGTACATTTAGCTAAAGTTGCTGCCTTTCCCTCTAAACTCAGGGCTGCTCAGCTGCTAAATTAGCAACCTTACTCCTAAGATTAGCTTTACAATTAGGTAAGATGGCAAGGCCAACATCAAGATAAAATAATGTCTCAGAGAAGTCATTTAATTTTCCAGTCCTTACTTTAAAAAGGTGTTTTTAGATTTAAACTGCTCATAATTGGTAATACCCAATTCTAGAGCGGTAATAGAATGAAAGACAGAAAGAACTGAGTATTGTAGCCAAATAACTATTATCTACTAGATTTTTGCTCAGAACCCCTTTTACTGGACTGAAGTTTTAACAATAGGATAGTGAACCCTGCTGCCGCTTGCTTTATATTTAACAGTACACATGTGTATATAACGGACTATATCTGTAATGTGTTAAGTGCCTTGAGTGTTGAGTCAGGGTGGAGGCATAGTGCTGTGGGAGCAGCTGCACAGCCTGAGGAAGCTAGGCCTGAGGCTTTGCATTGCAAGGCTTCCTGCAGGATAGACCTTCTAAGCTGAGGCATGAATACCTCAAGGCAGGACAGTATATAAACCTTAACTTTTCCTGTAGAAAGGTCAGGTTCACTGAGGCTTGCTTTATTGAAATGGAATGAAGCAAAGCAAGTTCCTTTATGACAGATTTTGCAACTTCTGCAGAGTATGAAATCAAGAAAGGTCCTTAAAGACTAGGGGAGAAAAATGTAATAAATTACACTCCTTGTATTCTGTGTATTAGAGTGATATAATCTAATCAATGTAAGCTGTTTAAAGTACAGCTATCTTTTGGGTATGAGTGAACCAGCAAGGCTTACTCTAAAGCAGCATGTGAATTAATGAGCCATTTTCCTTAACTTCCGATGTGTCATTTTTGGTAAAATACTTAAGAATATGATATATAGTTAAGGAGATGGCACAGATTAAAAAAAAAACAAAAACTTAGTCTTCAAAGCAAGTACATTTAACATTAAATCCTAAATACTTTTTTTTTAAAACAGCTCTTCAACTTTGGTCATTCTTTTTCCAGGAATCTTGAATAGTTTGAACAATGCCTCTGATGAAAAACAGCTCATAAAGCCTCAGTCTCCACTGTCCAATGAGTGCGCAGAGCTTGACTTTCCATCAGTAAATGGCCAACTTCTAAGGAGACTAGAGTTCTCATCTGTTTTCTCCTTGCATGATGAGAGACATTTTCTTCAATGGCAGGCTTTAAGTCCAGTAAAGTGGAATTTTGGGAAATTAGTTGTAATTTTCCAGGTCAATTTCATTCCAAGTTTCATTGAAGCCTTCCTAGGTCAATTCTACCTAAGGAGGCATTTTTTTTTTTTTTTTAGTTAAATCATTTATAATCAGTCTTTATGCTGCCTCCCAGAACTTTATTGCTCCATCTATCTTTCTGAGAAACAGAAATGTACATATGAAATGTGGGCCAAAATATTTTTTTGTGGCTCAGACTAAATAAGATCAGATAATCGTATCTCCCAAGGTGTTCACATCAAGCCTAAATGATACCACTATTGAGAAGTCATGTTGTCTTTGACACGACCTGTTCTCTACTGGATCGCATAGTATTGAAAGGCAATGTCAATAAGTCAAACACAAATACTGGGAAAGTCTTTTGCTTGGATAGTGTTGATTGAAAGGTGCTGTTAAACAAGTGACACCACTGCTTTTCTGAAATACTGCTCTTCTATTTTAGTGCGTAAATTCACAGACAAACATGAATGGATAACAACAGAAAATGGTATTGGAACAGTGGGAATCAGCAATTTTGCACAGGTATTGGATTGCCTTGAAATATTTGTCTTTCACCAAAATTGGATTGTCTCTACCTCTTAGAAATTGTTTATTCTTCCTCTTGGTATTTCAGGCCTTTGAGGTCCTTTTAAAAATATCAGTCATAGGTGAATTTAAAAAAAAAAATTAGGGCAGTGTGTAGTGTTTTAACAAATACCGAAAGGTTAACACGTAAAATCAAAAGCAGTAAACACATCTTAAGAAAGATGTGTCTTTTCAGACTGGGATCAATTAGGGAAGAACGAGCAAGGAAATGGCATAGCGTGAAGTGTTTTGTGGGTGCAGTGTCACACATACTACCAGTGAGAGACCCTAGGTTGCTACACAGAGGAAAACCTTTATTTAGCTTTTCTCTTTCTCTATTCTCCTATTCCTATTGATCCTATATTGAGATGTGAGAAGCCAAAGAACAGCATGGGTCAGTGATTTTGAACTGGATCCGTGTGTGAAGTAGGGCAGGAGGGATAGGAGGGTGCTTGGAAGCCCAGATATTGAGAATCACTGACAGTTTATCTTCATTGGCATATTTGTGCTTCAACAGAGGCCCAGTAGAGGATGCTTTGTGAAATATTGTCCAAAGTGTGAGAAACAAAGTGTTACTTGAGGGATGGATGAGCTGAGTGGTGCAAGGAGTTGTGACTCACTCACATGGTAGAGATCACTTCTTATTGCAGTCAAGGTCTTGAAGGAGCACCAGGCATGAGGACTATAATTTACAATCAGTGGGTGGGATTTCAGCAAATGCAGTAGGGGAGAAATGGCTTACATAAAACTGAACAGGTGGGAAAGCAAAGGTGTGTATGTTCTTAGTGAAGCTAGTAATATTGTGGGGCTTTGGAGGGCATATGATTCATGATAGGGCTCACTACTGCCCATGGGCTAAATTCAGTGGGTGGCCTGTTTTTGGCTCCTGCATGAAGAACAGTTTTGCATTTTTTAAAATATTATAAGAAAAACCCAAGAACATGGCTTCTCAAGTGTAAAACATTTAGTGTTTGAATTTAGGGGATTCAGTGTTTGGCTTGATCCTGTTTCTAGGAGGTTTGATCTTTTAGAGTTTTTTTGTGTTTGTTTCTTTAGGAAGCTTTGGGAGATGTTGTTTACTGTAGTCTGCCTGAAGTTGGGACAAAATTGAACAAACAAGGTGAGTGTTCTTCCCATCTTGGTATGTCATGATTTATGCCGTGATTTTTCTTTATCTGCACTGTACCTTGAATAATGACTTATTTACAGAGAGAGAATGCTTTTTACTCATGTAACAGAAAGTTGAAATAAAAGTAGATTAAGTAGGGGTTTATCATGTCTCACACAGTCTGAAGATAGGTGGATGCTGTGATGTATAGAAAAAATAAAGATTATTGATGACAACAGGATCTTTTTACAACCCCAGAAAAGGCTTTTATGAAGATCTTCAAAAAGAGGGCTATGACCTCTATTATATGAGGGTTGGTAAAGAAGACTCATGACATGATCATGACCTACCAGGACTGGCTCAGTGAAGGTCAACCATGGCATCCTCTTTAGGTACTTTTTCTGCCTCATGTCAGAGTTCACAAAATGGCAGCAAAATCTTCAAGCATCACATTCTCAAGTGACAGTATCCAAAAGTAGACAGGTGTGCTCTCTCTTTGGGAGCTAGCTTTATAACTGACCATCAGTGGCTAGTTCTCATTCACATTAACTGTATTTTTGAAAGTGGTGACAGATAACCAATGTATAGAGCTTATTTGGTGAATTGTCATCCTCATTACATTTTCCAGACAACTGCACATGGATTCAGTATTCCTTATTCCTTTGGCCTGGACAGTTTTGTTGAGGCAGGCTCTCTTCTTTGTCTGATAACTTGTTAGCCAGGTCTAGGTTTATTGCCACTCATAGCTGCAAGGATTGATGAGAGGAGAATAACCAGCTTTTTCCTATACTCATCAATAAGTTAGGATAATTATGATACCTCTCTCAAAGTTCTTGTGAAGATTAAATGAAATTAACATAGTGTCGAGCAAAAATTTAGTGCTTGATGAAAGTTAGCCAGTAGTGCCAGGTATGTTATATGCATGAGTTCCTTGACATATATGAAACAGTGCTACACAATTTCAGTTTCTGTTTTTTAAATATCTTTGATAGTATCAAATATCATTTGATAGTATCCCCCACACCAACATTTATCTACTTGAACTTTCTCTGCTTCCTGACTTTCAATATCCTGATCGTATAATAGAGGTCATAGCCTGCTTTTTTATTTATTTATTTTTTTTTTGTGGGACCCTCGCCAGTGGCCGGGGGTTGAACTGGCGCTGCGGAGGCTGCGGGCAGCCTCGCAACCCAGCGCTCAACTGCTGCGCCACCAGGGGAGGCCCTTAGCCCGCTTTTTTAAAGACCTTTCTAGATACCTTTCCTGGGGTTGTAAAAAGACCCTTATCATCAATAATCTCTATTTTTCTTCTTTCTATAGAGCATAGGTGTTGGTTTCTTTCCTCGTGTTCTCACTCTGCTACAGGAGACTATTTCAAATTTCTTGACATCTCTTTACAAGTGAACAGATTGAACCTACTTTTGATACTGAAAGAAATTCTATTAATATGTGTTGGGTGACATTCCTAGTGAATGCCCTCTTTAAACATTTTGCTAAAGTTTTAATTGATGTGAAATTTACATACAGTGAAATTTATGGATTTAAGTGTATATTTCAGTGAGATTTGACAAATGTAAATACACTATGTAAACTTTGCTAGTCAAAATCCTTCTCTGATACCTATCACCATAAATTTTGTTCATTCTTTCATTTCCTGTAAATGGACTCATATAATACATATAATAATGTGTCTAGCTTCTATCCAATATCATGGTTTTGAGATTCATTTATACTGTTGAGTGGTCAGTAGTTTGTTCTTTTATTGCTAAATAATGTCCCATTATTATACCCTTTCACCTGTTGATGGATTTTTGCATTGTTTTTACTTTTGGGCTATTATGAATCTTAAAGCTACTATAACATTTTTTGGATACATTGTTTTGTGAGACTATGTGTTCATTTTTCTTGGGTAAGTACATGCAGGAGTGGGATTTCTTGTTTGTGGTGTTGGTGTTTACTTTTTTATTTTAATCTTGTTTAGGGCCTCCCTGGTGGCGCATGCATTTGAGTGTAGGGAAGCTGTCCGCAGCTTCTGCAGTGCCGGTTCTCCGGCTGCGGAGATGCCCAAATGGCGCAGCAGACCTCTCCTGTCTCACCCGCTGCTCCCCTCAGCAGTGTATTTCATTCAGTCTGCCCATTCTGTTCCCTGCTCTGTCTATGGTGACACCCTCCTGCACATCTGGCCTGTACCCCAGTTCTTGTATAAATAAATCTTTAAATAAATAAATCAAAAATAAAAAATAATCTTGTTTAATTCTTTTTTTTTAAAGATTTATTTATTTATGTATACAAGAACTAGGGTACAGGCCAGAGGTGTGGGGGGCGGGTGAGAGGATTCGCCAGAGACAGAGTGGGGAACAGAACAGGCAGACTGACCAAAGTACACTGCTGAGGGGAGCTGTGGGCAAGTCAGGAGAGGTCTGCTGTGCCATGTGGGTGTCTCCCTGGCTGGGGATCGAACTCATGCTGCCATGGCTGTGGATAGCTTCAGAGATTGCGTCTTAACCCCTTACACCACCTGGGAGGCCCTTGGTGGTTAGCTTTTTAAGAAAGTTTGCCACAGTGGTTGACCTACCTCATGTTCTCACCAACAGTATAAAGTTTGTGGTGCTACAAATTTTACTATTTTAATTTTGTATTTTCTTAGTGATAAAATATTAAGCAGCTCTTTTTATGTTTTTGCCATTTACATCTTTGTTTTCTAAAGTCACTAGTTAAGTCTTTTACCAAATTTCTTGTTTAGATTCTCTTTCATTGGTTAGGGATTCTTTGTTATCTTATGTTTTGTTGGTTTTTTTTTTTTTTTTTTTTTTTTTTTTCAGGAATTTTTCCATTTCATTTAGTCAAATTGGGCATAAAGATGCTCATTTTTCATTTATTATTTTGTATCAGTGGGATCTGTAGTGAGGATCCCTTTTTCATTCCTTCACATTTCTGGTAATTTGTTTCCTTTTTTTGAGCAGTCTTGCTAGTTCTGAGATGTACTAATCTTTTGAAGGAAGCAATTTTTTATTCTGTTGACTGGCTCTATTTCCATATAAGTTTTACTTGTATCTTTGTTTTCTATCTTCAACTTACTTAGATTTAATTTGCTTTTCTTTTTCTAGCTTCTTAAGGTGGAAACTTGGGTATTTATTTTTTTAATGGACATATTTAGTCATACTGTGAAATGTTCTCTCTCCTGTGGGTGGCAGTTAGTTTAATCCTTTTAGCCTTAGCCAGAGTTTGCCCTGTGCAAGCATGGTTTAGGGATAACTGAGAGACCTGGGCAGAGTTATACACAGAATTTGGGGTGCTCCTTTTTAATACCCTCCACCTCACTTTCTAGTAGCTATAGTGGTCCCAAAGTGGTCTTTTGTTAGTAAAGACTGGAATTTTCTTTCAGATTTTGCCAGCCCCACACTGCAGACTGGTGCCCCTGCTCAGGCAAAAAATCCTTTAAAACTCACCACTGTCTTTCCTTCTTTCAAATGTCCATAAATTTATTTCTTTAGTTTATATCCTCGTGTCCTTAAAACCCAGATCATTGAAGATGTTCACTTCTAAAATACAATTTAAAGATACTAATTTCCTTCTAAGGACTATTTTAGCTATACACAACAAACTTTGGTATGTTGTATTCTCATTATTCAGTTCAGATCTCTTGATTGTATCCCACAGATCACTAAGGCTCTAATTTTTCAGTCTTAGATCCATTAATTTCAGATCTTTATTTATATACACTGACCCTCTCTTCTGCTGTACCCAGTCCGCTCTTAACTCTGCTCTTAACATCTTATACTTTCCAGTTCTACAGTGTCTTTTTATTTTCTACTTTGCAAGTATGTTCACGCGTTGATTTTTTTTTTTTTTTTTTTTTGTCTTTGAACATGTTTTTAACAGCCACTTTAGGATTCTCTGCTGATTACAACTCATGTAGGTCAATCTGGGATCTGTTTCTGCTTACCACCTTTTCTCTTCACTGGCTCCTTTCTAGTATTACATCCCTAAATTCCAGTCCCATGCTTTATCCTCCAACCTGTCAAGCAGTAATACTATGTTTTTCTACTTTATTTATTTATTTTTTATAGAGGCATGTTTTTATTTATTTATTTGTTTTGTTTGTTTGTTTATACATGCACTGGGTACAGTCAGAAGGCGGGAGGGTGAGAGAATTCACCAGAGCCAGAGCGGGGAGCAGAGCAGGCAGAAGGACCGAAGTACACTGCTGAGGGGAGCAGCGGGCGGCAGGAGAGGTCTGCGCGCCATGTGGGACCCTCCTCCGGTGGTCGGGGAGCAGCCGGGGATTGAACCGGCGCCCCAGAGGCTGCGGGCAGCTTCGCAACCCAGCGCTCAACCGCTGCGCCACCGGGGAGGCCCTATTCAGTACTCTTTAGATGAAGCATGTTGTCAGGGTACACAGTCTGTAAACCACTATCTCACCTAATTTGGGTGCCATCTTTCAGGGGCTCTACAGAGCAAGTTTTGTTTTGTTCAGAGTTTGTTACTGGTATCTGCTGAAAGTTGATCTGATGAGGTATTAGCTTGTTGGAAAAATCATGACTTGTTTTTGCTTGAAAAACATAGTAAACACATGTCATGACTTTTCTGACAACCCAAAACTTCACCATGACTTATTGAACTTAAGCACATCTGCTCTTCACATACATCACCACTTGTTCACTCTGTCTAGAACACACAGATCCAATTTATATGAGGATTACCCTTTTTTCATAGATGATATTAGCATGACAAAATCTATGGATTTCTTTAAAGATATTTGGAATTTTTTCTGATTGTATTAAGAGGTCACCACATCTCCATATTGCTTGTTTTCAGGTCATTAACTGTTGATGTTTAATAGTTAATTTTCTCAATTTAGAGGAGTTTGGTGCTTTGGAAAGTGTGAAAGCTGCTAGTGAACTCTATTCTCCTCTGTCCGGAGAAGTAACTGAAATTAATGAAGCTCTTGCAGAAAATCCAGGACTTGTGAATAAATCATGTTATGAAGATGGTGAGTTGTTGCTAGAAAATTTTCAAGGGGCTACAGTTAGCATTTAATCTGGGTTAGTTTAAAGCAAGCTTTAGCAGATTGTGACTTCCTCATTTTGTACTTTTTGGTACTAAGCAGAGATGTCCTGCTTTTTAAAAGGAAAACAGGGAACACCTCTTATTGTAAGGTGATGTTTAAGATCTCTGTCAGTAAGTGCACTGCCTGTTTTACAGGGTTATTAGTATCATGGTTGTAAATTTTGTAAATGCCTGCAAAGTACCTTTTCAGAAATAAAGCAACTGTGTGGAGTAAGTAGGTGGTTATAGAATAATGTGTACATTAATTTTTAGTTTTCTCGTTATTTTCATCTTCATAATAAGTAAGGTGGGATACAGCAGTTCCCCCATTTTGTATATGGATTGAGGCCCCAAAAGATTTATCTGTTAGGTCACACAGCTAACAAAAGGCAAAATTAGGATTAGGTTGTAGTTTTAAATTTCTTAATTCATTATGGTAGAATCTATTCTGTTTGTAATTCTTTTCCATTGTGATATGCAAGGATATTGCTTTAATTATAAAGGCTAAAATGTAAAGCTCCTGGAACAAATAATAAATGACTTATGTAAAGAAGAGTAGATTATTTTTGAGGCGCTCAGAATTTAAATTTTGAATGAATTTCACTTTTACTCTCTTAAAAGGTAATTTGTAATATAAAATACTTTTTTTTTTGGTTGCAGGTTGGCTGATCAAGATGACACTAAGTAACCCTTCAGAACTAGATGAACTAATGAGTGAAGAAGCATATGAGAAATACGTAAGATCTATTGAGGAGTGAAAATGGAACCCCCTAAATAAACTAGTATAAACCAACTTAATCTAGCATAGTTGTCTTAAATTAGTGGATAGATGATTTAAAATAGCAACTTTTAGTAATACCACTGGAAAAATAAACTACTTGCAACAATGATACTGGAAGAATATAACTTTCTAATGAATACAGATGAACACAATATGCATCTTTTTCACAACACATTATTTTTAGAATAGGCTCCAGTTATATTCAAAATTCTTGAAAATACCTGGTTGAAACTAGTTATAAAATTTATGTAATTTCAAGACAGCATTTTTATGTTAAGCCTTATATAATAATGTAACTTGCTTACATCCATTACTGGATTTGGGTCAAAATACTTAATGATCTGTTCATTGGAATAAATGACAGTGGAGAAAAGGGTTTTTTTCCTCCACTGTCTTACAGCATCAGATAAAAAATACTATCATAATTTTGCAATATACTGCATTTGCTGGTGCTATTTTTATACAGTAAAGTGACAGCCTTGAAGGAAAATCAGAAACAGTTTAATAATAAAATACTCAATTTCATTATTTTTTTTCACTGTTAGTATTTCATTTAGTGACTCTGCTAGTATCTGAAAATGTTAATTTTCACTTATGGAAAGTTATTTAAAGGAAATTTAAGCCATAATAATGAAAGGTTCTAAGAAAATCTGTGAACAATCTGTGTATGTATATATGTATGTCATAGATGCACATAAAAATACATACTTACACACAGAGCAAGAGCAAACTCTTATTTTCCTACTTAGTATAGGAAAAGGGAAGTTTTCAGGAACTATCAGCTAATAATGTATAAAAGGCAATAAGAGAACCGAGATGAAGTAGGTAGGAGGAATATAACATACAAATCTTTCCTTAGCAGATAAAAACCATTCTAAGATTATACCAATAGTCACATCACTGCTGAGCTTATCTTTGCACCCTTATCAAGAAAGTAATCAAGATATATATCTTCTTTGGAAATAGAAAGGGATAGGTAGTAATTTCATACATGTACCTTTTTGTTTTGAAGCTATTTTTATATAGTACCTTCTTTGATCTTGGTAACAGTCAAAATTAGCCTGAGCTAGGTCGGGCATAACATAACTACAACTATTTTACAGTATAAGGTTCTGGAATGGATTAGGGATTGTCACAGAGGGAGTTAGTCATGTTAGGCTTTTCATATTTCCTGGCCTACTCTTAATCAGTTCCTTCACAAATGTTACTACTGAAAACAAATAGGAATCTGAGAGGGGAAATAGAAGGCTTATGTTCTAAAGGTGAGAAGCAAAAGTTCATTCTAGAGTGAAAGTACATGAATGACTACTGTAGTGTTAACGGGCAGCTTTTCATTCTCCCCCCCCCCTTTCACAAACAGGACACACACTCTTACTCTGTACCAAAGAGAACATTATGGGAACTTGCTTCCTTCGCTATTGGGAATATAGTGCCAATTCCACCCTTTTTTCTATTATAGTGCTGCCAAAACTAACAGGCATTGAATACCCTCCAAACAGACAAAATGAACAGAATTTAATTTCTGACCTCATTCCCTTTGGTTTAGATCTTAACAGCAGCTTAATAAAGAGTTTGAGTTATACTTTTTAATCATTGAAACTCAAATATACGGAATAGGTTAACAAGAAGTATTAAAAAATCCTTTAAAATTGCCTTCCCAAGGTAGTTTAAAGAGGTTGACAGCAATAAGTTTTAATAACCTCTAGAAGGCTCTGCATTGGCATGCTAGTACAAAAATGAGGTTGATATTTTATATCCATTATCAACAAATCAGAATTTCTGAATTTCCAGTTCTTGGGTTAAAATGTCAGTACCACCTACCTTCAGTTTTAAAAGCTGCTAACTATAACTACCCTCATTACTGTTCAACAATCACTGTATTTTTTCAGACCTCATCATGCATCTGCCTTCCTCAGCAAGAACCCTCATTTTATACCAAGATTTCTCCTTCTCTAAAACATGGGTTTTCAGGGCTACCCCGGTAGTGCAGTGGGTTGAGTACAGGGCTGTCCGCAGCCTCTGCAGTGCCGATTTGATCCCCGGCCAGCCAGGGAGAGACCCACATGGCATGGCAAACCTCTTCTGTCGCGCCCGCTGCTCCCCTCAGCAATCCCCTACCTTTTCAGTCCGTCTGTCTCTGTCTCTGGTGAATCCTCTCACCCTCCCACGCCTCTGGCCTGTACCCCAGCTCTTGTATAAAAATAAATCTTAAAAAAATAAAAACAAAACATGGCTTTTCCACTGACCATATCTCCCCATCAGTCTTTCTCCTTTTAAATAGAGTATTTTTAAGAGATTTGGTGCAAAACTGAACAGAAGTTTTCAGATACTTCCTGTGTCCATCTTTCTGTTTAAATCCCTTTGCCAACTCTAAGATCTTATTGAGTGCTTCTGATACCGACTTAATTTCTACATTGGCTTTTTATAAACATAAGTCGGTCAAACTTGTTCAGTAGTAACTGGCCCATTATAACTAGTATTAGGCAAGGTTAGTGGGAAAGAAATCATTACCAGGTCTTCCAACTTCCATGTATACTTTTGTGCTTTTAGTCAAGTTTAACTGTCATTTAGTAAATTTTAGACAAGACTTATGACATACTTACCAGAAACAGAGCAACTTTTAATGACTGGGTAATAGACCTGCTGGTCAAAATGTTTCAAATTTTCTGTTTTCAAAAGAACTAAAGGAGGACCTAATCATACTATCAGCTGATAATTAAAACTTTTTTTTTTTTTTTGGTGATCACTATGTGATTTCTGTTAAAAAAGCAAGTCAAAATGTCAAGATACACTGTCATGTGCATATTCATGTGAATAAGGAATCTCAGTTTACATCTATGAAAACGAATTCAACTGGGGTTGACCGTCTCATTCTAGCAACATACAATATCTGTGTACATGAATTGGGGAGAGGAGCAGAATAGCCCCATGCATTTCATTCTGATACACCTCAGTAACATTCATTGGTTTACCATTTATCCACATGGAATATATACTTAATGTCTGCCAAATGAATAGCAATAATGAACTGTTTAGCCTTATTGTCTTATGACAATTTTAAAATTTCATTTTGAATTAAATTTTTTGTTGCAGATTGATTCCTAGGTAGTTTTTGACCATAAATGTTAGAACAAGATTCTGTGGAGCAAGTAGAATAAAAATACAATTAAGAATTTGAAAAAATTTTTTTTAACTCATGGATTTTTTAAATGAATAGTGGTTGTCATTTAATATTTTTAAAAGTAATATTTTGAAGTGCCAACTTTTATGATACTTTGGATGTTATAACCTTTGCTACTATTTATGATTAAAATTTTGTTTTAACAAAATAATGGGATAAGGTATGCATTTTTGTACAATACTTTTCAGAAGCATGTAGGCGTACCATTACTTCCAGGTTGAGGAATAGGACCCAAGTATGTGTATTTTAGGTAAAGAAGTGATGCCTTAAAAAGCAGTCAATCTGGGCCTCCCCGGTGGCGCAGCAGTTGAGCACTGGGTTGCGAAGCTGTCCGCAGCCTCTGCAGTGCCGGTTCAATCCCCGGCTGCTCCCCGGCCACAGGGTGAGGGTCCCACATGGCGTGCAGACCTCTCCTGCCGCCCGCTGCACCCCTCAGCAGTGTACTTCGTCAGTCTGCCTGTTCTGCTCTCCACTCTGGCTCTGGTGAATTCTCTCACCCTCCCGCACTTCTGACTGTACCCAGTGCTTATGTAAATAAATAAACAAATCTTTAAAAAAAAAAAAAAGAAAAACAACACTATTTAAAAAAAAAAAAAAGCAGTCAATCTGGGGGCCTCCCTGTTGGTGCAGGGTTTAAAGTCTCAGAGCTATCAAGCTATTAGCAGCCACTGAAGCATGAGTTCCATCCCAGCCAGGGAGCTACCTACATGGCACCGCAGACCTCTCCTGTCTTGCCTGCTGCTCCCCTCAGCAGTGTGTTTCAGTCAGTCTGCCTGTTCTGTTCCCCACTCTGTCTCTGGTGAGTCCTCTCACCCCTCCCCCCACACCCCAGTTCTTGTATGCATAAATAAAAAAAAATCTTTTAAAAAAGTCAGTCTGGCAAAGTACTTTGTTCTAACATCTTAAAATAATGTAATGTACACATCTAAATCACTGTCCATAGGCTTTCTGTGTTCTGCATGTGGTGTAAAAAATGATGTAAAACAGATTTCTTTCTAATTGCCCTTTTTCACAGTGTTGTTTTTCCACAGCAGATATATTTAAAACCCAAGGTTGCACCTCCAAGATGCTCAAAGTACCAGCACCGGGGGGGGGGGGGGTGGGCGGGGAGGCAGGGAAGGGTGGCCTCTCAGGTGTTGAGCTAGCTCTCCAGTTGATTTGAGGACTTGAGGCTACTTTTCTTCATTTGTGTACGAGATGCCAATGCCCACCTGACAGGGCTGCACTGCCACGCACAGAGTGCTCTCTGGTAATGCCAAAGGATCCAAACCCGTTCTGCCCAGTCACATAAGCGGGTGCCTAAATGTAAAGCCCAGCAGATCCTCCCAATAAATTTGGGGCCTGCAGGACACTAGGTAGCCGTCTTTGCGGGGAGGGTGACTTGGCGACAGTGGCAGTGCCTGGGGTTAAGTGGAGCTGCCCGGTTTCTGGAGAATGGAGGCCGGAGTGGCTGCTAGCCGACCTACCCCGGGGAGGGTGTCCCACCACGGAGCCATCCAGCCCAGCGGCGATACTGTCCACGGCGCAAGGCCTGTCCGACCAGCAACAGGGTACGGAGTGTGGGGCTCGACAGAAAGCAAGTTCCAGGTTCCCCTTCATCTACGCCCTGGCGAACACTCAAGAATGGCCTTACCTCACGACGCGCCTCAGGCGGCCGCAGCCCATAGGGAACGCCTCACTCAGGAGGAAGCGGCGCCGTCGTCGCAGGAGAAAGCGCGTAGCACGTGCCCAGCGCTGACCGCCCGCGAGCGACGCCTCCCGCGCTCAGCTTTGTTACGCGCGGCTTGCTGACGTCACTTCCGCCGAGATTCCTCGCAGACCCGCCCACCGCTCCGCCCCCAGCGCGTCTGTCCGTTACCCAGAGCAACAGTGTCCCTCTCCCGCCGGCGGGACTTGGGTACTCCGGGGTCTTTCGCCCCGCTGGCCCCACAGGAGGGTGTGAGCGGCTGCGGCCGCCTCCCCGCCTCCGGGGCAAGACCCCAGACCATTCCACGGGCGGCAGAGCGCGAGAACCTGCCCACTTTGAAAGGAAGCTGCCCTGAGGCGGGGAAGCAAACGGGACAGGTATTGTGGGCCTATGCGCCACCTGGAGGTGGACCGGCCTAGGGGAGGAGAGGCGCGAAATGGGTGGGGAGGTGGGAGGAGCCAGGCAACGGCAGGGGAGGGGCTTGGTGTAGACAGTGTTAGTGAAGGAAGAGACCTTGTCTGTAGGCCCCAAGGACCTGTTGGAAGAAGGGGAGGAGCTAAGTGTGGAAGAAAGGATCATGGGTAAGGGGAGGAGCTTCTGGGAGGGGGCGGGGCCTGTAGAAAAAGGGTGGGGCTAGTGTAGGAAGGGGAGGGGCCAGGTGTGAGGTGTCTGGACTTTAGGTGGGGTGTGCTTTTTTTTTAATTGTTTTTATTTTTGTATTCCCCATACAATTGCACCCCCCTTATTTTGATCCCAATCCCTCCTTTCCCTGCCCCCCCCATAGTGTGTCTCTGGTTTATAGTTGTTTGTTGATTTTGATTTTTTTCTTTCTTATAGTTATTCTTTTTCCTGGTCCCTTATTTAGTTTTTCCAGATTCCTGCTATGAGTGAGACCATCTGGTATTTTTCTTTTTCTTTTTGGCTTATTTCGCTGAGCATGATCCCTTCCAGCTACATCCATGTTGCTGCAAATTGCACAAGTTTATCTTTTTCGATTGCTGAGTAATACTCCATTGTGTATATGTACCACATCTTCTTGATCCAGTCATCTATTTTTGGGCATTTGGGTTGTTTCCAAAGTTTAGCTATTGTAAATAGTGCTGCTATAAAGATAGGGGTGCAGGTGCTCTTTCGAATTAATGTTTCTGTGTCCTATGAGTACATACCTAGGAGTGGAATTGCTGGATCATATGGAAGCTCTATCTTTAGTAGGTTGAGGAATCTCCACACAGCTTTCCATAGTGGTTTCACCAGTTTGCACTCAGGTGGGGAGTGTTTTGATGACTTGTCCTGTCCTGTGAGAGCTGTGAGAGCTGGGAAGATGGGCATTGCTTTATCATTGTATTCTCAGTGTTAGACTGCTAATAGGAATTTAGTGAGTGCATGAGTGTGAGTGGAAAAAGCGCAAGAGTTGGAGACTGGGATTGGAGTAGAAATGGTGTGAAGAACAGGGCTGCATGTAGAGACGGCACTTCTAGGAATCATTTTATAAAGTGGTTGTGCTCAGTGGTCACGTAATAAGCATAAGTCACTGATAATTGACATGGGGAGGTAAAGTAACGCTCAGCGATCAGCCAGTCCATCTTAAAACATCTTCAAGACCTACTTAGTTCATATGCTTGAAGCATATCTCCGTATAAGAAACTTAATTTCCATCATGGGCAACAGTGTTTATAATCATTGATTTCTTCATTCAGCACACGTTTATAAGGACCCACAGGAACGTCCACTGAGAATTCCAAATGAAGCTGCCGGAAGCCCATCTTTCCCTGTCTGAAATTCTGACATAGATTTCAGATTCCTTTAAACCTGAATCTCTAGGAAGGAGAGGTTTAGCTGTGGGGGGTGTGTTGCAGAGCCAAGGACATGGTAAGGAGTTTGGAGAGAATACAGCCTGTTCTTGACTTAAACACTCTGGACTTTTTGCCTTTCCTGGCCCATTCAACTCCCCCCTTAAATAATTAGAATGTGTCAGCCAGGTGGAAGAATTTAGGGCCAGCCATTTGTCATCTGACTATATAGTCAGGCAAAGGCAAGTGAGTGACATACATATATTCCCTGACTGCAACACTCCAGTATCTGCCTCTGTGGCCTTATACTGCCTTCTCTCTGTTTCAAATATCCTTTTCACTCTCTGGTATACATGTCATTGCACAGAGGGTGCACCACCCAGGAAAAGTTTTTTCTTTTTTTCAACACTTTGTTTGGTTTCCTTATATTATTCTTTTTTTTTTTTCAAAGATTTATTTTTATTTATACAAGTACTGGGTTACAGTCAGAGGTGCAGGAGTGTGAGAGAATTCACCAGAGACAGAGCGGGGAGCAGAACAGTCAGACAGATGGAAGACACTGCTGAGGGGAGCAGCGGGCAAGGCAGGAGAGGTCTTCCCTGACATGTGGGTTTCTCCCTAGCTGGCCAGGAATCGAACCCACAGCTGCAGAGGCTGCAGACAGCCTCACAGCGCGGCGCTCAACCCGCTGCGCCACCGGGAAGACCCTCCATATATTATTCTTATGAGTGAAACCATCCAATATTTTTCTTTTTCCTTCTGACTTATTTTATTAAGCATAAACTCTTCTAGTTCCATTCATGTTGCTGCAAATGGCATGAGCTTATCTTTTTTGATTGCTGAATAGTATTCCATTTTGTATATATTCCATGTCTTCTTGATCTATGCATCTGTTTTGGGGCACTTTGGTTGTTTCCACATTTTAGCTATTGTGAATAGTGCTGTAGGAGTGTAGGTTTCCTTTCAACTTAATGTTTTTGTGTCCTTTGGGTAGATTCCTAGGAGTGGAATTACTGGGTCATATGGTAGATCCATTCTTAATAATTTGAGGACCCTCCACATGGTTTTCCATAGTAGTCAAATTCCCACCAGCAGTGTGAGAGGGTTCCTTTTTCTCCACATCCTCACCTTAATTATCTCTTTGAAGTTCTTTTTTTTGCCATATAAAGTAATATTAACAGGTTGGAGGGATTAGGGCATGAATATCTTGGGAGGGCTATCATTCAGTCTACCACATCTAGCCACTTAATTTTGGGGTGATTTGTTATATAGCAATAAATAATTGGAAATTAGCTGTGTCTCCTGGGATGACCTTTGTAAACCTTGTTTTCCTAATTTGTAACTTTGAATCACACTATCTAGAGAAATGATAATGATTTTCAGGCACTTGGTTAATGTTGGTTGCCTTTCCCTTCCTGAGTCTTCTCTTTTTTACACTTCAGTTTCTTGAGAAATTCCTGAGATGCTGTGGTAGAAATCGGTCATTTGTGGTGGCTTCTCTGAATGCACTTTCTACACTAGGTACTCTGCACTGCATTTTGATTTCCCTCTTTATGGTAGAACAGAAGCCCCCTCCCCTTCCTGTGATACTCTGTTGCAAGAACTCTGGCATATGACCCACCTTCCACCAATGAGCTGTCATGATAATGGCAAAGGCATTTGATGCTTTAGGTCTGGGGTGATAGGCAGTCCCAGGTGTCATATTTCTGAAAGCGGGGTCAATTATAATTTCCTACTAAGTAGTGTGATTGGGTATTGATACCAACTTTACAGCTTCAGAGCTGGCTTTACAGCTTCAGAGCTGGCTTTACAGCTTCAGAGCTGACCCACCTCTCCTCTGAAGATACTGTAGGCTACCTAATAACTTCTGATAATTTTCCTTCCTTATTAAAGAATAATGAACATTCTGTTGATTGCAACTAATAAAAGTGTACTCTTCCCATTTGAAGCCTCAGAGCCAGTGGATTAACATTACAGTTAAATAAGAGGAGCGTCTTATAGTTGTATGTGTTTTATAGTTTATAAAACACTTTCACTAGTTATTTTTTAATGTAAATAATAATCCTTAATTCCAAAACTCTTTTCTAAAGTTTACTACTTTGTTGTTCTCCTATCAACAGCATTTGTAGTGTAATACATATGTAGTAAACAGGTTTTGTAACCTTTAATATATTTAGGTATGTTGTATTCTCATAATTTTTCATTTCTTTCTTAAATATTGACACTCAACAAAATTGACTTTTGGTTGGCATAAAGTTTTATGAATTTTAACATATGTGCATCTTTCTACCACCAGTCTGGTTTAATCTTTTTGAGAATATCTGGAGGATCACATACTCTCCTGTCTATTATAGAGCATGCAGAATAACTCTTTGAGATTGGCTTTTTTTTTTCATTCAGCTTTATGTCTTTGATATTCACCCATGTTGCTATAGATATGAAGAATTATTTCCCTCTGGTTGCTGAGTATTGTCAATTTCCCTCTGGTTGCTGGTATTGTCAATTTTTTTAAACCTATTCTAACTAAGTGATTTTAATTTACATTTCCCTAATGGCTAATGATGTTAAGTGTTTTCATGTACTTGTTTGCCTTACTTATTATATCCTCTCTGGCAAAGTGTCTGTTCAAATGTTTTGTCCATTTTTTTATTTGGCAAAATTTATTTTCTAATTTTTTATTTGTTGCTGTTTTTTACTTCTGGGTTTAAAGTTTCTTTATATATTCTAGACAGAAGTCCTTTGCCAAATAAGTGATTTGCAAATATGTTCTGTAGCTTCTATCTTTTCATTCTCTGATAGAGTGGCAAAGCAAACGTTCTTAATTCTGATGAAGTCAAATTTATCATTTCTTTCTTTAATGGATCATGCTTTCAGTGCCATATCTAAGAGCCCCAGCTCAGCCGCTCTCCTCCCTGACTGCCTGTACCCATGCAGGTGTCTCTCTCTTTTCCCTTTCTCCTTTTCCTAATAAACTGGTCCTTTTAAAATTTCGAAAAGAAAAGAAGGAGAGCATCCCCGGTGGCGCAGTGGGTTGAGCGCAGCGCTGTGAAGCTGTGCACAGCCTTTGTGTCGCCGGTTCGATTCCCAGCTGGCCAGGAAGATTCCCACATGGCATGGTAGACCTCTCCTGTCATGCCCGCTGCTCCCCTCAGCAGTGTATTTCGGTCCTTCTGCCTGTTCTGCTCCCCACTCTGTCTCTGGTAAATCCTCTCACTCTCCCACACCTTTGGCCTGTACCCCAACTCTTGTATAAAAATAAATAAATCTTTAAAAAAAGAAAAAAAGAAGGAGAAGTAGAAGGACTTCAGATTCTGAGGCACACAAATAAATGAAAAATGAAACAAGCAAACAAAAATCAGAGTTTTATGGGAATCTTTTTATAGATCTAGCTTTACTTTCATTAAAATGATAGAATAACCACAGTATCACCTTCTTGATTAAAGAAATACAGAGGCCCTTATTTTTTTTTTTATTTTGTGATGTACTCTTGTGGGTCCTTTCCTGCTTCTTTTGTTTTCTCTTTTCTTAGTTCCTCTTTGGCCACTAGCTTTTGGAGATGTCTGTTCTTGATCAGGTGCTCTGCTTTT